TGAATCTCCTTGGGTGGCAGGATGAGAGGTAAGGAGGTTGAATCCCCTTGGGTGGCAGGATGAGAGGTAAGGGGGTTGAATCCCCTTGGGTGGCAGGATGAGAGGGAAGGGGGTTGAATCCCCTTGGGTGGCAGGATGAGAGGTAAGGGGGTTGAATCCCCTTGGGTGGCAGGATGAGAGGGAAGGGGATTGAATCCCCTTGGGTGGCAGGATGAGAGGGAAGGGGGTTGAATCCCCTTGGGTGGCAGGATGAGAGGGAAGGGGGTTAAATGAAACCCCTTGGGTGGCAGGATGAGAGGGAAGGGGGTTGAATCCCCTTGGGTGGCAGGATGAGAGGTAAGGGGGTTTAATCCCCTTGGGTGGCAGGATGAGAGGGAAGGGGGTTGAATCCCCTTGGGTGGCAGGATGAGAGGGAAGGGGGTTGAATCCCCTTGGGTGGCAGGATGAGAGGGAAGGGGGTTGAATCCCCTTGGGTGGCAGGATGAGAGGGAAGGGGGTTTAATCCCCTTGGGTGGCAGGATGAGAGGGAAGGGGGTTGAATCCCCTTGGGTGGCAGGATGAGAGAGAAGGGGGTTGAATCCCCTTGGGTGGCAGGATGAGAGGTAAGGGGGTTGAAATCTCCTTGGGTGGCAGGATGAGAGGTAAGGGGGTTGAATCCCCTTGGGTGGCAGGATGAGAGGGAAGGGGGTTGAATCCCCTTGGGTGGCAGGATGAGAGGGAAGGGGGTTGAATCCCCTTGGGTGGCAGGATGAGAGGGAAGGGGGTTGAATCCCCTTGGGTGGCAGGATGAGAGGTAAGGGGGTTGAATCCCCTTGGTTGGCAGGATGAGAGGGAAGGGGGTTGAATCCCCTTGGGTGGCAGGATGAGAGGGAAGGGGGTTGATTGAATCCCCTTGGGTGGCAGGATGAGAGGTAAGGGGGTTGAATCCCCTTGGGTGGCAGGATGAGAGGGAAGGGGGTTGAATCCCCTTGGGTGGCAGGATGAGAGGGAAGGGGGTTGAATCCCCATGGGTGGCAGGATGAGAGAGAAGGGGGTTGAATCCCCTTGGGTGGCAGGATGAGAGGGAAGGGGGTTGAATCCCCTTGGGTGGCAGGATGAGAGGGAAGGGGGTTGAATCCCCTTGGGTGGCAGGATGAGAGGGAAGGGGGTTGAATCCCCTTGGGTGGCAGGATGAGAGGGAAGGGGGTTGAATCCCCTTGGGTGGCAGGATGAGAGGGAAGGGGGTTGAATCCCCTTGGGTGGCAGGATGAGAGGGAAGGGGGTTTAATCCCCTTGGATGGCAGGATGAGAGGGAAGGGGGTTGAATCCCCTTGGGTGGCAGGATGAGAGAGAAGGGGGTTGAATCCCCTTGGGTGGCAGGATGAGAGGTAAGGGGGTTGAAATCTCCTTGGGTGGCAGGATGAGAGGTAAGGGGGTTGAATCCCCTTGGGTGGCAGGATGAGAGGGAAGGGGGTTGAATCCCCTTGGGTGGCAGGATGAGAGGGAAGGGGGTTGAATCCCCTTGGGTGGCAGGATGAGAGGGAAGGGGGTTGAATCCCCTTGGGTGGCAGGATGAGAGGGAAGGGGGTTGATTGAATCCCCTTGGGTGGCAGGATGAGAGGTAAGGGGGTTGAATCCCCTTGGGTGGCAGGATGAGAGGGAAGGGGGTTGAATCCCCTTGGGTGGCAGGATGAGAGGGAAGGGGGTTGAATCCCCTTGGGTGGCAGGATGAGAGAGAAGGGGGTTGAATCCCCTTGGGTGGCAGGATGAGAGGGAAGGGGGTTGATTGAATCCCCTTGGGTGGCAGGATGAGAGGTAAGGGGGTTGAATCCCCTTGGGTGGCAGGATGAGAGGGAAGGGGGTTGAATCCCCTTGGGTGGCAGGATGAGAGAGAAGGGGCCTGAATCCCCTTGGATGGCAGGATGAGAGGTAAGGGGGTTGAATTCCCTTGGGTGGGTGAGAGAGAGAAGGGGCCTGAATCCCCTTGGGTGGCAGGATGAGAGGGAAGGGGGTTGAATCCCCTTGGGTGGCAGGATGAGAGGGAAGGGGATTGAATCCCCTTGGGTGGCAGGATGAGAGGTAAGGGGGTTGAATCCCCTTGGGTGGCAGGATGAGAGGGAAGGGGGTTGAATCCCCTTGGGTGGCAGGATGAGAGAGAAGGGGCCTGAATCCCCTTGGATGGCAGGATGAGAGGTAAGGGGGTTGAATTCCCGTGGGTGGGTGAGAGAGAGAAGGGGCCTGAATCCCCTTGGGTGGCAGGATGAGAGGGAAGGGGGTTGAATCCCCTTGGGTGGCAGGATGAGAGGGAAGGGGGTTGAATCCCCTTGGGTGGCAGGATGAGAGGGAAGGGGGTTTAATCCCCTTGGATGGCAGGATGAGAGGGAAGGGGGTTGAATTCCCTTGGGTGGCAGGATGAGAGAGAAGGGGGTTGAATCCCCTTGGGTGGCAGGATGAGAGGTAAGGGGGTTGAAATCTCCTTGGGTGGCAGGATGAGAGGTAAGGGGGTTGAATCCCCTTGGGTGGCAGGATGAGAGGGAAGGGGGTTGAATCCCCTTGGGTGGCAGGATGAGAGGGAAGGGGGTTGAATCCCCTTGGGTGGCAGGATGAGAGGGAAGGGGGTTGAATCCCCTTGGGTGGCAGGATGAGAGGTAAGGGGGTTGAATCCCCTTGGGTGGCAGGATGAGAGGTAAGGGGGTTGAATCCCCTTGGTTGGCAGGATGAGAGGGAAGGGGGTTGAATCCCCTTGGGTGGCAGGATGAGAGGGAAGGGGGTTGATTGAATCCCCTTGGGTGGCAGGATGAGAGGTAAGGGGGTTGAATCCCCTTGGGTGGCAGGATGAGAGGGAAGGGGGTTGAATCCCCTTGGGTGGCAGGATGAGAGAGAAGGGGCCTGAATCCCCTTGGATGGCAGGATGAGAGGTAAGGGGGTTGAATTCCCTTGGGTGGGTGAGAGAGAGAAGGGGCCTGAATCCCCTTGGGTGGCAGGATGAGAGGGAAGGGGGTTGAATCCCCTTGGGTGGCAGGATGAGAGGGAAGGGGGTTGAATCCCCTTGGGTGGCAGGATGAGAGGGAAGGGGGTTGAATCCCCTTGAGTGGCAGGATGAGAGGGAAGGGGTTTAAATGAAACCCCTTGGGTGGCAGGATGAGAGGGAAGGGGGTTGAATCCCCTTGGGTGGCAGGATGAGAGGTAAGGGGGTTTAATCCCCTTGGGTGGCAGGATGAGAGGGAAGGGGGTTGAATCCCCTTGGGTGGCAGGATGAGAGGGAAGGGGGTTGAATCCCCTTGGGTGGCAGGATGAGAGGGAAGGGGGTTGAATCCCCTTGGGTGGCAGGATGAGAGGGAAGGGGGTTTAATCCCCTTGGATGGCAGGATGAGAGGGAAGGGGGTTGAATCCCCTTGGGTGGCAGGATGAGAGAGAAGGGGGTTGAATCCCCTTGGGTGGCAGGATGAGAGGGAAGGGGGTTGATTGAATCCCCTTGGGTGGCAGGATGAGAGGTAAGGGGGTTGAATCCCCTTGGGTGGCAGGATGAGAGGGAAGGGGGTTGAATCCCCTTGGGTGGCAGGATGAGAGAGAAGGGGCCTGAATCCCCTTGGATGGCAGGATGAGAGGTAAGGGGGTTGAATTCCCTTGGGTGGGTGAGAGAGAGAAGGGGCCTGAATCCCCTTGGGTGGCAGGATGAGAGGGAAGGGGGTTGAATCCCCTTGGGTGGCAGGATGAGAGGGAAGGGGATTGAATCCCCTTGGGTGGCAGGATGAGAGGTAAGGGGGTTGAATCCCCTTGGGTGGCAGGATGAGAGGGAAGGGGGTTGAATCCCCTTGGGTGGCAGGATGAGAGAGAAGGGGCCTGAATCCCCTTGGATGGCAGGATGAGAGGTAAGGGGGTTGAATTCCCGTGGGTGGGTGAGAGAGAGAAGGGGCCTGAATCCCCTTGGGTGGCAGGATGAGAGGGAAGGGGGTTGAATCCCCTTGGGTGGCAGGATGAGAGGGAAGGGGGTTGAATCCCCTTGGGTGGCAGGATGAGAGGGAAGGGGGTTTAATCCCCTTGGATGGCAGGATGAGAGGGAAGGGGGTTGAATTCCCTTGGGTGGCAGGATGAGAGAGAAGGGGGTTGAATCCCCTTGGGTGGCAGGATGAGAGGTAAGGGGGTTGAAATCTCCTTGGGTGGCAGGATGAGAGGTAAGGGGGTTGAATCCCCTTGGGTGGCAGGATGAGAGGGAAGGGGGTTGAATCCCCTTGGGTGGCAGGATGAGAGGGAAGGGGGTTGAATCCCCTTGGGTGGCAGGATGAGAGGGAAGGGGGTTGAATCCCCTTGGGTGGCAGGATGAGAGGTAAGGGGGTTGAATCCCCTTGGGTGGCAGGATGAGAGGTAAGGGGGTTGAATCCCCTTGGTTGGCAGGATGAGAGGGAAGGGGGTTGAATCCCCTTGGGTGGCAGGATGAGAGGGAAGGGGGTTGATTGAATCCCCTTGGGTGGCAGGATGAGAGGTAAGGGGGTTGAATCCCCTTGGGTGGCAGGATGAGAGGGAAGGGGGTTGAATCCCCTTGGGTGGCAGGATGAGAGAGAAGGGGCCTGAATCCCCTTGGATGGCAGGATGAGAGGTAAGGGGGTTGAATTCCCTTGGGTGGGTGAGAGAGAGAAGGGGCCTGAATCCCCTTGGGTGGCAGGATGAGAGGGAAGGGGGTTGAATCCCCTTGGGTGGCAGGATGAGAGGGAAGGGGATTGAATCCCCTTGGGTGGCAGGATGAGAGGTAAGGGGGTTGAATCCCCTTGGGTGGCAGGATGAGAGGGAAGGGGGTTGAATCCCCTTGGGTGGCAGGATGAGAGAGAAGGGGCCTGAATCCCCTTGGATGGCAGGATGAGAGGTAAGGGGGTTGAATTCCCGTGGGTGGGTGAGAGAGAGAAGGGGCCTGAATCCCCTTGGGTGGCAGGATGAGAGGGAAGGGGGTTGAATCCCCTTGGGTGGCAGGATGAGAGGGAAGGGGGTTGAATCCCCTTGGGTGGCAGGATGAGAGGGAAGGGGGTTTAATCCCCTTGGATGGCAGGATGAGAGGGAAGGGGGTTGAATCCCCTTGGGTGGCAGGATGAGAGAGAAGGGGGTTGAATCCCCTTGGGTGGCAGGATGAGAGGTAAGGGGGTTGAAATCTCCTTGGGTGGCAGGATGAGAGGTAAGGGGGTTGAATCCCCTTGGGTGGCAGGATGAGAGGGAAGGGGGTTGAATCCCCTTGGGTGGCAGGATGAGAGGGAAGGGGGTTGAATCCCCTTGGGTGGCAGGATGAGAGGGAAGGGGGTTGAATCCCCTTGGGTGGCAGGATGAGAGGGAAGGGGGTTGATTGAATCCCCTTGGGTGGCAGGATGAGAGGTAAGGGGGTTGAATCCCCTTGGGTGGCAGGATGAGAGGGAAGGGGGTTGAATCCCCTTGGGTGGCAGGATGAGAGGGAAGGGGGTTGAATCCCCTTGGGTGGCAGGATGAGAGGGAAGGGGGTTGAATCCTCTTGGGTGGCAGGATGAGAGGTAAGGGGGTTGAATCCCCTTGGTTGGCAGGATGAGAGGGAAGGGGGTTGAATCCCCTTGGGTGGCAGGATGAGAGGGAAGGGGGTTGATTGAATCCCCTTGGGTGGCAGGATGAGAGGTAAGGGGGTTGAATCCCCTTGGGTGGCTGGATGAGAGGGAAGGGGGTTGAATCCCCTTGGGTGGCAGGATGAGAGAGAAGGGGCCTGAATCCCCTTGGATGGCAGGATGAGAGGTAAGGGGGTTGAATTCCCTTGGGTGGGTAAGAGAGAGAAGGGGCCTGAATCCCCTTGGGTGGCAGGATGAGAGGGAAGGGGGTTGAATCCCCTTGGGTGGCAGGATGAGAGGTAAGGGGGTTGAATCCCCTTGGGTGGCTGGATGAGAGGGAAGGGGGTTGAATCCCCTTGGGTGGCAGGATGAGAAGGAAGGGGGGTTAATCCCCTTGGTTGGGTGAGAGAGAGGAGGAGCCTGAATCCCCTTGGGTGGGTGAGAGAGGGAAGGAGCCTGAAACCCCTTGGGTGGCGGAGTGATTGGGAAGGGCCTGAAACCTCTTGGGTGTTGAGTGAGGGGGAAGGGTGCTGAAGCTCCTTGGGTGGATGAGTAAGAGGGAAAGGGGATAAAGCCCCTTTGGTGGGTGATTGACAGGGAAGGGGGATGAAACCCCATGGGTGTGTGAGTGAGAAGGAAGGGGCCTGAACCGAAACACCCTGGGTGGGTGGTGAGAGGAAATGGGGCGGAAACTTCTTGGGTAGGTGAATGAGAGGGAAGGGGGCTGAAAACGCTTGGGTGGGCGAGTGAGAAAAGGGGGGTTGAACCCACTGGGGTGAGTAAGTGAGAAGAAGGGGATTATAGTCCCTTGGGTGGGTGAGTGAGAGGGAAGCAGTGTGAAATGAAACCCCCCTTGAGTCGGTGGGCGATAGTGAAGGGGGCTGAAACCCCTTGGTGGTTGAGTGACTGGGAAAAGGGCTGAAACCCCATGGGTGGGTGAGTGAGAGGGAAGGGGGCCGTACCCACTTGGGTGTGAGTGAAGGCTAAGGGGGCTGAGACCCCTTGGGTGGGTGAGTGAGAGGGAGGGGGTCTGAAACAGGGCTCTTGCTAGGATTCAGGCCCGTCTGACATCCCCCCCAAAAAAAATCGTTTCGTCTGACCTTCAGACGGGCAAATTTTTTTGGTCTGTTTTTTCAGATGAAAGTTGGAGCTATGTCTGTTTTTTAAGACGATTTTTGTTGCATGGTCTGATTGCACTCTACACTGGCCGGCCATAATACGGTAGAAATCTGAGTTCACTAAGTATGAAATGAATAAGTCGCTGACTAACATGACAGGCGTGACCAGCCAGGTGGCGAGGGGGACTGGTACAGGGGGAGGACCGTGTTCTGTTGTTGTGCGACGACCAGGGGGAATGAACTGGGGCTGGGAGAGGATCGAGGGACTGGGGGAGAGTGGGGGGGGGGGGGGGGGGGGGGGGTTGACTGGTAGAGGAGCGAGGTTGACTGCGGGGGGGCTGGACTGCTAGAGGAGCGAGGGACTTCGGGGAGGTTCCTGGTACTGTACAGTCGAGGAACGAGAGACTCAAGGGGGGGGGGGGTGGGTGGGGGTTTGCAGGAGGGGTGAGGGACTCGAGGGGGCAGGGGGGAAGGAGACGGGAGGGGAAAAGAAGGGTGGGGGGGGGTACCTCGATACTTTGTCGGTATCAGATGAAAGCATACTCGATGTCTGAAATGTCAGACAAAATATAACGCGCTGTCTTATTTTTAAGACGAAATAAAATCCTCTGTCTTATGGTTCATATGAAATTAAATTGCTCGTCTTGAAAATCATATGAAACGAAAAAAGTAGGTCTGTTTTTCAGACCATCAGACCGATTTGATCTGATAACCAGAGCCCTGGTCTGAAACCCCTTGGGTGCGGAATTGGGAGGCAAGGGGGTTGAAACCCTTTATTGGTGGGTGATTGTTAGGGAAGGGGGTTGATAACTCCATGGGTGGGTGAATGGGACGGAATGGGACTGAGACTCCTTTAGTGGGTGGTGAGAGGGATGGGGGCTGAATTTCTCTTGGGTGGGTGAGTGGGAAAAGTAGGGGGTTGTTATTCCTTGGGTGGATGATTGGAAAGAGAAGGGTGCTTCAACCCCCAGGGTGGGTGAGTGGAAGCACACGGTGAGTGGGAAGCCTGCAGCCAGGGCAGGAAGCGGTGGGAACATGCTTGTCTTGAAAGATTGACTTGGCTTTGTTTTCTAATGCATGTTGAAGTGATAATCAAGCGCCTTCATACACTTCTCCTTGTTTGGATAAGCATGCTTTTAGCAGGCTGAACAAGTGGACACAGGCAGTGCTCATTATATGGTCATAATGTTTGGTCAGACGTGTTTTAAGGACCAGGTGTGGTGATTTTGTTTTAACATATATTGATCCATTGCATGTTGTAGGCAGAAGTAAGATACCTTTGAATACCGGATGAACAGAATCAGTGTTCAAGTATATTGTTTCCTATGATGTATTATGAATATGTGATATATATATATATACTTATAAAGCTAAAGCAGTCTTCGTACAGTCAGTGTACACGCATGATGAATGTATTCACTACATCCCTTGTTTTCACTCTCCTGCACGCCTCGCTCTCCCTGTCTCCTTTCGGCTGACATCCTTTTCCCGCTTCGTCAGTGATCATCTTCATCAGTGATCCTCGCCGCGCCATAGAAGTATCGCAATTTCTGTCCCGTAAGTCAGGCATTATGCTCGCTGGCGTTAAATAGTCGCGATACCGTCGCGATTTCGGTGTCGCGTCGGCAGAATCGAGGCGGCAGCCATGGCGGCGCGGCTCGCGTCTTCCGCGGCTGTCGCAGCGTCGTTTCGTCGAATTCTTCTCCCCCACGTCGTACCTTCCTCTTACCCCGCCGTCGCAGCATCCTTTCGCCACGCTCTGGCTACCAAAGCCGTGCCACCTCCGTTAGTCGCATGCGCGGTGCTCCATCACGCATCCCCCGCCGTCGATAGGTCTCGCTGGGAATTCAATGCGATCCGTTCGATCAGTAGCCGCGCCGTCGTCGCGCTCCCTCACATCTCCGCTGCTTCCGCCTCTTCCGCCTCTTCCGCCTTCCGCCCATCGTTTTCGTCCGCATCCCCGTCGATACCTCCGTCTGCACTCCGCGCGTCAGCGCACATCGACAATCGGCCTACCGTCCAATTTTTCCCTTCACCACGTTTGAACTACCAACAGCCTTGTCTCCCGTCCTCCACTCCCTCCTCTCCCTCCTCCCATTCCTCACCCTGCTCCCTCACCTCTCCCTCCTACCTCTCCTCCCGCTCCGCCACTCCCGCCGCGCCTCCCCCTTCCTCCCCTTCCGCGCATTCCTTCTCCACGTCCTCCGCCTTTCCCCCGCCGTCGCCGCACCCGCGCGGAGCGCTCACGAGTAAATGGGCGGCGGATAGGAAGCGGAAGAAGGAAGCTTCAAAGAGAGTGCGACTGGCGATTAACGCGCTGAGGGAGCGGCAGTGGCAGGCGGAGAGAAGTCGAGCGGAGCAGGAGGGGACGTGGCAGGGGGACGGGCAGGGGCAGGGGGGAAGGACGGGGGATAGAAGCACTAGCACCAGCAGCAGCAGCAGCAGCAGCAACGGCAGCAGCGATATGCGAGGGATGGTGGGTGAATGGATGGCTCGCCTTCAGCAGTTGCAACAGACCTCCACTTCCTCCTTCCCTTCCTCGCCCCTGTCCTCGTCACCAGCACCACCAGCACCACCACCACCACCGCCATCAGCAGCAGCGGGCAGTAGTGTGGGGTCGACAGTAGGGGGTGTGGAGCCACTAGTGGGACCACTTAGACCACAGAGCAGCGACGAGGTGAGGGGTGACTGTATGGCGTGTGACTGTATGGCATGCACTGATATAGTCCAGTTTTCCCTACTCTGCTCTCCCTTCAACCCCCCTGCGCCTCTCACCGCGCCAGGTATCTCACCGCGCCCTGATCTCCCCCACTTTGCTTTTCCCGTTGTTTTCCTCCGCTTGTCCTTCCCCCTGCCCCTCACGCCCGCCAGGCGTCACTGGCGTCTCTGCTGGCGCGGTCGGACCTGGTGGTCACTCGCAGGGTGGAGTGGGGCAACGTGCTGCTGGGGTACGAGCAGGTGCATTGCGGTGCCCATGGGTCCACTCGTGCTCGCATGCAGAAATGCTTGTCATACAATCTCTGCTTCTTTGCTTCTCGATTATCCCACCTGCTCCCCTTTTGCTTCCCTTTTCCGTTCCTTCTTTCTTCCATGTTCCTTCCTCCTCTCACGAGCTCTCGCTCCCCCTTGCCTCCCACGCCCCTCTGTCGCCAACAGAGCAACCAGTATGCTATCATGGATGCGCACACAGGCCAGGTCAGTCCCAACTTACATACCCATGCAACCCCCTGTGCTCCCTCGTTGCTCACCTCGCAGCCGCCCAGCCTCTGTTAGCATTCTCCTGTGGGGCCAGATACCACCCCCATTGCCCTCGTCTATCTCTTGCACTGCCTCTCCATACTAGACCCGTTTGGAACCCCGCGTAGCATCTCACCGCATGTGCCTTCCCCTCTCTATGGCTCCATGCCCCCCCCCACCCCACCACGTGCAGAACGTGGGGGCTATTGTGGAGAGCAGCAACTGGCTCATGCGTCAGGTGTGTCTGAGTGAAGGTGGTGGATGTGAGGGGATGGGTGCAAGGGACACAGCGAAAGCAGGGGCAGCGCACACAGTGGGATGGGAGGCCACAACCACCCTGGCATGCTGTTCTTGTTCGGTTTCCTCTTTCTTATCCTGTTTTCATTTCCGGACTCCTGACTGCATCAACCCCCCTCTCACTTCCCGTTCCACAAGCTTCCTCCCTCCCCTTCCAGATTTCTCCCCTCCTTCCTCTCCCCCACCGTCCTCCTCCCGCTGTCAGTTCCTGAGGGCGCATCGCCCCTTCACCGCATCCAACCACGATGCACACTATGAAAGTCCCTTCCTTCTTCCCCCCCTCCTTCCTCCCCCCCACCGTCCTCTCCCCCCATGTCAGTTCCTGAGGGCGCTTCGCCCCTTCACCGCATCCATCCACGACGCACAGATTTGACGCGCCTCAAAAGTCCTCTTGTTCCTCTCCCTCACCGTCCTCTTCCACCCCCCCCCCCTTCCCCCCCCGTCAGTTCCTGAGGGCGCATCGCCCTTTCACCGCATCCATCCACGACGCACAGATTTGACGCGCCTCAAAAGTCCTCTCGTTCCTCTCCCTCACCGTCCTCTTCCACCCCCCCCCTTCCCCCCCCCGTCAGTTCCTGAGGGCGCATCGCCCCTTCACCGCATCCATCCACGACGCACAGATTTGACGTGCCTCAAAAGTCCTCTCGTTCCTCTCCCTCACCGTCCTCTTCCACCCCCCCCCTTCCCCCCCCCGTCAGTTCCTGAGGGCGCATCGCCCCTTCACCGCGTCCATCCACGACGCACAGATTTGACGCGCCTCAAAAGTCCTCTCGTTCCTCTCCCTCACCGTCCTCTTCCACCCCCCCCCCCCTTCCCCCCCCGTCAGTTCCTGAGGGCGCATCGCCCCTTCACCGCATCCATCCACGACGCACACGGCACGCTCCTGCTCACCGTGGGTATCACACTCATTCATTCCCAAGCCCACTCAAACTCGGTTCATGGTGCCAATCTGCTCATTCAAATCCACTCGAAGATGTCTTACCTAAACGAAGCTGCTTGGGGCGGGGCGCTTGTTGTTGTGCTTATGATACTTGCTGTCTCCTGCCTCTCGCCCCATCACCCTTCCCCCCCTGCGCCGGCCCCCCATGCGCCCTTCTTCCCCATGCGCCCCTGTTCCCCATGCGCCCCTGTTCCCCATGCGCCCCTGTTCCCCATGCGCCCCTGTTCCCCATGCGCCCTTCTTCCCCATGCGCCCCTCTCCTATCTGCTGTGTCAGGTGCGGCGGCCCATGTTTTTCATCACCAGCACCATCTATGTTGATCTGCCTGGTCAGGTGAGATTTCAGGTGCATTCAGGTGGAAGCTCAGGGAATTTTGTCCGTGCCATGGCACGTGTGTGTGTCCATGCCATGCCACGTGTCCCTGCCATGCCACGTGTCCCTGCCATGCCACGTGTCCCTGCCATGCCACGTGTCCCTGCCATGCCACGTGTGTCACTGGCTTCACATGTGTCAACCTGTGTGCTCCCAACCTTGGCTTACGTGCTCTTTCTTAATATCCCCATCCGATGTGCATGTGTGCATGTGCTTGCATGGCTTTGTGTGTGTGCATGTGCTTGCATGTCTTTGTGTGTGTGCATGTGTCCACGTGTGCCTGTGTGTGCATGCCAACTCATGCACGTATGTATGTAACACGTACATGCATCGCCCCCTCACCATACCAGAAGGGCATAGGGCAGGTGCACAGGAGGTGGCACCTGTGGAAGCGAGTCTACGATGCGTACCTGCAGTGAGTTCCTATGCTTGCTTCCTCTCCTTCTTACACTCACTTCTCCTTCTTCCGATGCGTACCTGCAGTGAGTTCCTATGCTTGCTTCCTCTCCTTCTTACACTCACTTCTCCTTCTTCCGATGCGTACCTGCAGTGAGTTCCTATGCTTGCTTCCTCTCCTTCTTACACTCACTTCTCCTTCTTCCGATGCGTACCTGCTGTAAGTGCTGCTTGCTTCCTCTCCTCCTAGTTCTGACAAGCGTCTTGCGTTGAGTGCGCTTGTTGCTCCCATTGGGATTATCGAATCCCATTGGGATAATCGAATCCCGTTGGGATAATCGAATCCCATTGGGATAATCGAATCGAATCCCGTTGGGATAATCGAATCGAATCCCGTTGGGATAATTGAATCCCACTGGGATAATCGAATCACACTGCGATAATCGAATCACATTGGGATAATCGAATCCCGTTGGGATAATCGAATCACATTGGGATAATCAAATCCCGTTGGGATAATCGAATCACATTGGGATAATCGAATCACATTGGGATTATTGAATCACATTGGGATAATCGAATCCCATTGGGATACTCGAATCACTTCACCCATCTCCACACATTGCTTCTTCGCTGCACTTTCTGTTTCATCAGGTTTAGCCCGGGCGTGTCATGGTGCCCGGGCGCGTCATGGTTTAGCATGCGAGGGGTAGCATGCGAGGGTAGCATGCGAGGGATAGCATGCGAGGGGAACTGGAGCTGCAGTCCCAGCTGGGGGACTGGAGCTGCAGTCCCAGCTGGGGGACTGGAGCTGCAGTCCCAGGTGCGGGACTGGAGCTGCAGTCCCACCCAGGTGCGGGACCGGAGCTGCAGTCCCAGGTGCGGGACTGGAGCTGCAGTCCCAGGTGCGGGACTGGAGCTGCAGTCCCAGGTGCGGGACTGGAGCTGCAGTCCCAGGTGCGGGACTGGAGCTGCAGTCCCAGGTGCGGGACTGGAGCTGCAGTCCCAGGTGCGGGACTGGAGCTGCAGTCCCAGGTGCGGGACTGGAGCTGCAGTCCCAGGTGCGGGACTGGAGCTGCAGTCCCAGGTGAGGGACTGGAGCTGCAGTCCCAGGTGCGGGACTGGAGCTGCAGTCCCAGGTGCGGGACTGGAGCTGCAGTCCCAGGTGCGGGACTGGAGCTGCAGTCCCAGGTGCGGGACTGGAGCTGCAGTCCCAGGTGCGGGACTGGAGCTGCAGTCCCAGGTGCGGGACTGGAGCTGCAGTCCCAGGTGCGGGACTGGAGCTGGGGACTGGAGCTGCAGTCCCAGGTGCGGGACTGGAGCTGCAGTCCCAGGTGCGGGACTGGAGCTGCAGTCCCAGGTGGGGGACTGGAGCTGCAGTCCCAGGTGCGGGACTGGAGCTGCAATCCCAGGTGCGGGACTGGAGCTGCAGTCCCAGGTGCGGGACTGGAGCTGCAGTCCCAAGTGCGGGACTGGAGCTGCAGTCCCAGCTGCGGGACTGGAACTGCAGTCCCAGGTGCGGGACTGGAGCTGCAGTCCCAGGTGCGGGACTGGAGCTGCAGTCCCAGGTGCAGGACTGGAGCTGCAGTCCCAGGTGCGGGACTGGAGGTGCAATCCCAGGTGCGGGACTGGAGCTGCAGTCCCAGGTGCGGGACTGGAGCTGCAGTCCCAGGTGCGGGACTGGAGCTGCAGTCCCAGCTGCGGGACTGGAACTGCAGTCCCAGCTGCGGGACTGGAGCTGCAGTCCCAGCTGCGGGACTGGAGCTGCAGTCCCAGCCCAGGTGCGGGACTGGAGCTGCAGTTCCAGGTGCGGGACTGGAGCTGCAGTCCCAGGTGCGGGACTGGAACTGCAGTCCCAGGTGCGTGGACTGGAGCTGCAGTCCCAGGTGCGGGAATGGAGCTGCAGTCCCAGGTGCGGGACTGGAGCTGCAGTCCCAGGTGCGGGACTGGAGCTGCAGTCCCAGGTTCGGGACTGGAGCTGCAGTCCCAGGTGCGGGACTGGAGCTGCAGTCCCAGGTGCGGGACTGGAGCTGCAGTCCCAGCTGGGGGACTGGAGCTGCAGTTCCAGGTGCGGGACTGGAGCTGCAATCCCAGGTGCGGGACTGGAGCTGCAGTCCCAGGTGCGGGACTGGAGCTGCAGTCCCAGCTGGGGGACTGGAGCTGCAGTCCCAGGTGCGGGACTGGAGCTGCAGTCCCAGGTGCGGGACTGGAGCTGCAGTCCCAGCTGGGGGACTGGACCTGCAGTCCCAGGTGCGGGACTGGAACTGCAGTCCCAGCTGCGGGACTGGAGCTGCAGTCCCAGGTGCGGGACTGGAGCTGCAGTCCCAGGTGCGACACTGGAGCTGCAGTCCCAGGTGCGGGACTGGAGCTGCAGTCCCAGGTGCGGGACTGGAGCTGCAGTCCCAGGTGCGGGACTGGAGCTGCAGTCCCAGGTGCGGGACTGGAGCTGCAGTCCCAGGTGCGGGACTGGAGCTGCATTCCCAGGTGCAGGACTGGAGCTGCAGTCCCAGCTGGGGGACTGGAGCTGCAGTCCCAGGTGCGGGACTGGAGCTGCAGTCCCAGGTGCGGGACTGGAGCTGCAGTCCCAGGTGCGGGACTGGAGCTGCAGTCCCAGCTGGGGGACTGGAGCTGCAGTCCCAGGTGCGGGACTGGAGCTGCAGTCCCAGGTGCGGGACTGGAGCTGCAGTCCCAGGTGCGGGACTGGAGCTGCAGTCCCAGGTGCGGGACTGGAGCTGCAGTCCCAGGTGCGGGACTGGAGCTGCAGTCCCAGGTGCGGGACTGGAGCTGCAGTCTTAGGTGCGGGACTGGAGCTGCAGTCCCAGGTGCGGGACTGGAGCTGCAGTCCCAGGTGCGGGACTGGAGCTGCAGTCCCAGGTGCGGGACTGGAGCTGCAGTCCCAGCTGGGGTACTGGACCTGCAGTCCCAGGTGCGGGACTGGAACTGCAGTCCCAGCTGCGGGACTGGAGCTGCAGTCCCAGGTGCGGGACTGGAGCTGCAGTCCCAGGTGCGGGACTGGAGCTGCAGTCCCAGGTGCGGGACTGGAGCTGCAGTCCCAGGTGCGGGACTGGAGCTGCAGTCCCAGGTGCGGGACTGGAGCTGCAGTCCCAGGTGCGGGACTGGAGCTGCATTCCCAGGTGCGGGACTGGAGCTGCAGTCCCAGGTGCGGGACTGGAGCTGCAGTCCCAGGTGCGGGACTGGAGCTGCAGTCCCAGGTGCGGGACTGGAGCTGCAGTCCCAGCTGGGGGACTGGAGCTGCATTCCCAGGTGCGGGACTGGAGCTGCAGTCCCAGCTGGGGGACTGGAGCTGCAGTCCCAGGTGCGGGACTGGAGCTGCAGTCCCAGGTGCGGGACTGGAGCTGCAGTCCCAGGTGCGGGACTGGAGCTGCAGTCCCAGGTGCGGGACTGGAGCAGCAGTCCCAGGTGCGGGACTGGAGCTGCAGTCCCAGGTGCGGGACTGGAGCTGCAGTCCCAGGTGCGGGACTGGAGCTGCAGTCCCAGGTGCGGGACTGGAGCTGCAGTCCCAGGTGCGGGACTGGAGCTGCATTCCCAGGTGCGGGACTGGAGCTGCATTCCCAGGTGCAGGACTGGAGCTGCAGTCCCAGCTGGGGGACTGGAGCTGCAGTCCCAGGTGCGGGACTGGAGCTGCAGTCCCAGGTGCGGGACTGGAGCTGCAGTCCCAGGTGCGGGACTGGAGCTGCAGTCCCAGCTGGGGGACTGGAGCTGCAGTCCCAGGTGCGGGACTGGAGCTGCAGTCCCAGGTGCGGGACTGGAGCTGCAGTCCCAGGTGCGGGACTGGAGCTGCAGTCCTAGGTGCGGGACTGGAGCTGCAGTCCCAGGTGCGGGACTGGAGCTGCAGTCCCAGCTGGGGGACTGGAGCTGCAGTCCCAGCTGCGGGACTGGAGCTGCAGTCCCAGGTGCGGGACTGGAGCTGCAGTCCCAGGTGCGGGACTGGAGCTGCAGTCCCAGGTGCGGGACTGGAGCTGCAGTCCCAGGTGCGGGACTGGAGCTGCAGTCCCAGGTGCGGGACTGGAGCTGCAGTCCCAGGTGCGGGACTGGAGCTGCAGTCCCAGGTGCGGGACTGGAGCTGCAGTCCCAGGTGCGGGACTGGAGCTGCAGTCCCAGGTGCGGGACTGGAGCTGCAGTCCCAGCTGGGGGACTGGACCTGCAGTCCCAGGTGCGGGACTGGAACTGCAGTCCCAGCTGCGGGACTGGAGCTGCAGTCCCAGGTGCGGGACTGGAGCTGCAGTCCCAGGTGCGACACTGGAGCTGCAGTCCCAGGTGCGGGACTGGAGCTGCAGTCCCAGGTGCGGGACTGGAGCTGCAGTCCCAGGTGCGGGACTGGAGCTGCAGTCCCAGGTGCGGGACTGGAGCTGCAGTCCCAGGTGCGGGACTGGAGCTGCAGTCCCAGGTGCGGGACTGGAGCTGCAGTCCCAGGTGCAGGACTGGAGCTGCAGTCCCAGGTGCGGGACTGGAGCTGCAGTCCCAGGTGCGACACTGGAGCTGCAGTCCCAGGTGCGGGACTGGAGCTGCATTCCCAGGTGCAGGACTGGAGCTGCAGTCCCAGCTGGGGGACTGGAGCTGCAGTCCCAGGTGCGGGACTGGAGCTGCAGTCCCAGGTGCGGGACTGGAGCTGCAGTCCCAGGTGCGGGACTGGAGCTGCAGTCCCAGCTGGGGGACTGGAGCTGCAGTCCCAGGTGCGGGACTGGAGCTGCAGTCCCAGGTGCGGGACTGGAGCTGCAGTCCCAGGTGCGGGACTGGAGCTGCAGTCCCAGGTGCGGGACTGGAGCTGCAGTCCCAGGTGCGGGACTGGAGCTGCAGTCCAAGGTGCGGGACTGGAGCTGCAGTCCCAGGTGCGGGACTGGAGCTGCAGTCCCAGGTGCGGGACTGGAGCTGCAGTCCCAGGTGCGGGACTGGAGCTGCAGTCCCAGGTGCGGGACTGGAGCTGCAGTCCCAGGTGCGGGACTGGAGCTGCAGTCCCAGGTGCGGGACTGGAGCTGCAGTCCCAGGTGCGGGACTGGAGCTGCATTCCCAGGTGCGGGACTGGAGCTGCATTCCCAGGTGCGGGACTGGAGCTGCAGTCCCAGGTGCGGGACTGGAGCTGCATTCCCAGGTGCGGGACTGGAGCTGCAGTCCCAGGTGCGGGACTGGAGCTGCAGTCCCAGGTGCGGGACTGGAGCTGCAGTCCCAGGTGCGGGACTGGAGCTGCAGTCCCAGGTGCGGGACTGGAGCTGGGGACTGGAGCTGCAGTCCCAGGTGCGGGACTGGAGCTGCAGTCCCAGGTGCGGGACTGGAGCTGCAGTCCCAGGTGCGGGACTGGAGCTGCAGTCCCAGGTGGGGGACTGGAGCTGCAGTCCCAGGTGCGGGACTGGAGCTGCAATCCCAGGTGCGGGACTGGAGCTGCAGTCCCAGGTGCGGGACTGGAGCTGCAGTCCCAAGTGCGGGACTGGAGCTGCAGTCCTAGGTGCGGGACTGGAGCTGCAGTCCCAGGTGCGGGACTGGAGCTGCAGTCCCAGCTGGGGGACTGGAGCTGCAGTCCCAGCTGCGGGACTGGAGCTGCAGTCCCAGGTGCGGGACTGGAGCTGCAGTCCCAGGTGCGGGACTGGAGCTGCAGTCCCAGGTGCGGGACTGGAGCTGCAGTCCCAGGTGCGGGACTGGAGCTGCAGTCCCAGGTGCGGGACTGGAGCTGCAGTCCCAGGTGCGGGACTGGAGCTGCAGTCCCAGGTGCGGGACTGGAGCTGCAGTCCCAGGTGCGGGACTGGAGCTGCAGTCCCAGGTGCGGGACTGGAGCTGCAGTCCCAGCTGGGGGACTGGACCTGCAGTCCCAGGTGCGGGACTGGAACTGCAGTCCCAGCTGCGGGACTGGAGCTGCAGTCCCAGGTGCGGGACTGGAGCTGCAGTCCCAGGTGCGACACTGGAGCTGCAGTCCCAGGTGCGACACTGGAGCTGCAGTCCCAGGTGCGGGACTGGAGCTGCAGTCCCAGGTGCGGGACTGGAGCTGCAGTCCCAGGTGCGGGACTGGAGCTGCAGTCCCAGGTGCGGGACTGGAGCTGCAGTCCCAGGTGCGGGACTGGAGCTGCAGTCCCAGGTGCGGGACTGGAGCTGCAGTCCCAGGTGCGGGACTGGAGCTGCAGTCCCAGGTGCGACACTGGAGCTGCAGTCCCAGGTGCGGGACTGGAGCTGCATTCCCAGGTGCAGGACTGGAGCTGCAGTCCCAGCTGGGGGACTGGAGCTGCAGTCCCAGGTGCGGGACTGGAGCTGCAGTCCCAGGTGCGGGACTGGAGCTGCAGTCCCAGGTGCGGGACTGGAGCTGCAGTCCCAGGTGCGGGACTGGAGCTGCAGTCCCAGGTGCGGGACTGGAGCTGCAGTCCCAGGTGCGGGACTGGAGCTGCAGTCCCAGGTGCGGGACTGGAGCTGCAGTCCCAGGTGCGGGACTGGAGCTGCAGTCTTAGGTGCGGGACTGGAGCTGCAGTCCCAGGTGCGGGACTGGAGCTGCAGTCCCAGGTGCGGGACTGGAGCTGCAGTCCCAGGTGCGGGACTGGAGCTGCAGTCCCAGCTGGGGTACTGGACCTGCAGTCCCAGGTGCGGGACTGGAACTGCAGTCCCAGCTGCGGGACTGGAGCTGCAGTCCCAGGTGCGGGACTGGAGCTGCAGTCCCAGGTGCGGGACTGGAGCTGCAGTCCCAGGTGCGGGACTGGAGCTGCAGTCCCAGGTGCGGGACTGGAGCTGCAGTCCCAGGTGCGGGACTGGAGCTGCAGTCCCAGGTGCGGGACTGGAGCTGCAGTCCCAGGTGCGGGACTGGAGCTGCAGTCCCAGGTGCGGGACTGGAGCTGCATTCCCAGGTGCGGGACTGGAGCTGCATTCCCAGGTGCAGGACTGGAGCTGCAGTCCCAGCTGGGGGACTGGAGCTGCAGTCCCAGGTGCGGGACTGGAGCTGCAGTCCCAGGTGCGGGACTGGAGCTGCAGTCCCAGGTGCGGGACTGGAGCTGCAGTCCCAGCTGGGGGACTGGAGCTGCAGTCCCAGGTGCGGGACTGGAGCTGCAGTCCCAGGTGCGGGACTGGAGCTGCAGTCCCAGGTGCGGGACTGGAGCTGCAGTCCTAGGTGCGGGACTGGAGCTGCAGTCCCAGGTGCGGGACTGGAGCTGCAGTCCCAGCTGGGGGACTGGAGCTGCAGTCCCAGGTGCGGGACTGGAGCTGCAGTCCCAGGTGCGGGACTGGAGCTGCAGTCCCAGGTGCGGGACTGGAGCTGCAGTCCCAGGTGCGGGACTGGAGCTGCAGTCCCAGGTGCGGGACTGGAGCTGCAGTCCCAGGTGCGGGACTGGAGCTGCAGTCCCAGGTGCGGGACTGGAGCTGCAGTCCCAGGTGCGGGACTGGAGCTGCAGTCCCAGGTGCGGGACTGGAGCTGCAGTCCCAGGTGCGGGACTGGAGCTGCAGTCCCAGCTGGGGGACTGGACCTGCAGTCCCAGGTGCGGGACTGGAACTGCAGTCCCAGCTGCGGGACTGGAGCTGCAGTCCCAGGTGCGGGACTGGAGCTGCAGTCCCAGGTGCGACACTGGAGCTGCAGTCCCAGGTGCGGGACTGGAGCTGCAGTCCCAGGTGCGGGACTGGAGCTGCAGTCCCAGGTGCGGGACTGGAGCTGCAGTCCCAGGTGCGGGACTGGAGCTGCAGTCCCAGGTGCGGGACTGGAGCTGCAGTCCCAGGTGCGGGACTGGAGCTGCAGTCCCAGGTGCAGGACTGGAGCTGCAGTCCCAGGTGCGGGACTGGAGCTGCAGTCCCAGGTGCGACACTGGAGCTGCAGTCCCAGGTGCGGGACTGGAGCTGCATTCCCAGGTGCAGGACTGGAGCTGCAGTCCCAGCTGGGGGACTGGAGCTGCAGTCCCAGGTGCGGGACTGGAGCTGCAGTCCCAGGTGCGGGACTGGAGCTGCAGTCCCAGGTGCGGGACTGGAGCTGCAGTCCCAGCTGGGGGACTGGAGCTGCAGTCCCAGGTGCGGGACTGGAGCTGCAGTCCCAGGTGCGGGACTGGAGCTGCAGTCCCAGGTGCGGGACTGGAGCTGCAGTCCCAGGTGCGGGACTGGAGCTGCAGTCCCAGGTGCGGGACTGGAGCTGCAGTCCAAGGTGCGGGACTGGAGCTGCAGTCCCAGGTGCGGGACTGGAGCTGCAGTCCCAGGTGCGGGACTGGAGCTGCAGTCCCAGGTGCGGGACTGGAGCTGCAGTCCCAGGTGCGGGACTGGAGCTGCAGTCCCAGGTGCGGGACTGGAGCTGCAGTCCCAGGTGCGGGACTGGAGCTGCAGTCCCAGGTGCGGGACTGGAGCTGCATTCCCAGGTGCGGGACTGGAGCTGCATTCCCAGGTGCGGGGACTGGAGCTGCAGTCCCAGGTGCGGGACTGGAGCTGCAGTCCCAGGTGCGGGACTGGAGCTGCAGTCCCAGGTGCGGGACTGGAGCTGCAGTCCCAGGTGCGGGACTGGAGCTGCAGTCCCAGGTGCGGGACTGGAGCTGCAGTCCCAGGTGCGGGACTGGAGCTGCAGTCCCAGGTGCGGGACTGGAGCTGGGGACTGGAGCTGCAGTCCCAGGTGCGGGACTGGAGCTGCAGTCCCAGGTGCGGGACTGGAGCTGCAGTCCCAGGTGGGGGACTGGAGCTGCAGTCCCAGGTGCGGGACTGGAGCTGCAATCCCAGGTGCGGGACTGGAGCTGCAGTCCCAGGTGCGGGACTGGAGCTGCAGTCCCAAGTGCGGGACTGGAGCTGCAGTCCTAGGTGCGGGACTGGAGCTGCAGTCCCAGGTGCGGGACTGGAGCTGCAGTCCCAGCTGGGGACTGGAGCTGCAGTCCCAGGTGCGGGACTGGAGCTGCAGTCCCAGGTGCGGGACTGGAGCTGCAGTCCCAGGTGCGGGACTGGAGCTGCAGTCCCAGGTGCGGGACTGGAGCTGCAGTCCCAGGTGCGGGACTGGAGCTGCAGTCCCAGGTGCGGGACTGGAGCTGCAGTCCCAGGTGCGGGACTGGAGCTGCAGTCCCAGGTGCGGGACTGGAGCTGCAGTCCCAGGTGCGGGACTGGAGCTGCAGTCCCAGGTGCGGGACTGGAGCTGCAGTCCCAGCTGGGGGACTGGACCTGCAGTCCCAGGTGCGGGACTGGAACTGCAGTCCCAGCTGCGGGACTGGAGCTGCAGTCCCAGGTGCGGGACTGGAGCTGCAGTCCCAGGTGCGACACTGGAGCTGCAGTCCCAGGTGCGGGACTGGAGCTGCAGTCCCAGGTGCGGGACTGGAGCTGCAGTCCCAGGTGCGGGACTGGAGCTGCAGTCCCAGGTGCGGGACTGGAGCTGCAGTCCCAGGTGCGGGACTGGAGCTGCAGTCCCAGGTGCGGGACTGGAGCTGCAGTCCCAGGTGCAGGACTGGAGCTGCAGTCCCAGGTGCGGGACTGGAGCTGCAGTCCCAGGTGCGACACTGGAGCTGCAGTCCCAGGTGCGGGACTGGAGCTGCATTCCCAGGTGCAGGACTGGAGCTGCAGTCCCAGCTGGGGGACTGGAGCTGCAGTCCCAGGTGCGGGACTGGAGCTGCAGTCCCAGCTGGGGGACTGGAGCTGCAGTCCCAGGTGCGGGACTGGAGCTGCAGTCCCAGGTGCGGGACTGGAGCTGCAGTCCCAGGTGCGGGACTGGAGCTGCAGTCCCAGGTGCGGGACTGGAGCTGCAGTCCCAGGTGCGGGACTGGAGCTGCAGTCCAAGGTGCGGGACTGGAGCTGCAGTCCCAGGTGCGGGACTGGAGCTGCAGTCCCAGGTGCGGGACTGGAGCTGCAGTCCCAGGTGCGGGACTGGAGCTGCAGTCCCAGGTGCGGGACTGGAGCTGCAGTCCCAGGTGCGGGACTGGAGCTGCAGTCCCAGGTGCGGGACTGGAGCTGCATTCCCAGGTGCGGGACTGGAGCTGCATTCCCAGGTGCGGGACTGGAGCTGCAGTCCCAGGTGCGGGACTGGAGCTGCAGTCCCAGGTGCGGGACTGGAGCTGCAGTCCCAGGTGCGGGACTGGAGCTGCAGTCCCAGGTGCGGGACTGGAGCTGCAGTCCCAGGTGCGGGACTGGAGCTGCAGTCCCAGCTGGGGGACTGGAGCTGCAGTCCCAGGTGCGGGACTGGAGCTGCAGTCCCAGGTGCGGGACTGGAGCTGCAGTCCCAGCTGCGGGACTGGAGCTGCAGTCCCAGCTGGGGGACTGGAGCTGCAGTCCCAGGTGCGGGACTGGAGCTGCAGTCCCAGGTGCGGGACTGGAGCTGCAGTCCCAGGTGCGGGACTGGAGCTGCAGTCCCAGGTGCGGGACTGGAGCTGCAGTCCCAGGTGCGGGACTGGAGCTGCAGTCCCAGGTGCGGGACTGGAGCTGCAGTCCTAGGTGCGGGACTGGAGCTGCAGTCCCAGGTGCGGGACTGGAGCTGCAGTCCCAGCTGGGGGACTGGAGCTGCAGTCCCAGCTGCGGGACTGGAGCTGCAGTCCCAGGTGCGGGACTGGAGCTGCAGTCCCAGGTGCGGGACTGGAGCTGCAGTCCCAGGTGCGGGACTGGAGCTGCAGTCCCAGGTGCGGGACTGGAGCTGCAGTCCCAGGTGCGGGACTGGAGCTGCAGTCTTAGGTGCGGGACTGGAGCTGCAGTCCCAGGTGCGGGACTGGAGCTGCAGTCCCAGGTGCGGGACTGGAGCTGCAGTCCCAGGTGCGGGACTGGAGCTGCAGTCCCAGCTGGGGGACTGGACCTGCAGTCCCAGGTGCGGGACTGGAACTGCAGTCCCAGCTGCGGGACTGGAGCTGCAGTCCCAGGTGCGGGACTGGAGCTGCAGTCCCAGGTGCGACACTGGAGCTGCAGTCCCAGGTGCGGGACTGGAGCTGCAGTCCCAGGTGCGGGACTGGAGCTGCAGTCCCAGGTGCGGGACTGGAGCTGCAGTCCCAGGTGCGGGACTGGAGCTGCAGTCCCAGGTGCGGGACTGGAGCTGCAGTCCCAGGTGCGGGACTGGAGCTGCAGTCCCAGGTGCGGGACTGGAGCTGCAGTCCCAGGTGTGGGACTGGAGCTGCAGTCCCAGGTGCGACACTGGAGCTGCAGTCCCAGGTGCGGGACTAGAGCTGCAGTCCCAGGTGCGGGACTGGAGCTGCAGTCCCAGGTGCGGGACTGGAGCTGCAGTCCCAGGTGCGGGACTGGAGCTGCAGTCCCAGGTGCGGGACTGGAGCTGCAGTCCCAGGTGCGGGACTGGAGCTGCAGTCCCAGGTGCGGGACTGGAGCTGCAGTCCCAGCTGGGGGACTGGAGCTGCAGTCCCAGGTGCGGGACTGGAGCTGCAGTCCCAGGTGCGGGACTGGAGCTGCAGTCCCAGGTGCGGGACTGGAGCTGCAGTCCCAGGTGCGGGACTGGAGCTGCAGTCCCAGGTGCGGGACTGGAGCTGCAGTCCCAGGTGCGGGACTGGAGCTGCAGTCCCAGGTGCGGGAACCATGGCGCGCCCGGGCACCATGACGCGCCAGGATTGCTTCTATTGCACAGATCCTACTTTTATCCCTCCCTTTGAGCCGGTCGCTTTAACTCCTTCCCTCCGCAACTATGCTCGTCGTTTCGTGCAGCAAGCAGCAGTTTGCGAGGGTGGTTAACCCTGGCTTTTGGTGGTGGTCCTTCGCGCTGTGCGACACCGATGGGCAGAGGCTAGGAGAGATCACCCGCAACTGGCGGGGGCTGGGCTTTGAGGTGCGCTGGGAAGCTAGTGGGGCCTGGCATGAGGTGGGGGAGGGGATGCAGGGAAAGTTTTTGAGGTGTGTGTATGGTGCATGATGGCATGAGGGGATTGGTGAGCGCAGCACATGATGTGGTGCTTGTGCTGTGCGTGAGAGGCAGCTGTTGCGGGCACCAATGCTGCAATGCGTGTCTCGTCATTTCTGGGAATTGTTCCGGCAGGTGTTCACGGATTCTGGGCACCAATGTCAATGCTGCAATGAATTATCTGGTCTCTGTGGTGTCGACTAGCGAATGAAACCGCTTCCCTTCGGCTTCGTCGAGGGCGGATTCTTCCTCTCCCGGGAGGCAAGAAAATCCCGTGTCTAGTGGCGTCCCCACCGGGTTGCTATTACCCATGCCGAAGCGCTCCACAACCCCTTTCACATATTTTTCTTGGTGGAGGTGAATGGTCCCGTTCGCGCGGTCGCTCATGTATGCCGCCGTTTCCACCCGTCCCGACCTCTCATACGCCGCCGGGGTACTTGGACGAGCCGTAAGCAACCCTCATACCGAGCATGTGCGTGCGGGAGGACGTGTTCTACGCTACCTCCAAGGCACACCCAACTTGGGAATCGTATATGAAGCCGGTCCAATCGTGCTTAAGGGCTACACCAACTCGGATTATGCCGGTGATCAAAGCAAGCGCAAGAGTACCGGCAGGTACGTCTTCACCTTGCTTGGGGGAGCCGTGAGTTGGCAAAGCAAGTTGCAACCAACCGTGGCTCTAAGCACAACGGAAGCGGAGTATATGGCACTCACTCAAGGAGCCATGGAGGCAATATGACTACGGCGCCTTCTAGCGGAGCTTAGGCATCCTCAAGCCGACCCAACTCCTCTCTTGCGGGAAGGACGACGGTGAGTTGCGGCGTTTGTTTCTCCTTTGTCGGGAACTTGTCTTCGTCGAAGATCACATCCCGAGACGTGACGACGCGTTTTTCATCCAAATCCCACACTCGCCATGCACGCTCGTTCGCCGCAATCCCCAAGTAGATCGCCGCACGAGCTTTCGGTTGCAACTTGTGGCGAAGTGGATCCGGTACATGGTAGTAGCAAAGGCACCCAAAAGTGCGTAGGCGGTATAGGTTCGGCTTCGTTCCGGTCCATGCTTCGAACGGAGTCGTTCCCGGTAGCACCTTTGTTGGCACATGATTACGAATCCATGCCGCTAGCGCACTCGCCTCTCCCCACCACTCGTTCCCAAGCTTGGAGTGTTGAAGAAGTGAACGAACGGCCTCCATCAATGTGCGATTGAGCCGCTCTACCGCTCCATTTTGTTGGGGTGTGTAGGGTGTCGTGACGTCGTGCTTAATGCCCTTGCTTTTCATCCATTTTTCAAGCTCGTTGCTCACGAATTCGCCGCCACCGTCGGTGCGAATGCACTTGATCCGCTTCTTGCCGTCGTCGCAAACGTCGAGCGCCCACTCTTGAATCGCCTTGGCCGCATCTCCCTTAGCCTTCAAGAGTCGGGTCCAACTCATCCGCGTCGCGTCGTCGAGCATCACTAAGAGGAACCGCGCTCCTCCCTTTGATGCATGCCGCATCGGTCCACACACGTCCATGTGAACAAGCGCAAGCGGGTCCTTTGCGAGGGGTGAGGTACGGCTACCAAATGGCTTGCGAGCCATTTTTTCTTCGACACACGCCGCGCACACGCCCTTCTCGTCGTTGCCGGCGATCACGTCAAATCCCTTCGCAAGTCCTTTGTTGGCCAACTCTTTGACCGAGTCGTAGTTGGCGTGCGCAAGCCGATTATGCCACATTTTGAGAGTCGCCTTGGAGCCTTGCGCCACGTTGGATGAGGCCGTTGTCGGATGCGTCTTGAGTTGGTAGAGTTGTCCGTTGAGAACGCCTTGCGCGAATTGCTTCCCCTTCCAAAAGAGGTTCATCTTCGCGCCATCGATGGTGACCTTCACGTCTTTCTTTGCGAGTTGAGTGACGGAGAGTAGATTCACCTTCAATCCCGGGACGTGAAGCACGTTCGTGATGTCCACCGGCCCGCCATCGACGATGAGACGCGTACTCCCAACTCCAACCACCGGTAGCGATTTATCGTTCCCGAAGACGACGCGCTTGAAGTCTCCCGGAGCACCGACGTTGTTGAGGAGCGACGCCGAGTGCGTCATGTGTTGTGTTGCACCGGTGTCGAGGAACCACGCGTCGTTTGAAGTGTTGATCCCGTCATCGGCCAACAAAACGAGCGACTTTGTTGAATCATCCGCCTCGCCGGATGCCGTGTGCGCGTTGCCCTCTTGATTCCGCGCCTTCGATGGAATCCAATCGCTCGGCCGCTTCCGACATTCACGCCAAAAGTGCACCGCTTTGCGACAATAATGACACTTGCTCGAACCGTTCGATGCGTTGCCCTTGCCGCGACCGTTTCCACCGGACGACTTCTTTGCCTCACCGTTGCTCCACTTGGACTTCTTTCCGGAGCTCCCTCCGGAGAACATGGCGGTCTCCACGCTCTCGTTAGCGAATTGTCGGCATCGCGATTCTTCATGGAGAAGCCGACCGACCACCATTTCCTTCGTCCAAGTGTTTTGCACGCTATCGAGTGTCGTAATCACCGTCGACCACTCTTCCGGAAGGCCGCAAAGCAAGGTGAGAATCCAATCCTCCTCCGTGACCGTTCCACCGAGGTCCATGAACGTTTCCCCGAGTTCCTCCACACGAGTCGCATACTCGTGCATCGATTCGCCCGCGCGCAACTTCTCCGTGTAGAACGCATTTCGGGCTAGGATCTTGCCGTGGAGAGTCTTGTTCACGTGCATCGTCTCGAGCCGCTTCCATGCTTCACGCGCCGAAGCTTCGAGCTTGATGCAAGTGCGCACCGAACTCACGAGGTTGATGATGCGCGAAATCAACGTTGCGAACGCCTTTTGGTCCTTCTTCTTCCATGCCGCGATCTCGTTCTCGTTGACCGGCTTTTTCTCCGTTCCGTCGAAGAGACCCCAAAGTCCCCGCTCCATCATGAGCACTTGGAACTTAAATTTCCACGCGGAGTAGTTTTGTCCCGTGAAAATCGGAACCGCCGACGTGTCGAACACCGTCGCGTTTGTCCAGGGTTCGCCGGGATTCGAGACGACACCACCTAAGGAAGTGCCGGAGGTTTCGCTTGACGTCATCATGCTTGCTACAAGTCGCGCACGTAGACTCTACCGACCAGCTCTGATACCATTGTTGTAGAGGCGTCTCCTCTACTTTGCAGGAACTCTAAGTTGCACTAAACGATAGAGCACAGTCTTGGCTTTCCAACAAGCCGTCAAACACGTTAATCGCCCAAGTATACGCCGAGATATTGGCGTTCACGTGATTGCTAGTGCTCTTAGAAACAAGGATAGACCTCTCTGGAATTTTGGTTCGAATGGACCATGTACAAGAAGATTCAGGATACAAGTATAAAGCATGCATACAAGGCAGGTCGATTTATAGCAAATGCATTACATCGGACCGCACATGTAACATCACATCGCTACACTCGCGTCGCGAATGCGCCGCGTGTAACATTTCGGTTGGGGTGAAATTCGACCACCGAATTTCACACCGAACACACCGAATTCGCCTTGCACTTGAAGGTTGGAATGTGGTGCCGCCACGTGGCACCGAAGGGTGAGTCTCCCGAAGTCAATCGGTGCCACCCCACCGATCCCTAGTCAAAGGGATCGAAGGCACCGAAGTGCCCTCGGTGGGTTGGGGGCATACCACCGCCCCACCACCGTTTCCTTCCAACAGGACGGAGTATTTCTGCACCCAACCCAATACACATCACGACAAGCAGAGCGACCGCTCAGTTTAGAGACGAGCGCAGCAAGGCTGTGAAAGCCGAATGAGAGGAAATCTCAGGAGCTGCAGTTGCGCGACCCAGGCAATCAGTCAGGTGCGATTCAACCCGCATGGATGAAGCCATCGGACGGCTTGATGCAAAACAGTGTATTGCAAGGAAATGCGTGCATTCCGCGGCATACGAGTCTAGCATACTGCGAACGAATAGAGGAGAGTGGCAGGATTACGTTTCCCGACCAAACTCAGAGGAAGGCACCTCAAAGTCGCTGCTGGAAGGCATGCCGGCAGCAGGAAGAACATTCGATACCACGAAGAGAACGACCGTCGCAATAAAAAACACGTTGAGATTCATCCTGCTCTGCTGACTAGACATTCTATCGAGTGACTCGAGTCAGAATAATAGTTGTCGTGGTATGTGAGTCGGAGCCAGGGAGTTTAATCAGGAAGTTAGCTATTATGAGTTCTTAATCACCTCAGATGCAACCTTGGGTGAGGAGAAATGAATGGGACGGAGGTCTAAAAGTGTCGAGAAACGAGCAGCAGCGCGAGCGCGCGTTGGAAGCAGCCTAGTGGAAAGGTAGGAATATGAACAGAGCTACTAGTAGGAGATGCAAAGGTAGCATGTGGGAGCTCCAAGTCGAATGCTAGCAACAGCCATGCCAACACTCGAAACTGCGGGCCGCATTCGCATTGCCTTGCTGCTCAACATTCACTGGGGGACATTTTGGAACCGCTCCAGTCGCCGCGCGTATGCCTGTGGGTTCCACTCGAATGCACCATTCGATCAGTGTGGCCATTTCGCTGGCGCCATGCGGCCTCTACACTACGCGACTCCGAGTGTGAGGGAGGGACTTCATGGGGGGCCTGAGGCACGTGGCGAGTAGTTACCGGTACGGCGGAAACTCCCGTTTCAGCGATGCAATGCGAGATTTCGCCACAAAGGAATGGTTGGAGAATGTAACAAGGCTTTCGAACTCCTTTTGATCCAAGTAGGACATACAATTTACACATGACAGAACTGGAACTTTAGCACTGAAAGATGGACCCTTGTAAACTAGGGTAATATACTGATGTTAATATATTATGTATATATTTATTAAAGGAAATTGCAATAGTCTGCTCAGATTCATTTTCATCTTGGACTCGTTTCACCGATACCAGTGACATTATAAACACAAAACAATAGCATAACAATTCTAATTAGAACATGACCCTAAAACGCGATTTGTGGGTGCCTTGTTTTAGTGGTAGGTGAGTCACGTTGACCCGCCATACACCAAGGCGTTATCTAAGTGCGACCCACTCGTTAGAGGCAGTCTAGGATGAAATTCGCGCTTCGTCGTCGTCCCAATGTCGAACAAGCCTTGCCGTACCCTAGTAGCGAAGCACTTCCACGTCACGTCCTTGGCATCGTAACGATGCCAGCTCACTATTCCACATGACAGTCGCAGCAATGCCGGGTCGCTTCGTCCCATCTCCTGCGCTTCCCCCAGCCTCCCCCGGTACGAGATATTCCCACGCTTCTCCCGGAAACTTCCCCTCCGACGAGCCCAGCTCGGCGCGCAATGAGCGAGGACACCTCTCCCTCAGACAGCTCGCTTCCCGACGCACTTCGAGGCGCTCAAAGAACCTCCAGTGGCCACGTGTCATCGGCTAAGACGAATGAGGCTGCGGAATCGTTGGCGCCACGCGGGAAGTCGGGGGGAAACGCGGAAGGGGAAGGCGGAACAGCCAAGATGGAACAGATGACGGAGGAGGCGGAAAAGGAGGCGGAGAAGGGGGAGGATGGGGGGGAGGAGCAGAGCAGTGGTGAGCGCAAGGGGCCAGGCGAAGGGCAGAAGGAGGGGGAGGTGTCGAAGAAGGCGGGGGAAGGGGGGAGTGGTGGCGGAAAAGGGGGGAGCGGGGAGGGCGAGTGGTGCGAGGCGCTGGGCGGGGAGGTTTGGCTGGTGGCGTGCAAGCGACCGCAGCTGCTGGCGCGCAGTGAGAAGGGGATGGGCGCCGTGTGCGTGAACATCGATGATGAGCTGGTGCGTGCCACGTGGCGCTGTAGCGGGTGGCGCTGTGGAACGTGGGGCGTGGTGGGTGGGAGGTGATGGGAGGATGATGATTGGTGGGTGGGTGTGTTAGCAGCGACTGTGCAGTGAGAAGGGGAGGGGCGGCGTGTGCGTGAACATGGATGATGAGCTGGTGCGCGAGGCTGTGGGAGGTGGGGGGGGTGGGGCATGGGGCGTGGCGGGTGGGTGGTGGGGAAAGGGTGCTGGCGGGTGGGTGGTGCGTTCCGTGTGCCACGTGGGGCATGCCCTGTGGAGCGTGGGGCGTGGTTGGTGGGTGGATGGGGGGGGAGGGTGCTGGCTGGTGGCTGGTGGGGTGAGTTAGCTGCAGTGGAATCGAGTGGCGCTGATGGTGAGGTGGAGGGCACCGCTGGTGAGAGGTATGCTGTATCCTGGCAACTGTCCGGGGTCAGCTTCCGCGGAAATGGACGGCCTTCCCCTCCCCCGGCCCATCCCATCCCGCCTCCCATCACCCCCCCCTTCTCTCCCCCACACCAACGCCCAACTCCACCCCTCCTCTCCCCCCCCCCAGGTGTACGAGCCATACTGCATGGACTTTGGGCCGCTCAGCCTGGCGTGCATCCACCGCTACTGTGACACCATGGACCGAGCCCTGCAGGTGAAAGGGGGTGCTCTGTGCTGTGTGCAGTCGATGATAGGTGCCCTGCACCTGGGTGGTGCGTGCTATCACCCATTGCATGCCATGCCTTGTCATCAAGCCCCTTGCCATCCCATTCCACCCATGCCACTACATGCCATCCCCTGCCATCTGACCATGTGTGCTTGCGCTGCGCCATGCAGGAGGGGCGGGGGCTGTCACGAAGGGTGGTGCATGTGTGCAGCAGCGCGCCCCACAAGAAGGCCAACGCCGCCCTTCTCGTCAGTGCCCCCTCTCCCTGCTCCTCCCTGTGCTCCCCCCTTCCCCCTCTGCTCCTCCCTGCGCTCCCCCTTCCCCCTCTGCCTCTAGCCACCTGTGCACTGCATTTACCCCTGTGCACCGCAATCGAACGCCAGTGCTCTGCGTATGTGCTTTGCTGTGCCTGCAAACCACTGCCCTTGCCCCCTACTTCACCCATAACGCCCTCCTTTCCCTACCCTTTCGCACCACTCCTTCCTTTCCCCCACCCCGTCTCTTCCCCCTCCCTTCCCTCCCCCGTCCTCCTCTCTCCCCCACCCGCATCCCCAGCTAGCAGCGTATCTCATTCTGCGCCATGCCATGCCAGCCGATGCCGCCCATGCGGTGCTGCACCCCTTGGATCCGCTGCCGCCCTTTAGAGATGCATCCAACGGCGCATGCACCTTCCACATCACCGCACTCGACTGCTGTCAGGTGCTTGTGTGGGGGTGGAAGGTGTGGGGGGCAAGGAGTGTGGGGCAAGGAGTGTGGGGCAAGGAGTGTGGGGCAAGGAGTGTGGGGCAAGGAGTGTGGGGCAAGGAGTGTGGGGCAAGGAGTGTGGGGCAAGGAGTGTGGGGTGGAATGTGTGGGGGGGGCGAGGTTACATCCAAGACGTCTCAAATGTCACGTCCAACGGCGCTTGCACCTTCCATATCACCACTCTCGACTGCTGCCAGGTGTGTGTTTGGGGCAAGGAGTGAGGGATGCAAGGTGTGTGGGGGGGCAAGCGGACCTTTGAGGTCAAAGACCTTTCCCCCATCCCCCCTTTCCCCATCCGCCCATCCCACACTCCCCCAGGCGCTAGAGCGAGCACAGAAGGGAGGGCTGATAACGGGGTTCCGAGTGGGCGAGTACGAGCGGCTGGAGCAGGCCGACCTCACGTGGATGCTGCCCCATACCCCATCCCGCATCCGCCCTTTCCCCATCCGCCCATCCCCCACCCCCGCCCATGCTGCAGGCGCTAGAGCGGGCACAGGAACGGGGTCTTATTGCGGGGTTCCGAGTGGGCGAGTATGAGCGGCTGGAGCAGGCTGACCTCACGTGAATGCTGCCGGGAAGGCTGCTCGCCTTCAGCACGCCCGCTGACGACCCCGCTAGCGTCATGGTGCGTGGCATGGCATGCTGCTATGGTGTTGGCGTCGAAGGTGGCATAGGGGCATGGGGGTATGGGGGCACAGGGGCACAGTGGCGCGGGGCCATGGGGGTATGGGGGGCTGGAGCAGGCTGACCTCACATGGATGGTGCCGGGGCGACTGCTCGCCTTCAGCACGCTCGCTGATGACCCCGCTAGTGTCATGGTATGTGGTGTCAACAGTCAAAGGTGGCATGGGGGCATGGGGGCATGGGGGCATGGGGGCATGGGGGCATGGGGGCATGGGGGCATGGGGGCATGGGGGCGTGGGGGCATGGGGGCATGGGGGGTACGAGCAGGCAGACCTCACGTGGATGCTGCCGGGGCGACTGCTCGCCTTCAGCACGCCCGCTGATGACCCCGCTAGCGCCATGGTGGGTAGTGGGATGGGCGTGGTGGGTGGTGTCAAAGGTGGCACGAGGGCATGGGGGATGACATGGTGGGTTGCATGGTGTCATCATGGTAGTTGGCATGTGCAATGTGGCAGGCTGGCATGCCATGGCTCTGTGCAGCACAGACGCCTTTGCAACTCCAATGCCCATGTGACCTCTCCTCCATGTGACCTCTCCTCCATGTGACCTCTCCTCCATGTGACCTCTCCTCCATGTGACCTCTCCTCCATGTGACCTCTCCTCCATGTGACCTCTCCTCCATGTGACCTCTCCTCCATGTGACCTCTCCTCCATGTGACCTCTCCTCCACAGCACAGCACAGCCATCCACGCCACTAACCCACCACTCGCTTGCACTGCCCCTCCTTCCACTCCCCCACTGCATGTGACCACCTGCGTCCTCCTGCCATATCAGGAGGGGTACCTCACGCCAGAGGACTATGTGCAGTACTTCCGCCAGGTGAGCTTCCCAGGGCGGCGCTTGCACACCAAGATTGCGCCGTGAATCTGCGTGCTTGCCTGTGGGATGCTGATGGAAAGGCTATGTATGTAGAGAACACAACCAACTCTCTCTTGCTGCAACCACACAAAGCCTGGCTGCACTTGTTTTTCACTGTCCCTGTTGCCACAGAACCAGACGAATGTGTGCAGTTATGCTCGGGTGCATGTGTGCATGTGTGCAACAATGTGTGTGTGCATGCATGCATGCAGGCGGGCATAGCAGCCATAATCCGGCTCAACAGGAGGGTGTACGACAAGAGGCGATTCACCCGCCATGGCTTTGCCTTCTACGACCTCTACTTCCCTGATGGCGGGTCAGTCGTTGCTGGTGGTTGGGAAGGAGTGGGGTGGGGTGGAGTGGGGTGGGGTCGGGTGGGGTGGGGTGGGGTGGGTTGGATGGTATGCGGCGATTCACCCGCCACGGCTTTGCCTTGTACGACCTCTCCTTCCCCGATGGCGGGTCAGTGCTCCCATCCCACTCCGTCATGGCTGCCGGGTGGGATGGGTTGGGTGCTCTGTGCTGGGCATTCCTGAGAAATCATTCGTCCTTACCTTCTCGAGGGCAGCATTGGCCTTCGAGGTGGTGTGCAATCTTTCCCTCCCTTACCTTCTCTCCCGCCCTCCTCTCTTCCTCCTCAGCCTTCTCATCAGTGCCCCCTCGGACGGTATAGTGGAGCGCTTCTTTGCCGTGGTGGAGGGCAGCAACGGCCCTTGACTCACTTACCTCCCACTCCCCTCCTTCCCTCCCCTCCTCCCCCCGTACCTCATCAGTGCCCCCTCGGAAGCCATAGTGGAGCGCTTCTTTGCCGTGGTGGAGGACAGCAACAGCCTTTGAGGCGCCTCAAACATTTGAGGCACTTCCCTTCTCTCCGTGCCTCCCCTCCTCACCCCATCAAAGCGCCGTAGGACGGCATAGTGGAGCGCTTTTACGCCGTGGTGGAAGGCAGAATTGGCCTTTGAGTCCCTTCAAACCTCCAGTTTTCCCGTCGCTGCGCTGAAATCTTCACCCAACCCCCTCCTTCCCTCCCTCCCACTCCCTTGCCTCATCAGTGCCCCCTCAGATGGCATAGTTGAGCGGTTCTTTGCCGTGGTGGAGGGCAGCAACGACCCTTGACTCACTTACCTCCCACTCCCCTCCTTCCCTCCCCTCTTCCCCCCCCTCCATACCTCATCAGCGCCCCCTCAGATGGCATAGTGGAGCGCTTCTTTGCCGTGGTGGAGGGCAGCAACGGGCCTGTCGCCATCCACTGCAAGGTGCTGCTCCCTACCCCGCTTCACTAATCTGCTCCGCTCTGCATGGATGGCGTTCTGCCCTCTCACCCGCTCCGCTCTGCATTGGTGGCTTGGCTTTGCCAGGCACGCTGCTCCACTGTGCCTTGCCAGGCAGGCACCTCTCTGCCATGAGTTCAAGGCTTCTCCAGTTTAACTTCCCTGCACTAAACCGCTCCACACTATCACTCTCACTCACTCCATCTCTCTCCTCCTCCGTTCTCCTCCCCATTTCCCCCTTCCCCTTTTCCCACTCTCCCTCCCCTCTCCCCCCTCAACTCGTGCTGCTCCCCCAGGCGGGTCTGGGGCGCACGGGGGTGCTGGTGGGGTGCTGCCTCATGAAGCACTGCGGCATGACGGCCACGCAGGTGAGGGGCAGTGGGGGGGTGAGGGCGGTGGGACTTGTGGGTGAGTGAGGGTGGGTGCACCGTGCAGGGAGGTATTTGGGGGTGCTGGTGGGGTGCTACCTCATGAAGCACTGCGGCATGACGGCCAGGCAGGTGAGGTTGACGGATGGTGGCATGGGTGGGGAGGATTGGTGGGGGGAGGTGAGCGCGGTGGGGAGGTGAGGGAGGGTGGGCGCAGGGGGTTCTGGTGGGGAGCACTGAAGCACCTTTTGAAGCACTGCTGCATGACGGCCAGGCAGGCAAGGCTGCTGAGGGGAGCAATGGTGGGAGAGCAGTGATTGGGAAGAGTGAAGTGCGGATCTCATCACAGCATGCCATGCCTCTCCTGCTCATGACATCCCCTCACACTCTCACACCCTCGCATCCTCATACCCTCCCGCCCCTAACGCTTCCTCCCCCACCTCATCCACGCCCCATCAGGCCATAGCATACACGCGCTTGGTGCGCCCAGGGTCAGTAATCGGGCAGCAGCAGCACTACCTGGCGCTCATGCACCCGCGCATGGCACGCGCAGTGAGTCCTTGTCTCACCTCTGCATGTGACTGCAGTATGGTGCGAGCCGTAATATCAGGTCGTCTGCATGTGCCATGTGCAATATGCCCCCCTCACCCTTGTCATTGCTATGCCCGCATAGCAATCTCATGACCGCCTGTTTTTCCTTTTTCGTTAGCTTGCCAAGCCATGGCAAGCTGTCACCATCGCATTTGGGCCATTCCCATCTCATCACCCTAGTCTCTGCCATGCACCCACGCGCCCCTGCCACCCGTGCGTGCCTCCCTGTCCCATGCTCTCTTTGCTCTGTCGTCCTCTCAGGGCGAGGAGTTTCGGCGAAAGACCCGAGCGCTCTCACCCTTCTCACCTCGCACTACCACCAGCACTGCACCCGGCAACCCGCCCCCTGTGCTCCCGCACGCTCACGCGCCCAGCCTCGCCCTGCCATCGCGCACGGGGCGCAAGGTGTATGCTCGCACGGACGAGCAGGCAGCAGCAGCAGTGGCCGACCTGCAGTTTTCCCGCCATTCACGCTCGCTCGCCCGCACCGGCTCCGTTCCTGTGCGGCCAGGCTCGGCAGGACCGATGCGGTCAGGCTCGGCCGGGCCAGTGCGGTCAGGCTCATCAGTGTCGCTGCGGTTTCCCCTGGGGAGGAGTGTGAGCCGGCCAGGCAGCAGCAGCAGTGGCGCCGAGAGCAGCATGAGTGGCGTGGGTGGTGGCGGGGGAGAGGGCATTGGGCCGAAGCAGAGGAGACAGCGGGAGGGAGGGGGGAGGGAGAGGCGCGCAGCTAGTGCAGCCACCACACCACGTGCACGTGGGGATGGTGATGGGGCGGAAGGGGCAGAGGAGGGAGGGGGAAGCGGGGAGGAGGGTGAGAAGGGAGGGGAGGGAGGAGAGGAAGGGGGTGGGGCGGGAGCGAGGGAGAGCGGGGCATGGGTGAGGCTGAGGAGGCTCGGGGGAAGCATGCGCGAACGCGCCCTCTCCCTCTCCTCCTCCCCTGCCCTGCGCCGCCCCATCAGCAAATCAGCTTCCATGTCCCCATACACATCCATGCCTGCCATGACTCCCATGACTCCCCATGCCTCTGTGCCTGCATCCCATGAATCTGCTGCCCTGCACCCCGGCATGGCATCCCCCGAGCCTCGCCATGTGCGGGCTGCCAGGCGCCTCAGGCTGCGGGGGGTGTGGGGGGCTGCTGATGGGGTGCGGATTGGGGGGAATGTGTGGAAGGAAGCAGGGGAGGGTGGTGGTGGTGGGGGGGAGGTGCGTGTGGGGGAGGGCGGTTGTGGTGGGGGGGATGGGAAGGGGGGAGCGCGGTGTGGCGAGGGGGAGTGCAGTGCGGTGGAGGGCAATGTTGCTGTACAAGAAGCAGAATGTGTAGGTGAGGAGGGTGCTGGTGCAGCAGATGTAACGGGAGAAGGCAGGGATAGGGAGTCAAGAGGGGCATCAGAGCAGGCAGCAGAGGATGCAAGCGCGCTTGCAACGAGGATGGACAGTGCAGCACAGGTGGCAGCACTGCTGGCAGCACAGGCTGTACCGAGTGAAACAGTGGCATCAGATCAGGGAGCGCCAGAGGCAGCAGCAACGGCACCAGATTCTGAGAGGCCGCAAGCAGCAGCAGTAGCAGCAGTAGCAGCAGAGCGGGTGGGGGCGAGCAGGAAGACACACTCACGGGCGGCCTCATGGCTGGGATTGTCATTCTGTGGCCTGATGCCATGCCAGCCGTCAAGACCACCACCATCACCGTCTTCATCACTCTCACTCTCATCCCCGCCATCACCACCACCACCGCCACCGTCAGTTTCTGCTGCAGCGCGCACATACACACCCGCAGGCTCTGCAAGCCCGCTTCCCTCTCCTCTTCCAGCCCGCCCTCCCTGCTCCGCAGCAGGTGCAGCAGGCGTGGAGGGGGCAGCAGAGAGAAGCGAGGCAGAGGGAGCGGCAGAAGAGCCAGCGGCAGCGGCGGGAGGTGCAGAGGCAGCAGGGTTAGCTCCAGAAGATGCCGGCCCAAGGCCTGGGGGGCCAGTGACATGCGACTACACACTGGCTGATGCAGACCTAGCTCCTAGGTTTGGGCGCATACAGGCGGCTGGTGTGCAGGGGGCAGGAGGGGAGCAAGCAGGGGCGCGCAGCAGCACAGTGGTGCGAGTGATCAATGCAGGGGGACAGCCCAGGAAGGTGGTGGTGCCGGCAGGGCAGGGGAGAGGGCGGGGTGTGGGTGTAGAGGCAGGGATGAGAGGGGTAGGCGGGCATGCGCAGGCGGTTTCCGTGGCTAAGTTTGGTGCTGTGCAGGGTGGTCGGTTCAGGCTTGGTGTGAGAAGATAGCTTGTCAAGCTAGCTGTACATTCCTGTTGCCCACCCTATTGCTTGTCCAATTCCTTGTTGGCAATGTGAGTTGTCTTCTCATTGCCCCAATGCACGTGCATGGGCAGTAGTTGTTACCGGTTTCAACTGCTGCCCGACTCATGACATGCTTCCCCAACCCAACAAATCCACCATTGAAGGCCCCAGCAACCCAGCAGCACAGACCCCAGCAACCCACAAGCAGGTCTAGCTACAAAGTTCCACATATTTCAAAACGATGTGTAAGGTTGGGTGAGTAATTGCCTCAATGGGCTGCCTTACAGCAACTTGTCATAATGGTACATACAAATCCATTGTACATAATTTACCTATGGCACACACAACCACCACCATCACAGTGGCCTAAAGGGCTACTACTTGACGCCCTGAGTGTCAATCCTCGGCCGTAGGTCCCACGGCAGTCCGATTCGTAGGTAATAGCAGACACCCCTATGCGGTATCTCAGTAACCAATGGCGGCTACTGGAGACCAGCTCCGTCCCTAAGGGCGGTCATACGGTAGGTGCTCCGCCCGCACCCGCGCGCGCCTTCCAGCCGCGGCAGTCTCCCGCACCAACTGCCCAACCGCCCGCAGCGCGCATCACTCGCGGAGTCTTCTCTCGCCCAGCAGCCTGCGCCCGACCGCACTCGCGATCCCCGGACCTACATCCCCCGCCCCTTCCGCCTCCTCCCCCTCCGCCATCATCTCCGCCACCGCCCACGACCCGTCGCCCTCCTCTCTCCGCGCGCCGGCGACTCCTTCCGCCGCCTTAAACCGCGAGAACGCGCAATCCGCGGCGACGAGGCTGGACGACCGGTAGCTCTCGACGGAGCCGTCAAGATAGCCGTCGCCGTTATCTCCTGCCACCTCCCACGCCTGCGCGTCGCGGCTCCACTGCAGGCTTACCGCGAACGATCGCTCCTTCTGGGAACTCCGGAAGGTTTGCCCCATCACGCCGTGCGGGTCGGTCAACCCTCCCCCAGATAAAACCTCCACCGAGAAATGCACAAACGCGTCCGCTGGTGATTGCCGGTCGACCGCCTCTGGCCTAATATGGACAAGGAAGTCCGCCCCTTGCCGGCCGCCGGACTGTATTCTGAGAGTCTCGGTTTCCACACCGTTGGATTCGGTAACTCCCACGTGGTGCACTCTCAGCGCGCCGTCGTCGCTCTCTAGGATGTGCGACGGCGACAATCGCTGGGCGACGTCGTCTAGCACAATCGACTGCAGGAAACCGTCGCCGAGCGACGCGTCTGACCCTTGCCGCGCTCTAAGCTGTAGCGAGTGGCCGGCGACGAGCACCCCTAAAGCCTTGACCCATGTGCGCTGCGTGGCGCCTGGATTAATGTCAGCATCGCTGCCTGAACTGATCGAATCGTCGCCTAGACTACCCGAGTCGCCGGCCATTTCCATGTTGATGTGCAGCGAGGAGTCGGAGAGAAGGCAGTAGGCCTCGCCGGGCACGCCAGTGAATCGGAAATGAACGCCATCGGCGCCCTCGAAGTGCGGATCGCCGAAGAAGGACGCTATTGGCTTCTGCTCCGCTGCTGCTAGACCTAGTCTCGAGTTGGTGAGCACTATGAGAACCACGAGTGCTACTACGCGATTTTGACAGGCTGAAGCCATGTGTGCGGACAATGGAAGGAAGAGATGTGGTTGTGTGGAGATACAAGCTAAGATCCGTTACCTAGTGCCTCTTGTTAGGACGGTCTCATTGTGATAAGACTGAACTGGCTTTGTTAGCAAAGGGGAAGGGGATGGAGTGGGATGAGATGAGGTGGGATGCGTTGCGAGGGGATGGCAATACAGTGTTCGATAATGTGTTGTGTTTGAAGGATGCACCTGGGAAGGATGCGGAGGGTGTGCTGTGCGGCCAGGGTGGAAGAACGAGGAGGGCGGGAAAATATAGCCTATATCGCAGGTAGGGCGGACGTTTCTGATGGTTGGTGGGGGGCGGGCGCTAGAACTATTCCGCCAAGCGCGCCAACCAGATGGCCCCACCCTGGGTCTTCTGTTCTCTGGCGAAAATGACCAAATCATACCTGCGATCTGCGCAAGGAACAACCTTCAAATCGAAGCCGTCAGGGTCCCTCGCAGAGTATCACACGACCGTCGATCACAGCGAGTTACAGTCAACCATTTATGCACCACTCCTTGAATTTGTGTGACTGCACCTGCGACGCGGGTGGCCTAGGTGTGCCACGATCAGCAAGATGTGGAGCGGAGTGGACACCATGGATCCTGCTGTCGCTGCGAAAGCCTGTCGCGAAATGGATTACAGCTGAGAAGGTTGGTATGGTAACTTCTCGATTGTGGGGCTTCATTTTTGTATGATTACATTATGAGCGAGAATTGTGGCAGCTGATGTGTACCTTTATAACAACTACTATATGCAAATGTGTGTGCGCATGGCGAATGCGTGGTGACAGGAGTTGGCAGCAGCATCAACCAATGACCATGTGGACTCGCGAATGCTGTTCTGATGACATGTCAACTGCGCAATCTCGTACCCGGAATTCGAACGTCGGGGAAAGCCACAACAGATTCTTCATCCAGTGCAATAGCAACACGTGGCCAGCCCTGTCTTTCCTTCCTCGGCCTTGTGAGAGCGACACGGCACTGATGGATACGTGAACATCAATCAATTCAAGCCAAGCAAGCCAAGCTCAAGCAAAGCGGAAACTGGGAACCTGCTCCCTCAGCAATCATTTCACAGATTCCACTCACCAACCATGGCTGCCATAACCTCGTTCGGAAATCTGTCTGTGAAGCTGCAAAGCAACGCCTTCATTGGTGAGATGCTGATCACCTCATTCACCGCTGTACCGTAAAAGCGAGCAGCAGTCTAAAGTGAAGCTTTCCTTTCCGTTTGCAGGCCAGAGGCTTAGAAGTACTGCAGTTCCGGCTTGTCAGGTAGGCGAACTTCCGCTGCATTCTGAACACCGCGCCATCCGATGGTCCCGCGGCTTTAACCCTGTCACCTCGATGCCTCTGTTAGGTATCGCATGGCCGGCCAGCGTCTTTGGCGGTGAGAGCAGAGGCAGCGGACGGCGATCGGAAGAAGACGGGTGCCGAGCTGCGAGAGGAGTTCTTTTTGGCGGCCGCCACTGGCAAGGAGAGAGGGTGAGTCGAAGGAATCGCAACGCAGAATGAAAAAGCAATTGCATGGGCAGGAAAGCAACAGTAGGAACATTTTGATTCGTGAGCCTTTGTACCTTGCCCCTCTATGCTAGCGCTCGAATCTCCCAATCGTCCTTCTTTTTACATCACATTGTCATTTTAACGTGGTGTTAACCCCTGTCTCCTCGGTCCTCTCATCGATGCTCCCTTAAATCCCCCTAGTCTGCCCGAGGGAGCGTTTCTGAACGACAATGTGGTGGACGGGCCCATGGTGGACATCACGTGGGAGCCGTACGGCGACACCTGCAGCGCGCCGGTGAGTGCTTGCAATGCCACCTATTTTTCTCTCGTGGGTGCGTGGCTCGCACAGTGGGAATTAGGACGAGAATGTCGAAGTTGTAGGAAGACTGAAGCGTAGTACTAATTTGTTGAAAATAAAAATGATTCACTTTGGTCCATTCACAACGTGAAGGTCATCTTTCATCGTTCAGCTGATATTATCCGCCCAAAATGTGTAGCAGTAGGATTATTTGAATCTGGAATGCTGCACAGCCCGGACTTCTTCTCCCCACCAGTTTCCATACTTCCTCTCGATATTCTCAGACACAGCTTGCTTTCTTTCATTACCCTATTCACGCTCACCCGCTGAATAATGTCAGGAGGGTTCCAGTCTGCTAAAGGCGTCTGTCGACGCGGGTGCCTTGACGATTGACAACCGCTTCTGCCTCACAGGGCAATGTGATGTTTGCATCATTGAGCTTGACGGCGAGGTGATGAGGTCATGCATGAAGCCAGTTCCAACGTGAGTCAGACTATTAATAGCAGGGCTTTAACAAGGGGACCAGAATATGTGGATTACAACTTTGACGTTATGTCTATGTGTGTGTGTGCACGCACACACTTGTGGTCTGTGCATGTACACTTCTGCCTGTGCATTTGACTCTTTCTCCTCGTCCAATTGCATCTGTTTTGTGTGCGTGGCATGTGTAAATGCAGGGGGCAAAAGAGTATAACATGCCTCGTCCTTGATACTGATGACGCCTGGTGAGTGAAATTGGTGTTTTCTGGTTTATTGTCTCTTGGCTGGCTAGCTATCTGACTCCCCGCTTTCATGTGCAGGGACGAAATGATGGTTTGAGGATCTTGATGTAACTTATAAGCGTCAACCCACACCTCTTCACGACTAGTGGATTTCATTGTTGTATCGAGGACATTTCTGCACTACACCCAAAACTTGGTGGCTGTGCAAGATTTTTCGTCGAGGAACTCAAAGATCTAGTGATTCTGAACCACAACTTCCATCAATGTCGATGGTGGTGTGGCTTACGCTTAGTGGCTATGGAATTTGCCAAATCGAATGCTTACATCATTATAACGCCAGAACACGTGTTCAGACGAGCTTTCCTGGATAGAAGAAAATAATTTGTTTGGATGAGTTGATAAAACATGAAATTGCACAGAAACCTTATTCACGCGCTTCAATACAGTAGACCCAAAATCTTTTCCATCTCACTTTTGCAATCCGCAAAGCGTATTGGTCTCCCAAGCTGCACAAATTCGTCCAATCGCATTTCTCGCGGGTATCAAGGAGCTGCCATGTAGCCCTTGATTCTGCCCTCCCGCTCTGGGATTCCCGCATTGTATCTCCCTCCATCGCATCTGCCCTCCTCAACCTCACCAGCTCGGCTGCCTGCACTTGACAAAAGCAGAACATACATCACACTCTGCTCGGAACAAAACGCAGATATCTTCCACGATTCAAGAATTGGCTTTGAGCCCGTTTGACTTGAGGCTTTCCCTCTTGTCAACGCTCGCAGCCTCCCTCAAGCTCCCATATCAGCCTCTTCGCTAGCAATGGCAGGCCTTCCGTGCCAGGTGACGGCTGCGCTTGCGGGCGCGCGGCTCGCGTTTCACTACGACGTTCGACCCGCTTGCGCCATTAGCAACCCTGTCTCGAGTCTTGTGCGAATTTCACCTTTTTGGGGCGAGGCGATTGGGGGTGTACACGCGAAATCAGGATGCGTAGGATCGAGAGAGCGATTCTTCCAACACGCGTCGACCCGTGAGTCGGGAGTTTGCGTTACGGCGTTTGGCAAGGAGGGAGCGAGCGACATTGACGGCAGCGTCGCTAGCGTATCGGACAACAGACGTCAGATCCGAGAAATTCTTGCCAGTGCCGCTTCACCTGACGCCGACGTGAGCGCGGGAATGGGCGTGGGAGGGTGCGACTTCCTGCAGTCAGGCTGCGAATCCGACTGTCCGATATGCGCATCCGCGGGTGCAGGAGGGCGCTCGAGCGATGGCGAGTCCCCGCCGTGCCTGATTGGCCTCACCACCGCCGCTCAATTCGCGCGCAAGGACGCCACGCGGCTTGCCAGGTGCCTCTTCCATTCCATTGCTGCATGTCTTCGTTGTTGACGTCACCAAGCGCTATCGGTTGCATGGAACACCATTGGCCTTCAGAAAGATCGTAATGCGACCTCGATTCAGCTTAGCTATTCTTCTTGGTTCAGCTCGGCAAGCGTAGACGGCTTGAGGACGAGTCTACAATCACACTTGCTGGCCTCCGTCTCGCTCTGTCCCCCCTCATTCTCGCCGTAAAATCACGTCCAATCCGCTGCTGTGTCCGTGTGCGCCTGTGCCCTGACAGGGGGTTCTGGTCGCTGGACTCGAGGGCGCGCGAGGACGTGGCGCTGCTGGGATCCAAGTTCCTCACGCTCGACGGTAAGTTCTCCTCGCCTGTAAGTTCCTAACGCTCGCCGGTAAGTTGGTCAGCTTGACGGTAAGCTCGTCACGTTCGACGGCACGTCCCGTATTCCACTCTTTCTTCCTCATTCTCGCCCACCGTATTCCGTTCCTCCCCGCGGTTCGCGTACTGTAATTTCCTGCTCGCCATCCTCCCGCCGTCCCTCGCTCCCATCCCCTCCCACTGTCCGCCGGTCCGTGCCCGCCATGTGAGCAGCGCGGGCGCGCGAGGACGCGGGCGTGCTGGATGCGCGCGCGCGGCTGCGAGTCAGGCGCCTGCGACACCTGGCGCTGGTACGACAAATGGCGGGAACAGGTGCGGGGGACGAGGTGCATCAGGTTCAGTGAGCACCAGGAGCTGTAGCAATTCAGCCTGTGCCAACCAATCTGTGCAAATTCCAAGCCAGGCCTATGCGTGGGCTAAGGGCTGTGCGGGCGTGGGGTCAGGATTTGTGTGCATGGGCTAACGAGCATGTGGGCGTGGTGCGTGGTGCGTGCGGCTGTGGGGCTGTGCGTGTGGGTGCAGGGGTTGGAGGAGAGTGCGCGCGAGGAGCTGAGTCGCCAGGCGGCGCAGCACTGGCGAGATGGCGCCCTCGCGGTGAGCCTTGGGTCATGCCTCATGTGTCATGCTTCATGTGTCATGTGCCATGCTTCATGTGTCATGTGTCATGTGGCATGCGTCATGCGGGCTGCTTGGGAGTGGGTACCATTCATAAAAAAAAACGATTTGCTCCTTTATACTAGTGCTCACCAGCTCCTTTCTCCCTTCCAACCTTCGAGACTAATGACTCACCACCCTGAACCCTCATGCCTTCCATTCTAACACCCCTGTTTTGGCATGGCATGGCATGGCAGGCGGATCTGCGTCTTGCCGACATGCGCATGAGGCGGCGAGGGCTAGAAGACGTCTTCCTTGCTCTGCAGGTACTCGCGTCCACTCCATCCATTCGCATGCATGCTAAGTGTCACATGCATGCGAATCCATCCGCCACAGCATCGTCCACACCTTCCCCCTCATGCCCCTTCGCCCCCTCCCATGCTGCTGCCTGGTTGCCCTTATTCCCTATGGCCACACACAGGTGGTGAAGAGCCTTCACTCCGCTATAGTCACACTGCTTCGCCCCGACGTCCTCCCTTCGACTGCACCCTCCACTCCTGCTTCCTCAGCCTCTAATACCCCTGCCACCACCACAAGAAGAAGCAGCACCGCACTGCACCCATCGGCACCCCTTCAAGATAGCTCCGCTGCATCCACCCCATCCACCAGTGAAGCCACCATGCCACCGTCCCCCTCACAACCGCTTCCTCTGACGGACTCTCAAAGTGAGGGTGCAGAGGGGAGTAGATTGGAGGAGGATGGGGAAGAAAGGAGGTCTGTGAGCACCAATCCCCTCACGCCACGTCAGCGGCAGCATCCGCTATCCACACTGTCGTTCAAGACGCTTGCTGCACTTGACGTATGAGTCTTGCCTTGAGCCATCCCCATGTGTGCTTTCGTAGACTGCAATGCCGATGCACTTCACCCTCGATGCTTCTCTCCCGTGCTTTCTCTCTGTCCTCCTCCCTCTTGTTTGTCGCATGTCACCATTACCTCATGCCGTCGCTTCATGCCAGCGCCTCATGCCGTCGTGCACAAACTCAGCATCACCTGTAATTTGTCTACTGAATCCTCTCTGTGTGTGCTTGCAGGAGCTGTACCGAGAGATTGGCCCACACTCCCTCACACCGTTGGAGGGGGAGGAGGACGGGGAGGAGGAGGAGTGGGGAGTGCTGGGAGTGGGGGGCGATGACAGCACCACAGAGGAGGTCAGCACACCTCCTGCTCTGCCCCTACGTAGCTGCATCCATCCCGCTGTGCTGCCTTCCTTCGTCCCTCCCGCCTCCCCTCCCTTCTGCAGAGCATTGCAACAGCAACCCATGCCCTCTCGCATCGTCCTGCTCCTCATCTTTCCCTCTTCCACCCCTCCCTCGCATTCCCTTCCTTTCCTCCTCCCCCTCCATCTGTAGCTGGGCTTCCTGATGGCAGCGCTGGTGGACATGGGGGAGGTGAGCAGCAGCTACGGCTTGGCTCTGCTGCACCGCTGCTGCGCCTCCCCCCACGCCGCTCTGCGCCTGACAGCTGTTGACGCCCTCTCCAGCGCCCCTTCCCTCTCCGCCCTTGGGAATGCCGGCTTCGCCGTGCTGCAGGTCAGTGTGGGGGTTGAAGTGAGGGGAGTGGTGCAGGTGAGGGTGAGGGAGTGGTGCAGGTGAGGGTGAGGGAGTGGTGCAGGTGAGGGTGAGGGAGTGGTGCAGGTGAGGGTGAGGGAGTGGTGCAGGTGAGGGTGAGGGAGTGGTGCAGGTGAGGGTGAGGGAGTGGTGCAGGTGAGGGTGAGGGAGTGGTGCAGGTGAGGGTGAGGGAGTGGTGCAGGTGAGGGTGAGGGAGTGGTGCAGGTGAGGGTGAGGGAGTGGTGCAGGTGAGGGTGAGGGAGTGGTGCAGGTGAGGGTGAGGGAGTGGTGCAGGTGAGGGTGAGGGAGTGGTGCAGGTGAGGGTGAGGGAGTGGTGCAGGTGAGGGTGAGGGAGTGGTGCAGGTGAGGGTGAGGGAGTGGTGCAGGTGAGGGTGAGGGAGTGGTGCAGGTGAGGGTGAGGGAGTGGTGCAGGTGAGGGTGAGGGAGTGGTGCAGGTGAGGGGATCCTATGAGTGTCGCATGCGACAGGGAAGAGGTCCAAGTGTACCTGAGTAGATGAATGTGCTGTAGATGCATGGATTAGAATCGAATCTTGAGTTGCGTTGCATGCGATACTGGCGAGTCTTGTCGTCGCTCTTACGATGTGTGTATTGTACTCCCTTCCTATCTCAGACGCTGACAGAAGATGCGGATCCGGAGGTGGCAGAAGCAGCAGCCATGGCGATAGCACAGCTGCAGGAGAAGTGGCAGCAGCAGCAGCAGCAACGGGAGGAGGAGGAGCAGGGCGGGGCGGCAGGCACAGGTGCGGCTGCTGCCTTGTCACTGGAGCAGGCATTCAGTCGCGCCGCCGCCAAGTGGCAACACGCCGGTTCTGGTGGTGCCACTGATGACGAGCAGGCAGATGAGAGCACAGATGGCGGTGTGGATAGCAGTGCGGATGGTGACAGTGACGGCTGTTGATAGGGCCTTACGGTAGAGATAAGTCATCTGTAACGTACGGTACATGTGGAGCAAAATAGCACCGTGTGCTGAAAGAGGGTACACTGTACCTGCATGGCGTCTGTATATAATTGAACTTTGGTGCCGTTGCACCGTGCTAGTGACAGGCATTTTCGAGTACAGTATTTTTTGCAAGTGGGTGGGATGGGATGACCAGTGCCGATTGGGATGCCTTGCGCCGCTGATTGATCACAACAGAGTGGGATCTGGGCCAGGTTTTAGAGTGGAAAAGGTGGCGAGCTGAGGAAGTATTGTGTGAGGTTCGTTAGAGTTTTAGCACATAAGATCGAAACTATGGTACTCTAGCTTTTCTGCTCATTAGGGGCTAAGAAAGGATGCCACCAGTGTAGGTGAGTGAATGAAAATCTTATATCACTCTCTTGAAGTCATCACGCAATAACCCGCTAATGTATCCTCGATAAAGCACACCTCAAACTTGTGCACATTCCCTGCACCCACCTCACGCCATGTTCGCCATCCTTCAGCAACCCTAAAAACGCTTCATCACTTCCTTACGACATTAGGATTGGCTCGATGCTCAATGATACTACTCTCTTCCATCGCTTAGTCCTAGTCCTTAGTCCGTTCGTCAGCCCTGTTCGATTTTTCTTGTTAACGCAGGGAGTATATTTGCGCTCTACTCGCATCTGGCGCTGTTCTTTCCCTGCGCGTGAGGCACGGGCGGCGTGCAGCGGCGCAGTGGCGGAGCGAGCGACGGTGGTGCGCGGAGTGGGTTGGGACGCGGGGAGGCATGGCGGACGAGGATGTGGTGGAGGTGCGTGGAGCGGAGGGCGACGAGCAGGGCGAGGTGAAGGACGGAGCAAGCGATTACGAGGACTACGGCGACGATGATGTGGATGATGTCGTGGATGATGATGTGGATGATGACGTGGATGAGGAGGAGGAAGAGCAGGAGGAGGTGGAGGACGATACGCAAGGGGGGGTTGAGGAGGAGGAGGAAGTACAAGAGGCGGACACCCCGCGGGGCCGCGACAGCCAGTACAAGGCGAGTCGCTGCCTCCAGTAACCCCGCGCTGCGTCGCACTCGCTGCTCGTTCTCTGCTCGTTCTCTCCGGCTACTGTTCGTTCTGACACCTCTTTCCCCCCTGCCCGCCTCTGCTCTCTCCCTCCCCCTGCCATAACGCTGACATCACCAACGGCCACGCGAATGCCGCCACCGTCCTTCACCGATCTGAACCGTTGCAGGTGCTGTCGGAGGCGGACATAGTGCGGAAGCAGGCGCGGCTGGTGCGCGAGATCGTGAGCTTCCTCAACGTCTCCGAGTCCGCCGCCGCGCTGCTGCTGCGCTCCTTCAAGTGGAGCGTCAACCGCGTCACGTGAGCCGCGCACTCTCTCGCTGCCGCTCCCATCCGCCACCCCCGCCATCACCGCGCGCTTCGCCATCCATTTCGCGTTGCCTCTCTGCGCCTCCGCGCACCGTGCCTCCACGCACCGTGCCTCCGCGCACCTTGCCTCCGCGCGCGGTGCCACCATGCACCGTGCCTCCCCTGGTCTTCCTCACCGCTCTTTCTGCGTCCCCTCTCAACCCCTGCCTATCTCTCCCCTGAATGTCTCCACCTTGTCCCTCCCGCCACCCCGCTCTCTCCCCCCTCCCCCCTCCATTCTCTCCTCCCCCCCCGTTCCTTCCGCCAGCGACGCGTGGTTTTCGGACGAGGAGGGGGAGCGCAAGCGCCTGGGGATCTTCGCGCCCGCCTCCCCGCGGGAAGCCTCATCGTCCGCGTCCGTCCCCGCTACAGTGCGCTGCGGTATCTGCTTCGACGACCACCCTCTCGAATCGACGGTCGTGATGGCGCTGTGCGGGCAGCACCGCTACTGCGTGCCCTGCTGGCAGACCTACGTGGCATCCGCCATTGCTGACGGGGCGGGGTGCCTGTCGCTGCGCTGCCCTGCGCCCAAGTGTGGCGCAGCAGTGGAGGATGCGCACATCCTCGCGCTCCTCGCGGACGCTGCTGCGCCCGCCCAGGGGGACGCGCTGGGGGAGGGGCGGGGGGAAGCGGGTGGGGAAGGGGTTGTTTGCGCCGAGGAGAAGGGGAAGGGGAAGGAAGCGTTGGATGACAGGGGAGTCGATACAGCAGCAGCAGCAGCAGGAGCAGCAGGAGCGGGAGGCACAGAAGTCAGTTCCCGTGAGGCTGCGGCTGGTGGTGCTGCAGGTTCGTCCCAGAGTGTTGGGCGCGGTGGCAAGGCGCGGAGGGTCAAAGGCGCGCCCGCTGCGCCCCTGCCTGCTGCAGCTGAGCCCGGAGGCAGGGCGGCTGCGGCTTGTGGCTCGGCCGCACAGCAGACAGCAGCAGCAGCGGCGGAAGCACCAGTGCAGTCAGCAGCAGCGGCAGGGGGGGCAGCAGCAGCAGGCGGGGCAGCAGCAGCGGGGGTTGGCGAAGATGAGGGCAGCGGAGCAGCATTCCCGTGTGGGGCGGGGGTGGCGGCAGCAGCGGCACAGCGGTACCGGCGGTACCAGCTGCGGTCGTTTGTGGAGGCGAGTGAGAGCGTCAAGTGGTGCCCCTCGCCCGGCTGTGACTACGCTATCCACTCCGAAGGCGGCGCCCCCACCCCCCGCGCCCTGCCAGGCGCGGGGGCGCGCGGGGGGAAGCTGAAGGGGGTGATGGCGGAGGAGGAGGAGGAGGGCGGCAGGGGAGGGGCGGTGTGGGGCGGGAGCAGGAGCCGGGACGTGCGGTGTGCGTGTGGGCATGAGTGGTGCTGGCACTGCCTGCAGGAGCCCCACCGCCCCGTCGACTGTGAACTCGTGCGCAAATGGGTCGTCAAAAACAGGTCCGTGCCTCGCCCTGCCACTGGCGCTGCTGGGAGCATGGGTAAGGGGTGGGGAGGGAGGGTTCGTGGCTCGGCCACAGGATACGCAGCTGGGCTTTGGGGTAAGCAGCTGGGCGTGGAGCTGAGAGGGCATCATTCTTTCCAACATATGCCCATCTCTCCCATCCCCACCTTATCTCCCCCCATCCTTTCCCATTCCTCCCGATCCGCCGTTCTCTCCCCCGATTTCCCCTGTGCACGGGTGGCAGTGCGGAGTCGGAGAACATGAAGTGGATTCTGGCCAACAGCAAGGCGTGTCCGCGCTGCCAGCGGCCCATAGAGAAGAACCACGGGTGCATGCACATGACGTGCTCGCCGCCGTGCCGCCACGAGTTCTGCTGGCTGTGCCTCGGCGACTGGAAGGAGCATGGCGAGGGCACCGGGGGGTTCTACGCCTGCAACCGATACGAGACCAGCAAGAAGAAGGTGGGTGGGGGAGGGGGAAGGGAGAAGGGAGAGGAGGGGGAGGAGCAGGGGGGGGGATGGAGGGTGGCAGAGGGAGGTGGGGGAGGAGGGCGGTGAAGGTTGATAGTGGTGTCAGGGCGATGGAGAAGGGACTGTCTGCGCTGGGGGGAAGAGCTTCTAGAGGCCTGTTACCTGTAGAACCAATGTATTTCTGCCTCCCTTCCCTTACGTGCAGGGCGATTACAACGTGGAGGAGGAGCGGCGGCAGCGGGCGCGGCAGTCTCTGGAGCGGGTAGCAAGTGGAGGAGGGGCCTGTGAAACCAGTGTATGTCTCCCTCCTTGTCTCCCTCCTTGTCTCCCTCCCCTCAGGGCGATTACAATGTGGAGGAGGAGCGGCGGCAGCGGGCGCGGCAGTCACTGGAGCGGGTAGCAAGTGGAGGAGGGGCCTGTGAAACCAGTGTGTTTCTGCCTCCTTGTCTCCCTCCCCTCAGGGCGATTACAATGTGGAGGAGGAGCGGCGGCAGCGGGCACGGCAGTCACTGGAGCGGGTAGCAAGTGGAGGAGGGGCCTGTGAAACCAGTGTATGTCTCCCTCCTTGTCTCCCTCCCCTCAGGGCGATTACAATGTGGAGGAGGAGCGACGGCAGCGGGTGCGGCAGTCTCTGGAGCGGGTAGCAAGTGGAGGAGGGGCCTGTGAAACCAGTGTATGTCTCCCTCCTTGTCTCCCTCCCCTCAGGGCGATTACAATGTGGAGGAGGAGCGACGGCAGCGGGTGCGGCATTCTCTGGAGCGGGTAGCAAGTGGAGGAGGGGCCTGTGAAACCAGTGTATGTCTCCCTCCTTGTCTCCCTCCCCTCAGGGCGATTACAATGTGGAGTAGGAGCGACGGCAGCGGGTGCGGCAGTCTCTGGAGCGGGTAGCAAGTGAGGAGGGGCCTGTGAAACCAGTGTATGTCTCCCTCCTTGTCTCCCTCCCCTCAGGGCGATTACAATGTGGAGGAGGAGCGGCGGCAGCGGGCGCGGCAGTCACTGGAGCGGTACCTACACTACTTTGAACGCTGGGCCAGCAATGAACAGTCGTGGCGCCGCGCGCAAGAGAGCCTCAAAGAGGTGAGAGGCGGGGGAAGAGAGGAGGCGAGGGCTTGAGGTGAAGAGACAAGGTGAGGGATAGGAGGAGGAGCGGCGGCAGCGAGCGCGGCAGTCACTGGAGCGGTACCTTCACTACTTTGAACGTTGGGCCAGCAACGAACAGTCGTGGCGGCGCGCTCAGGAGAGCCTCAAAGAGGTGAGGATGGGGGGTGTGAGGAATAGAGTGGGGGGAGAGGAGGTGAGAGGCGGAGAAGAGAGGAGGTGGAGGGGGGAGAGAGTGAGATGAGGAGGTGAGTGAAAGGTGGTGGTGAGGTGAGGTGAGGTGATGGAGGAGGTTTGAGGGGGTGTCGAGGAGGCGCTTAGGCAGTCACTCCATTCCAAGTTCCAACTCTGCGTGCCTTCGCTTCTTCTCCTCTGCCGCCTCTGGCCCATTTTGTTCTCGCTGGCAGGTGGAGCAGCACCAGGCGGAGCAGCTTCGGGGGCTGATGGGCCTGCCAGCAGCGCAGATGAAGTTTCTATCGGAGGCGTGGCAGCAGATCATAGCGTGTCGCCGCATGCTCAAGTGGACCTACGCCTATGGCTTCTACCTCTCCGACCACCAGCCCGCCCGCCGCAACCTCTTTGAATACCTCCAGGTCTGTCTGTCCCACGTGCCTTGCCCCCAGGTGGGTCTCAGGTGCCTTCAGGTGAGACCTCAGGTGCCTTCAGATGAGACCCCAGGTGTTTTCAAGTATGATCCTTCATGCCTCTGCCTTCAGGTGAGCTTTCAGGTTTGCCTTCAGGTGCCTTCAGGTGGCTCCCAGCCTCCCACCTGCATACCCTGTAATTGTGCGGCTTTCATGGCCCATGTCAGGGCGCCTGCGAGCAGTGTCCGGTGTGGCAGAGCAGCGGCCTCACCTCAGCCCCAGCCCCACCCACCTCTCATCTCACACCAACCATTGCACCATCCCTCCCTCCCCACCTTCCACCCTATGGAACGGTGGCGTGTGTCACAGGGGCAAGCGGATGCGGCGTTGGGGTGGCTGCACAAGGCAGCGGAGAAGGATGTGGAGGCGTTTGTCCCCTCGCACTTCAAGGGCTCCTTCGACGCGCACGCCGCGCCCTCCCCTGCCGCCCTCTCCCCCCAGCCAGGGCGCCTGCGAGCAGTGTTGGGTGTGGGGGGAGCAACGGGCTCACCTCAGCCCCACCAACCACTGCATGCTTCCCTTGTAACTTACCCCCTCCCTACCCTCCTCCCTCGCTCCCCTCCCTCATGGGCATGACTGTGATCACAGGGGCAGGCGGATGCGGCGTTGGGGTGGCTGCACAAGGCAGCCGAGAAGGACGTGGAGGCGTTCGTCCCCTCGCACTTCAAGGGCTCATTCGACGCGCACGCCGCGCCCTCCCCCGCCGCGCTCTCCCCGCAGCACCGCCTCTCCGAGTTCCTCGCCTTCCGCTCCCACCTCACTCGCCTCACCGCCGTCACCCGCACCTTCTTCCATAACCTGGTCACCGCGCTCGAATCCGGGCTGTCTGAGATCCCTGAGGATGTGCCCAAGGGGGAGGGGGATGCGGGTGTGGGGTCGAGCAAGGGGGTGGGAGAGGGCGGGGGAGCGGAGGGTGGGGAGGGCGAGGAGGGGAGGAAGAGGCGGCGGGGTGGCAGTGGAGTGAACCATGTGCATTTCGCTGATGGGGGGGTGGTGGGGGATGGGCGTGGAGGGGTGAGGATGCGCATTGATGGGGGGCCGGTGGGAGGGGTGAGCCTTGGTCTGGTGCAAGGACAGGTGCAGGGGCAGGGGCAAGGGCTGGGAGCGGGTGGGGGAGGTGCAGCAGGGGAGGGGGAGTACTGGTCGTGTGTGCACTGCACGTATGGCAATCCCACCAGCGCTGCCAGCACCGTGTGTCGCATGTGCCACCTGCCCCGCCACCCCCACTGATGCCCCTCACCCGCTCGCCTGGATTATGATTCATAGTGCATGCATGCTTGCGTGCGTGCATGTGTACAGGGTGCATGGGGCATGTTGTACACATGACATGGGAACGTTGTGGTGTCGCATGGCACATGCTGTGCAGTGCAGGGCGCATGTGGGAAGAAGAAACGTTGTGGCTGTTGTATCAAAGAGCCGTGCCTCACTGGCAGTGGCAGTTGGAAAACAGTGTAACGTACCATATGCTTTTTAGCACAGTCAACAAGAGCAGGGAGATGCAATGATGAGAAACTAAATCACGTAGCAGGAGTGCTTGAGGTGTGGGCATGGATGGCATTTGGCTCACTGAGGACCATCGACATACCTAGCACCGCAGCTGTGGCGTAAGAACAAATGCACAAGCACAGGGAATCTAGAGACTTGGATGGACAATAGCCCTGTTTGTGACTAAGCGAATCTAGCAACTGCCAAACACAACTCTCTTTGGTTGTTGGTGTGAAGCGTATGGTGGGCATGAGGGCATGGCATGCGCCGAGGAGTGCTAGCGGCGGTCCTACATGTAGGTGTGGCGCAAGGCACTGCCTGTGCCCCTGGTGCTGTGCTGGGTGCACCCAGTGCTGCTTGCAGTACAGGCACACGGGAGTTATGGGATGAGGGAGATGGGTGGGGGGTTGGCGATGGCGAGGCAGTGGCACCTCGTAGGGTGATGCGAAGAGAGGCACCCACAAAGTGGAGTGGGGGGAGGCAAGGGAGCAGGTGGAGGAGTTGTGAGAGTGTGGGCGCAGAGTGAGTGTGAGTGAGGGTGGACCATGGACGGACGGGGGAGAGTGTGGAGGTGAATAGGTGGGAGGAGGGAGGTGAGGAGGTGGGGAGTGGAGGAGGCGAGGAGCGGCATCAGAGCAGGGCAGCCGCGAGCCAGGACTCAACGCGGTGGTCCTCCTGGTCCGACCCCGTTACGAGCGCCAGGAAGTCCTTGTACTCTATCTGCTTTGACCCCGCCTCCTCACTGCCCTCTGCTCCCTCTGCTCCCTCTGCGCCCTCTGCGCTCTCTGCTTGGGCCGACCCCACCCTGTTGCCCTGAGATCAGAGCAGGGCAGCCGCGAGCCAGGACTCAACGCGGTGGTCCTCCTGGTCCGACCCCGTGACAAGTGCGAGAAAGTCCTTGTACTCTATGTGCTTTGACCCCGCCTCCTCACTGCCCTCTGCGCCCCCTGCGCCCTCTGCATGGATCGATCCTGCCCCGTTGCCCTGGATGCATCGAGGGGAAGAAGCACAGTGTGTGAGGAGACGCGAGGAACGGGGTGGCTGGCAGGGTGTGGCATGTGAGATGAGTATGGGTGAGGGGCATGAATAACGTGCAGAGCAGCACCACAGCATGAATGGCATGTGGAGCAACATAACATGAATGGCATGCGGAGCAACACCAGGGCATGAATGGCATGCAGAGCAACACCAGGGCATGAATGGCATGCGGAGAAACACCAGGGCATGAATGGCATGCGGAGCAACACCAGGGCATGAATGGCATGCGGAGCAACACCAGGGCATGAATGGCATGCGGAGCAACACCAGGGCATGAATGGCATGCGGAGCAACACCAGGGCATGAATGGCATGCGGAGCAACACCAGGGCATGAATGGCATGGAGTGCAGCTCACGTATTCAGCAGCGGTGGCAGTTGCAATGATCTCACGCATCTCATCCAGCGAGCCCATGCCCAGCCGGCATTTGAGTCGACTCAAAAGTCACCTCGTTACAATGGCACACGACAGCTCACATATTCAGCAGTGGTGGCAGTTGCAATGGCACACGACAGCTCACATATTCAGCAGCGGTAGCAGTTGCAATGATGTCGCGCATCTCATCCAGCGAGCCCATGCCCAGCCGGCAGCACACCGCTGCAAACTCCTCCACGCTCACCGCACCCGACCCATCCGCATCCATCTCCTGGAAGGCCTCTTGGATGGCGGCGGCATGGCGGTCGCGGTGCAACACGGTGGTGGCCGCCACGAACTCTGCGTACTCTATGCTGCCACTGCCGTCCATGTCCACCTGGTGGCGTAGAGGGCACACCAGAAAGATCATGGGAGAGTGGCATGGGATGGGAGAGGTGCGAGGGCAAGTGGGTAGGGCACGTGCGGTGCAGCACGGTGGTGGCTGCGACAAACTCCGCGTACTCGATGCTGCCACTGCCGTCCATGTCCACCTGGTGGCACGGGGGCATGGGTCGGGCCGTGGGGGAAGGGCATGCTGTTGCACGGTGTGAGGGCATGTGCTTGTGCGTGTGCGTGTGCGTGCGTGTGCGTGTGTGCAACACGGTGGTGGCTGCCACGAACTCCGCGTACTCTATGCTGCCACTGCCGTCCATGTCCACCTGCATGGGTGCACGCAGGACCGGGCCATGGGGGGAAGGGTGGGGGGAGAAGGTATGCTGCTTGATTTGAACACGTCAAAAGGATAGAGAAATTGGAAAGGGTATGAGGAGAGTGGCACGCGGAAGGGTGCAAGTGCAAGTGCGAGGGCAAGTGCATGTACATATGGCTCATGCATATGTGCATGTGCATGTGTGCAGCAGCACGCACGAAGTCAAAGATGCGGCGGATGTCATCTTCACTCAGCGCCGTCCCCACGCTGCGCAGGGCAGCAGTGAGTGTGTGAGGCTGAGGCTAGGGATGAGCAAGGGGCGAACACGAACATGTTTGTGTTCGCCCCTACACGAACACATCCGTTTGCCGAACCGAACACTGTTCGGTTCGGCGAACACTTTAAGCAAAAACAGGTGTTCGCCGTTCGCCTGTGAAGGCGTGTTCGGGCGAACCTCGAACACGTTCGTGTTCGTCGCGGGGCAAATTGCAGCAGCGGCCCGAACACGAACGTGTTCGGGCGAACCTCGAACACTGTTTGGCGAACACTTTAAGCAAAAAAATCAAACCTGTTCGGTTCGCCTCGAACACGTTCGAGGCGAACCGAACAGGTGTTCACCCATGTGCTCATCCCTAGCTGAGGCTATGAGTGTGCAAGGCAGTGCAGGTATGTGCAGCACGCATGAAGGCAAAGATGCGGCGAATGTCATCATCACTTATGTGCATGTGAATGAGCACATGCACTGTGCATGCGCTTGTGCAAGTGCATGTGTGCAGCAGCAGCACGCACGAAGTCAAAGATGCGGCGGATGTCATCGTCACTGAGTGCCGCCCCCACGCTGCGCAGGGCAGCTATGAGTGTGTGAGGCTGAGGCTATGAGTGTGCAAGGCAGTGCAAGTGTGTGAGGCAGCACGCACGAAGTCAAAGATGCGGCGGATGTCATCTTCACTGAGTGCCGCCCCCACGCTGCGCAGGGCGGCTGTGAGATCCGCCAGGCTGAGCGCGCCCCCCTGGTCCGCCCCCACCGCGCTGAACACCGCCCTCAACTCCCTCTCCTGCTCCTCTGGCATGTGCCGTGTTGTCACCTGGGGAGGGATGGAATTGGGTGGTGGGGATGGAGGCTGTGAGATCCGCCAGGCTGAGCGCGCCCCCCTGGTCTGCGCCCACCGCACTGAACACCGCCCTTAACTCCCTCTCCTGCTCCTCCGGCATGTGCCGTGTTGTCACCTGGGGGGGTAGGGGGTTGAGGTGTATGGGTGGAGGATTGTGGGATAGGATGGGTGCATGCAGTGCAGTGGGACGGATAGGCACGGCAGGGAGGAGAGGCGAGGGCGGGCAGGGATTGGGAGAGGGTGGTGGCAGACAGGCATGGCAACCAGGCAGCAAATATGTGCGAGCACAGCACAGCAAGTGCAGCGTGAATGGAGAGGAATGTGCGGTGTGGGGCATGGGGCATGGGGCATGGGGCATGGGGCATGGGGCATGGGGCATGGGGCATGGGCCACAGGGCAGAGAGGGCAGCGCACGAGGAGAGCGAGGTGGCGCAGTTTGGACATGGCGCTGAGGCGCTTCATGCGCGGAATGTGGCATGTGGCATGTGGCATGGGGTGTAGGGCAGGGCGCAGGGGTCAGGGAGCGTGACTGACGAGGAGGGCGAGGTGGCGCAGTTTGGACATGGCGCTGAGTCGCTTCATGCGTGGCAGCAAACATGTGCGAGTGCAACACAGCACGTGACGGACCAGAAGGGCGAGGTGGCGCAGTTTGGACATGGCGCTGAGGCGCTTCATGCGTGGCAGCATGATGCTCTCCAATGGCCGCTCCACCGCCTCCTGCCCGCATATCCATGGGTCGCCTGCTCACAGCATGTGACATGGCGTGGCATGGGGTGGAATGGGATGGGAATGGTGGGATGGGGTGACACAGAGACAGACACATAAGGGCGCGCAGAGAGAGGGAGTGGAGTGAGTGAGCAGTGCGCCATGGTGGGTGACACAGAATAGAGCACAGGCAAGGCCAGAACAGCTGCAAGCTGCGCCACCGCCCACCGCCCACCACCCACCGCCCACCCACGCCCCACGGCCCATGCCCCATGACCCACGGCCCACGCGCAGCACTAATCTCACCCAGCAGCTGCTGTGCAGTGGGGCGTCTGGAGGGGTCGCGATCGAGCATGCGCGAGAGCAGCGCCTTGGCGCCCGGGGAGATGAGCGGCCACGGATGCACTGATAGGTCCAATGGCGCCGTGCGGATGGCCTCAAATATCGCCAGCACTGAGTCTGATAGTGAGGGAGGTGGGGGGAGGAATGTGGGGAGAAGGGGAGGGGGGTAGGACGTGCACGAGCGGGTCAGGCAAAGGGGTTTGGCGGTGGTGGGCTGGGCTGGGGTGGGAGAAGTGACGAGATGAGGTGCGGTACGAATGGGTGACAAGAGGTGGAGGGGAAGGAGGCAAGAGAGGAAAGGAGGTGGGAACGAAAAGACGGGGCAGATTGAGATGAGGTAGCAGCAGGGGAGGAGGGAAGCAGCTGGGCAAGGGATGAGAGGGCAGGACCTCCTTTAAAGGGCGGGGTGCCAGCAAGCAGCGTGTGCAGCATGATGCCAGCGCTCCACACGTCACACGCGTGCGAGTATCGCTCCCCCAGCACCTCCGGCGCCATGTACATGGGACTCCCCGCCATCGCCTCTAGCTCCTCGCCTGCTGTGCCCACGGGGGAAGGAGGGAGGGGGGGGGCGTGGGGTGAGGAGGAGCAAGGCGTGTGAGTAACGCTCCCCCAGCACCTCGGGCGCCATGTACATGGGACTCCCCGCCATCGCCTCTAGATCCTCACCTGCTGTGCCGCCCGTGACAGGGGCGGAGGGGAGGGAGGGGTGAGGAGGAGCACTGAGAGGCGGAGAAGTGGAGAGAAGAATGAAGAGAGGCGGGCAGTGGCATTTGGGGCAGAAAGCGGAGGAGAGAGGGCTGGAATCGGGGCGGGCAGGTCTCGGGGGAAGAGAGGAGGGGGGAGGGGTGTCGGGTGGGCAAGTCTCTCTCGCCTGGTTGGCAGAAGGCAGCGGAGCCGAAGTCGATGGCTTTGAGCGTGGCGTGGTCTGATTGGTCGGAGAGCAGGAAGTTGCCGAGCTTGACATCCCGATGCACTATGCCCAGTGCATGGCACGCCCGCACCACCTCCAGCACCACGCGCATTATCCCCGCCGCCGCCCGCTCGCTGTACTCGCCCTGGGGGTTGCGTAAGGAGGGGGGGAAGATGGAGCAAAGAGGGCAGACATGAGGGGCAGCAGGAAGACAGACAGAGAGTGTAGGTTCACAGCGGTGGCGGGTGGAGTGGAGGATGTGGCAGGCTTGGCTTGAGATATGTGTGGGCAGGGGAACGACAGTTATGGCAGGCGAGCATGGGGGCGCACCTGCTGTGCGATGTGGTGGGTGAGCGAGCCCCCCTGGCACAGCTCCATGACGATGTGCACGGCCGTCTGGTCCTCAAACACGCCCTCCATTCGCACCACGTGAGCATGCCCGCGCAACATGCCCAGCACCTGCACCTGTGTGTGGGGAGAAAGGTGGGGAGATGGAGGGGAGAAGGGGGAATGAGGGGGGAAAAGGGGGGAAGAGAGGGGGAAGGGATAGGGGAGCAAGGAAAGGGGAAAGGAGGGAGAGGAGGGAGGGGAGGGAGGGCGCGCGTGAGGCGGGGAAGCCGAGTCCGGCGCACGTCAATGCCCCAATACCCCCATTCCCCATTCTCCTCCGCCCGTCTTCCAAAGCCCTCCCCCCTCCCCCCACCCCTTCCCCCTCGCTGCGAGCGCACCTCGCGCTGCACGTCCCTGGCGGTGCCTTCCGAGTGGATGGTTTTCTTCAGGATGCTCTTAACGGCCAGCCGTTCCCCCGTGTGGCGGTGCGAGCACGCGCTGATCACGCCGCTCTGCCCGCGCCCAATGAACCCGCCCAGCTCGTACAGCTGCTCCAGCTTCACCGCGCTGTACCGCTTCCCCGTGATCGTCCCCACGTGGTCGCTGCGCGCCGTGCCGTCCGGCCCCGGCCAGCCGTCCCCGCGCCACGACGAGTCCGCGGAGGCATAGCCGCTGGTGGGGCGCCGGGCGCGGGGGAAGGAGATGGGGAAGGCGGAGGAGAGGAACGACGAGGATGACCGGTTGCGGTGACGGTGGGAGCGGCTGCCGGCTAGATTGCCGGCGCCATTAGGGGGTCGTGTGACGGCGTGGGCGAGTCGCGAGGGGAGGGAGAAGATGCGCGAGGCGAGGCGGTAGGCGGAGCGGCGGGCGGACGGCGGAGCGGAGTGATTGGAGGCGTCGGCGGAGTGGGGACGGGTCATCGCATGGCGGAGAGGGCGGGGAAGGGGACGCGAGGAGAAAGGGGCTGCGCGCGATGCCGCCGAGTGGGATGGTCCGTGGAAGGAAGGATGGGCGGTGGGCACACCGGAATGGCGGCGAATGGGCGAATGGAAGGTGGCTAATAGATCAACGAGGTACGGGGCAGCAACTGCCGATCACCGCGCCGCACCGCACTGTGTCACGGTAATCGTCTACCAGTCTCCCCCCAACCTATCGCGCCTCCCTCGAATCTATCGCGCCTCCCCGCACAGCACTCCCATTCGCAAGGCGCATGGCGGGCGCACGGTATTGGCGGCACGCGCCTGCAGTATGAGCGCAACCAGCACCCGACTCTTTCGCGGCGAGCTCGCAGTATAGACGCGCGCGGCAAGCGGCGAGCGGCAAGCGGCAAGCGGCAAGCGGCAAGCGGCAAGCGGCAGCACGCGCCTACTGTAACGACGAGAATTATGTGAAGGGTCGTGGGAGTGCGCAATGCTACTGCTGCTTATCGCCGAGAGCCGCCCCAGCCCAAGTGTTGCGGCGAGTGTGAGTGAGTATCGGGTCTGCCGTCGGCCGGCCGTCGGTCCTGTTGTGTTGGACGTGTTGCTCTAAAGAATGCTGCTCTGTGCTGGAGGCGAGTTGAGGCGAGGTCGAGACGCGACGAAGGAGAGGTAAGTTGACAATGGAGAGACGTTCTGTGGCAATGCTGCCGAGTTGACAGCATCCAGTCCCAAGGTTTATTGTTTGTGATATGTTTTGACTCTCGCGTCCCCGACCCGATATGCCCACCTGTATGCTTTTGGAGTTTGATGGCTGTACATTACACTACTACAACATACCAGTGTGTTCCCTAGAACAACACAGAGCAGTGAGATGAAGGCATTGACTGGAGCAAACACCCCACGTGAAGTGGCACATCCACCTGACACTTCTTCAAAACTAAATAAATGCCTTCAATCAGCCGTGAGCGCACAGCCTGCTGTGACGTAAAATCTGCAGTGGTGAGAAGCAGAGCACAGCATGCGGGCCACTAAGCCCCTGCAGGTTGTGTGGGTGCGCCCGCAGCACTGGCAGCAGCCTCAGCTGCAGCCGCCGCTGCCGCCGCAGCAGCCGCAGTGGCTGTTTTCGGCACAGAGGAAGCCGCAGCACCATCACCCGCCACAGCAACAGCGGCAGCACCGGCCGTAGCAGCAGCAGCACCGGCCTTGTTCCTAGCAGCCTCCAGTACAGCCTTCAACTGTGCACCCGTGAGTGTCTCCCTCTCCAGCAACGCACCCGCCAGTGCATGCAACTCCGCCTCGTGCTTCACCAGGATGGCGCGCGCGTTGTCATGCGCGCGCTGCAGCAGCGCTCGCACCTCCCTCTCAATGGTCAGCCGTGTCTCCGTGCTCATCGACCGCCCGTCGTCCTCGTAATCATGCGCCACCAACCCCACCGCCTCGCTCATCCCATACTTGGTCACCATCTCCCTCGCCAGCCGCGTCGCCTGCACGATATCACTCGACGCACCGGAAGTCACCTCGCCCGGGCCGAACACTAGCTCTTCTGCCACCCGCCCGCCCATGCACACGTCCAGCCGGGCCAGCATCTGCGTGCGCGACACGCTCACCTCGTCTGTCTCCGGCAGCTGCGCCACCATCCCCAGCGCCACGCCCCTTGGTACGATGGTCGCCTTGTGCACGGGGTGTGCGCCGGCTGTGTGCACGGCCACCAGCGCGTGCCCGCCCTCGTGGTACGCGGTCAGGCGCCGAGTCTGAGGGGAGATGACGGCGGACTTGCGCTCGGCGCCCATGAGGATGCGGTCCTTGGCGTGCTCCAGGTGTGCTAGGCCCACCGCCCGCTGCCCCTCCATGGCCGCCCGTAGAGCCGCCACGTTGACCAGGTTAGCAAGGTCTGCTCCGCTGAAGCCTGGTGTGCCGCGCGCAATTACTGACACGTCCACGTCCTCTGCTCGGGGGATCTGAGGGGGAGGGAGGGGGGGGGAGGGGAGTGATGGGGTTGGACTTGCGCTCGGCGCCCATGAGGATGCGGTCCTTGGTGTGCTCCAGGTGCGCTAGGCCCACGGCGCGCTGCCCCTCCATGGCCGCTCGTAGAGCCGCCACGTTGACGAGGTTGGCGAGGTCTGCCCCGCTGAAGCCCGGCGTGCCGCGCGCTATTACTGACACATCCACGTCATCTGCTCGGGGGATCTGAAGGGCGATCGAGGACAGGGGAGGGAGGGGTGTGATGGGACAGCGGCAGAGGAGGGGGGCGAAAGCAGGAGAAAAAGGAAGAGTTGAAGTCAGATATGTGGCAGGACACTTCCCTGCACCCATGCATTCAGCACCTATGCACACAGCACCCACGGCCACCGCACTGCACCTTGCGCAAATGATGCTCGAGGATCTGCCGCCGCCCCTCCACATCAGGATTCGGCACGACCACATGGCGGTCAAACCGCCCCGGGCGCACGAGCGCCTTGTCCAAACTCTCCGGGAAGTTGGTAGCGGCCACCACAATCACCCCCTGGTTCTGCTTAAAGCCATCCAGCTCCACGAGCAGCTGATTGAGAGTCATCTTCATGTACTGCTGGTCCTTGGGGTTGCGGCTGCCCCCGATGGCGTCGATTTCGTCGAGAAACACGATGCAGGGGGCGGCTTTCTTGGCCGCGGCGAAGAGCTCGCGCACGCGGCGCGCCCCGACGCCGACAAACATCTCCTCGAACTCGGATCCCGACGCGTAGAAGAAGGGCACGCCCGCCTCGCCTGCTATGGCTCGTGCCAGCATTGTTTTGCCCGTTCCCGGTGGGCCCACCAGCAGCACTCCCTTGGGTAGCTTGCCTCCCAGGCGTGTGAAGCGCTGGATGGGCGGGGGGGGGGGGCAGGGCAGGGGGCATGTGGGGGAGGGGGCAAGGGAAGGTGAGATACAAGGTGCGAGGAGGTGTGAGAGGGTAGAAATGTGGGGTCAGCAGAGGGGAAGGAACGAAATGGCACGAATCGACCGGGCAAAGAAGCAAGAGACTGCTGAAAGCAGGGGAGGGGAGTGAGGGGCCTTAGATTGTTGTAGGAAGCGCAAGAGGCCACCCAGCACCAGGAATGCAAGGCGTGATGAGCGGTTGGAGAAGTTCAATCAGCTTGTCGCATGGAGGGGAGGAGAGTGAGAGGGAGCGCACCTTGGGGTCGCGCAGGTAGTGCACGATCTCTTCCAGCTCCGCCTTGGCGGGAATGCAAGGCACGATGAGTGGGTGGGAGCGCACCTTGGGATCTCTGAGGTAGTGCACGATCTCTTCCAGCTCCGCCTTGGCGGGAATGCAAGGCACGATGAGTGGGTGGGAGCGCACCTTGGGATCTCTGAGGTAGTGCACGATCTCTTCCAGCTCCGCCTTGGCGGGAATGCAAGGCACGATGAGTGGGTGGGAGCGCACCTTGGGATCTCTGAGGTAGTGCACGATCTCTTCCAGCTCCGCCTTGGCGGGAATGCAAGGCACGATGAGTGGGTGGGAGCGCACCTTGGGATCTCTGAGGTAGTGCACGATCTCTTCCAGCTCCGCCTTGGCGGGAATGCAAGGCACGATGAGTGGGTGGGAGCGCACCTTGGGATCTCTGAGGTAGTGCACGATCTCTTCCAGCTCCGCCTTGGCGGGAATGCAAGGCACGATGAGTGGGTGGGAGCGCACCTTGGGATCTCTGAGGTAGTGCACGATCTCTTCCAGCTCCGCCTTGGCGGGAATGCAAGGCACGATGAGTGGGTGGGAGCGCACCTTGGGATCTCTGAGGTAGTGCACGATCTCCTCCAGCTCCGCCTTGGCCTCATCCACGCCCTTCACATCGCTGAACCGCGTGTCACTCTCCGCTGCCGGCTGCACCTCCTCGTTCAACCCCAACCCTGCCGGCCAGAGGGGGAGAGGTGGGGGCGGAGGAAGGGGGGGATTGGAGGGAGGAGGAGGGCAGTGCGGAGTGAGGCGAGCGGGAACGAAGGGGTGGATGAAGGAGGTGAGGTGGAATGAAGGAGAGGCATGAGGAGGAAGGTGCCAATAACTTGTGCTCACTGCAAGAGGGCATGCACCGTGCCAATCACACTCACATCCACCCATCCCATCCCATCACCCCCCCCACCTAAATCCCCCCCTCCCCTTTTCCTCTCTCAAACCACCCCCCTCCCCGCCCCTTCCCCCCACTGACCGCGCCCCACATCACGCTCGCGGGCGATGGCCCAGAGCGCGCCGAGCACGAGGGCGGCGGTGCCCAGCGACCTGAGCGCGCGCCACGCGTGCCCGCGCGCGCCCTCGCTCGCCACCATGTGCAGCGGCGCGCTCGCCGTCCCCAGCGCGCCCTCCACCGCCACCGCGCCCACCGCCCCTGGGAGGGGCGCGCGCATGGACGACAGGGGCGCGGAGGAGGGGGGGAAGGGGGAGGCGGATCGCGCAGCACCTGCAGGCGGGGATCGGAGAGGGTTCGGGAGGGGATGGGAGAGAGAAAGTGGTGAGGGCGTGGAGAGAAAAGAGGAAATAAGGAGGAGCAGGGTGGGGGAAGAAGGCATGGGGCATGCGGCACGGGCCATGCCGTGTGGTGGGGCAGCGTGCGGAGTGGGGGACGGACAGCCAAGTGGAGGAGGGGCGCGCAGTACCTACCTCGTTGCAGTGTGGCGAGCAGCGCGCTGCCGTCCAGGCGGTCAACAGCCACCAGCGCGCGCACGTACTCCGCCAGCGCGCCCGGCGCGGCCTGCAGCTGCGCGCTCGCCTCAAACGCGCGGATCGCCTCCTCCGGGCTGTGCCGCGCCATCTCCGCCAGCCACGTCACCTGCTCCCGCTCCCCCGCCCCCGCCCTCCGCGCCGCTGCCACCCGCCCCCAGCCGCCCGTGCTGGCGCTGCTTCCGCCGAAGGCGCTGGGGTAGGCTGCGGCGGGGCGTGCGGAGGTGAAGTGGCGCAGTGCGAGGCGGAGAAGCGGCGGGTCCGCGTCACCGCGCGCGCTGCTGCATGGCTGCCAGCCGCCCCCCGCCCGCACGCCCTCGCCTCCAGCGCATCCCCCTGCCCCGCACGCACTCCGCGCAGGTGCTCCTCCCCCCAACGCAGAGGCCGCCCCCCGCCCGACCTGCTTGGCGCGCTCTTGCGCAGCTCGTGCGCCCTTCGGTGGGGGACGGGGGAGGGGCAAAGGGAGGGGTACGGCAAGGTTCGTCGTGGTGGGAAGAGGCGGATAACAGGGAGAGCGTTTGGTGACGTGCGAGTCGGAGAGGGAGGAAGGGGGGGCAGGGGGAAAGAGGAACGAAGGAGGAAAACGGTAAGGAGCAAACGATGGGGCAGCGGAGGGAGACGAAAGAGGCGGTTCGAAAAGAGGAGAGAGGTGTTGACAAAGCGGAGAGAGGTAGGGGAAGGGAGGGGAGGAGAGGTTGGCAGGGCGCTGACCACTCTATGCATGGGCGCGCGTTGACGGCCGACGAGCGACAAAGGCTGACGGAACTACGACGGTGACGGCGAAGCTGACGGACGATACGCGTTCGGATACAGGCGATTGACGGAGAGATGGATGTGAGGGTGGACGGCTGAGAACACGTGCGCCCGAGTCGTGGTGCGGTGCAACAGCGCGAATTGCGGGGAGTAGCGGAATTGGGCGATTTAGATAGTGAGCGTGGACTCAAGTCAGGGTTGCGATGCGAGGCCGTTATGTGAATGGCAGCACTGCGGTCACGTCAACGAGCGTCGTGGTCGTCGTGGTTGCGCATAGTAAGGCCAGATGCAAGTGGCGCGGCGCGTAGGTGCAGCAGAAGAGCAGGACTGCAGCCTTCAAAATCTGAGGGAGGCGTGTTCGGTAAGTGATGGTTTTGATGTGCTCGGTTGGCCACTTGTAACCAGTCTATTGTGTTGTGCAAGGTGACGCTCGCGAAAGGTTGAATATCAAGGTCACACCTTTACGGTGGTGGTTAAGTAAGGTCAAATACAACTACAGTACGTTCAAGTGCGGTGTAGGGTTGAATTTCCACCCTGCCTTACACCATTTTCTCACGCTACAAGCATCAAAGTAGGAATTTTCGAACCCCACAACAGTGTGGAGCGAATAGCGAAGTTATCACAAACGGGTTCACAGTACCACGACTGCATTCATCACTTGCTATGCTAGACAACTCCACCATCACTCCATCTCCCCCTCCGCGCGTTTGTCGCTTGCATTACGGCCGCCATGTCCGCGCTACCCCTCGCCCGCGCGCACCAGCTTTGCGCGCCTCTCATTCCACCATGCCTTTCGCCGCCCCCATATCTCCGCTCCGCTCCTCTACCGCCACTCTCCGCCATCCCCGCAAGTCCGCTCTGCCGTCGCCGCACTCCGCTCGCCCCACTCCGCGGGGCGGCCAGGCGGCGCGCGATCGCGCTAAGGGCGCAGGCGGCGGCAGGCGGGGATGAGGGGAAGGAGTCGAGGGGCGGGGCTGGGGGCGAGCGAAGCAGCGGCGGGGTGAAGCGCGTGGTGATTCTCGGCGGGAGCGGGCGCGTGGGGAGGTCGACGGCCGTGGCGCTGGCGGCGCTGGCGGCGTCCGACGATGAGGCGACGCGCGCGGAGTTCCAACTGGAGCTGATCATCAGCGGGCGCAACAGGTGCGCGCCCGCCCGGAATGGCGCACTTTGCGCGTAGCGCTCTCTGCGCGTGACGTCTCTACGCGGAGCTCTGTCGGTGCTGCTTCGTCGCGGCGTGTGTGCATGCGCGCATGGCTGCATGTGCCCCTTGCCTCGGTGCTTGCGGAAATGTGTGACCGCTCTCCGCTCATTCCTTCTTCCCTCCGCTCTCGTCGTTCCCCACCCCCCACCCACCCATCCACCACCCTCCCCTGCGTGCGTGCATGTGCGCGCATATCTGTGTCTCAACGGAGGCGAGGCAGGGGGAGGGGCGAGGCGGTGTGTGAGGAGGTGAGGGCGGCAGCAGGGGCGGCAGGGAGAGCGACGTTCATAGAGTGCGACATCACCGACGCCTCTGCACTCGACGCCCTCCTCACAGGTGACTTTTGAGACGTCTCAAAAGGCGGCAGCGGGGGCGGCAGGGAGTGCGGTGTTTGCTGAGTGCGACATCACCCACGCCTCTGCACTTGACGCGCTCCTCACAGGTCACCCTCACAGCCCCAGGCCTCACATCTCCCATGGACCACGCCGTGCCTCCCATGCCATTCTCTGCCATTCTCTGCCATTCTCTGCCATTCTCTGCCATTCTCTGCCATTCTCTGCCATTCTCTGCCACTGCTTCTGCCTCGCCTTCTCCCATCCTCCCCCATTTTCCTGTGCCTCTCCCCGTTCCTTAACCCTCACTCCCCCAACCGGCCTGCATCACCTCCTACTCTCTCCATCACCTCCCTTCCCCCACCCTCCCCCGCCCCGTCCTCCGCCTGCTCGCAGGAGCCGACCTGGTGGTGCACTGTGCGGGGCCCTTCCAGCAAGAACCGAACTGCACCGTTCTGGAAGCAGCCATCCGCACCAAGGTGGGCTTCCTAACCTCTCAGACCTCTTCCTCCTCTCTCCACTTTCACGCCCTGCACCGCCCTCCACACGCCATGCAGCAGTGCTCCCTCGCTCTGTCCATCACCCGCCCCGTGCTGTCATAGCACCATCATTCGCCTCTGCCCAATGCCCTCCCTTTCACCCCACTTTCCCCCCTTCCCAACCTACCTCGCCCCCCCAGACGCCCAACGTGGATGTGTGTAGCGACGTGGCGTTCGCTGGGAACGCGCGGGAGAGAAGATTCGACGTGCCTCCTTTCTTGCCCTCTCCCCACTCTCCCAATAACCCCCCCCCCCCCCAGACGCCGTACGTGGACGTGTGTGACGACGTGGCGTACGCTGGGAACGCGCGCTCGCTGCACGGGGCTGCAGTGGCGGCGGGTGTGCCGGCCATCACCACTGCCGGCATCTACCCGGGCGTCAGCAACTGTCAGTGGGCTCAAGGAGGCGGGAGGGAGTGAGATGTGCAGCACGTGGGATGTTGGGGGATACATGGGTTTGGGGAGGGAAAGGAGGGGAAGGAGGGGAAGGAGGGGAAGGAGGGGAAGGAGGGGAAGGAGGGGAAGGAGGGGAGAGCTGACGTGAGGCGTTGTGGGGTGGACCACGGGTTGTGTGTCTCGTGCTCCATCCTGCTTTGTTGCCACGCTGCATGCCTCCTGGCCCATCCATCTCCTGCAAGGCCAACGTGCCATTCCCTGCTCTCCTGTGTCTTCTCCCCGCAGTGATGGCAGCAGAGCTGGTGCGGCTGACAGGGGAGGAGGGGGCGCGCATGGAGGAGCAACAAGGCCAGCAGCAGGCCGCTCTGGGCCTTCGACCAAAGAGCCTGCGGTACCACCACTCTCTCACTCACACGCACACACACTCATTCACTCACACACTCTCTCACCTGCACCCACCAAGTTCCAACTTTATCATGTCGTGTCGTTTCTCCGCACTTGTCTCCACTCCTGCACCGTCGCATTCCCTCCACCCACTCCCCTCCCCCATGCACTCCGCTTCTCTTCTCATCCGGCCAACACCAAACCTCACCCCTTCGCCTTTCCACCTACCCCCCTCCTTCTTCTCCCCCCCCTCTCTCCCCAGCTTCTCGTATTTCACGGCGGGCACGGGAGGGACGGGTCCCACCATCCTGACAACTAGCCTGCTGCTGCTGGGGGAGCCTGCCACGGCCTTCAAGGACGGTGGGGGTGGGGGGGGGGGGGGATGGGGGTGCCAAGGGGGGATGAGATGGGGATGAGGGGCGTGCTTTGAAGAGCGTGGAAGAGATGGGTCTAGAAACGGGTCCCACCATCCTGACCACCAGCCTGCTGCTGCTTGGCGAGCCCGCCACGGCCTTCAAAGACGGTGGGAGGGGGAGAAGGGGATGGAAGGGGGATGAGATGGGGTGAGGGGGAAGTGAATGGGGGATGAGGGCAGTGTTTTGAAATGCATGGGAGAAGGAGGTGGAGGAATGGGTGGAGTGGATGTGGGGAGTGAAGTGTGGAGGGGAGAGAGTGGGATGGAAGGAGGGCATCAAAGGGTTGCTCACCTTGTATTATTCTCCCGGCCCCCCCTGCTGCTTCCCCCTGCTCGCTCCTGTGCCCGAGGTGCCTCACTCACCCCGTGCCCTCCTCCTCTTGCCCTGCCCTACCCTCCCTCCCTCTCCTTGCCAGGTCAGCGCCTGCAGCTGCCAGCATACAGCCGGCAGCGTCTGGTGGACTTCGGGCCGGGCGTGGGGGAGAGAAGCACGTACCTGCTGTGAGTGACGGCGTGCCATGCCTAACCTTGCCTTTCCATACCATGCCATGCCATACCTTGCCGTGCCATGACTGTGCTGCACATATGTCCGCAGCAGCTGTCGCCACTGCTCCTGCTCCTCAGGTCTCTGCCCTCGTCTCTCCCACTCCTCTCCCACTCCCTTCCCACTCCGCTCCCACATCTCTCGCGCTCCTCTCCCGCTCCTCCCCTCCTGCCTCCACCCCCCCCCAGCAACCTACCGGAGGTGGTGTCAGCGCACGAGGTGCTGGGGGTGCCCACGGTGTCGGCGCGCTTTGGCACGGCGCCACACATGTGGAACTGGGGCATGCAGCTGCTGCACGCCCTGCTGCCTCAGGTGCGTGCTCTGCTGCCTGCTTCCCCGCCCAGCTGCAGGTGCACGCGTTGTAAGTCGACTCAAAGCGCGCGCTGCTGCTCCTCCTACATCATCCGCATCATCCATCACAGCGTGCGCTCTCTCATGTGCCCCAGCCCCCCCCCTCCCTTGGGCGCACACGGGAGCCAGGCCGTGCTGCAGGACCGCAGGGCAGTGCAGCGCATGGTGGGCGCGTTGGGGCCTCTGGTGCGCGCTGCATGCCCACACCATCCCCACCCATCACTCACCCCCCTTCCCCTCCACCCACTCCCTGTGGCCCACATCCCGGCCAGGCCGTGCTGCAGGACCGCAGCGCAGTGCAGCGCATGGCGGGCGCGTTGGAGCCGCTGGTGCGCGCCGCTGATGGCACCGCGGGGGAGAGGGTCGCCATGCGGGTGAGGAGGGGCAATGGGCATGCGGGTGAGAGGGAAGGGGTTGGGGGGAATGTGACTAAGTGGCGGTGCATGCCATCAGTGAACCCTAGAATCCATTCTTCCTCCTTTGCCTCCCTTCTCTCGGTCTGTCTACTCTCTATTTCTCCCTTGACACACCCCTACCTTCCCTTACCCGGTCTCCTTCCCTCCTTCCTCCTCGCGCCACTACTCCCCCCGTTCCCCTCTTCTGTGTGCCACATGTGTCAAGGTCGACTTGGAAACCGAGAATGGTCGCTCCACAATGGCTCTTTTCTCTCACCGCCGCTTATCAGTGTGAGTTCTCAGCACTGGGAGTGTATATCCGAGTGAGATCTTATCAGAGTGAGCGCTTATCCGTATGAGTGCTACTCAGTGTGAGTTCGTAACAATGTAAATACTTACTGGTGTGAGTGCATGGGGTCCACCCAACGGCATCACATCAACATCAACATCATGTCAAGGAAACTAAACATCAGCATGTCATGGACCTTTCTGCTGCTCCCCTCACTAGCTGCCCTGCGCCTCAACCGTCCCTCCCCCCACTCCCTGAGTGCCCCCCAGGAGTGTGGGCGTGGCTACAGCAGCGTTTGCAGCCGCTCTGCTGGAAGGCACGTCCCTGCCAGGCGTGCACTACCCTGAACAGGTATGTATGGCTGAACAAGCACATATAACCGCATGTCTCAACTTGCCCTCTCAACCTTCTCAATCCCTCCTTTGATGCAAAACCCTCCTCCCATTCACAACCTTCCTCCAATGCACTAGCCTCATCTGATCCACTTGCATATTCCCGGAGCCTCTCATTCCCCGTGTGCTCCTGGGTGTCTCGTGTGCCTCTGTGCGTGCTGTCCGGATGAAGCAGGCTGAGGCCATCCCAGTGGCGCAGCGAGAGAAGCTATTGCAACGTGCCACTCTGGGCGCACGATTCTTCGCCATCAACAAGTGAGTGCACTCTGGCTACCGCCCCATGCTCTCAACTCATTTTTCATTCTCATCAACAAGTGTGTGAGAGCATGGGGTGGCAGCGAGAGAAGCTACTCCAACGCACCACTCTGGGCACACGGTTCTTCGCCATCAACAAGTGAGTGAGCTCCGGCTTGTTGTGACCACCCCATGCTCTCAAGCTCTCAACTCTCACACTCTCGAGTGCTGCATGTGCTGGATGAGGGCTGCTCGCACCTGCTCACTGACTGACCGAGCGTGTGTTGTTCTGTGCAGGCCCGGTTGGATGATTGAAAGGGAACCCAAGCAGATTGGCATGGGTATGTATGTGTGATACATGAAGGACGCTTGTGAAAGCCGCCTCGTGACACGTAGTGCTGTAGTTAGTTTTTATTCCTGGAATATTTCTTCATGTCAATAATGTATTTCCCTCAACGACGACATTCCAAAGTACTAGTTGTTCGTAGAGAGCACCTGGAACACTATGCACACATACATACATGCCTTCTTGCAGCGCACGAAGCAACTCCACCAGTCTGCTATGGAGGCACTCGGGAACATCACACACGTAGTTGCACAGGCCCTGAACTGTTCAGATGGCAGCCTGGTCTGCCGGATGGCAGTTTGTCGCTGGTGACCAGGCAATGGAAGTGACCGGGGGTTGGAGTGGAAGAGCCGCAGGGACAAGAGCGAAACAGGGTCAGGCACAGATTTCCTGGAAGAGCGATAGCTTCTGTCGGGGGTGCGAGGGGAAGTGGGGAGGGGGAAGTGGAGTGGGGGAAGTGGGGAGGGGGTGGGTTTTGTGCGAGCAATTGCCCGACAGCCCAACATGCAGCTCTCACTCACCCGTAGTCAAACTGGCGTTCGGTCACAGAGACAAGCACGTGTCTCGACGCTGCCATGAGAATCCCGCGTTGCAACTCAGTGTAAGTACAAGTCTTAAGAATCCGCCTAGGCGAAGTCACCGCATATTCAAACCCCCTCCTTGCACCAGCAAGTGTCAAGATTGCCACATTGCCACGATTGCCCGGAAATGCGTTGCTGCCAGAACCACCCCCCATGGCCGCTGTGGTATGGTAACAGGCGCACTGAGAGCCGCATTGCAGAGGCGGCAGCTGGGGAGGGAAGGTGCGGTTGCAATGCAGTGTGTTGGGGAGATGGCGTGCGAGGAGTAGGAGGAGTTTCTAGCTGTTGCTGCTCCTGCTGCTGCAAGTAGGGTAGGCCTTTTTGGCTACTGCTGCAGATGGGGTAAAGTTTTTGGTTGCTAGCTGCAGGGAACGAGGTGTTAAGGGCAATATGAGGCACACTTGTATGAAGGAAGAGAGACACTGGTGGGGAATAAGAGGTATGTAGCATACGACAAAGGAGGAATGCTTGCAAGACGGGAAATGATGTGCCCCACTGAGCCACCACACTATGCCTAAGCCTGCCAACGACTTGAACGATGGTTTAAGATGAATGAGAGAGAACTGATGCATGAGTTGAGAAGAGGAGGAGGCAGATACGGTTCACGTGGCAATGAATTCACGCGAGGCAGTGAAAGCATAAAAGAGCAAGCACGGGGAGTGAAGCACTGACACGGTTCATGTCAAGGTGCCTGCAGGGAGAAGGTGGGGAAAGGGAGAGGTTTGGGAAAACACTTGAAAGAGGAACACTTTGGAAGGGACATCAACATGGGTGGAGGCGGGTTAGGAAAGGGGGAGAGGTGGCGGCACGGGTTGGGGAGGGGAAAAAGGGAGGCGATTGGGCACGAGTTGGTCCCTCAGAGCTTGCTTCAGCGCCAGCAGCGCGCTCGTTGGGGGGAGGAGAGAGAGGGGGAGGGGGAAGGGGAGGGGAGGGAGGCAGGAGGGGAAAGGGAACATGGGAAACCCGGAATGGTCCCCCTTCCCATGTCAAACTCGCATCCCACTCCGCCCTCACCCCTCGTGCATCTCACGTGGTGGGCAGCATGGGTGGCGGCTCGCGCCTTGGCCGATGGTGGAGAGCAGCGCCGCGAGCATGGCAGCACCGTCGCCGCCTTGTGAGGCGCCTCAATAGACGCGAGCACCTCCGCCGCGAGCATGGCAGCACCATCGCCGCCTCGTGAGGCGCCTCGAAAGACGCGCGTGGAGGTGATGGGGGCAGGGAAGGCGTGCGAGAGCAACGGCATCAACAGCGCTGCAGAGAAAACCGTCTGCAGGGAAGGCGTGCAGTGATGGCAGCACTGCTGGCAGCAACAGCAACACTGCTGGCACCTGCAGCTGGGGAAGGGGAAAAGGGGGTGGGCGGGGAGGATGCGTGGAAGGGGAGAGGGAGAAGAGGCAGAGGGGGAAGGGAGGGGGATAGGGCCCTCGGGTTATTTAGGGTACAATGTAGCGCGATGGCATTATCCAGCCATTAGTTGATTACAAATATTCAAGACATTTGTTGCGCGTTTGAGGTGCCTCCCCACCTCTCCTGTTTCCTGCTGCTCACCCACATCCCCACCATCCCCCATCCCCAATGCGCCCTCCCCCGCCCGCCTTCCCCTCTCTCCACCCTCCCCGTCCCCCCTTAATGCATCTCACCTGGCAACCGCACCTCGTCCGTGGCGGCGGAGGGCACCTCCGCGCACACAGCAAATTACAGTAGCAACTTCTACCTGAACATTTACCTCCGCGCGCACCTTCGCGCGGATGAAACAGGCAGCATGCGAGCATACCTCGTCCGTCGCGGCGGAGGCAGCGCCGCCCAACACCGTCGCCGCCGGTTGAGGGGCCTCGAAAGACGCGAGCACCTCCGCCGGCACGGACGAGGCGCGCGCGGAGGTGCCCCGTGCATGATTGTCGCGGATGGAGATCGCGACAGAGGGGTGGGCGGAGGTAACTAGACCCTAGATCCGACCTAACAAAAAAACAGCCATCCACGCTAACAAGAAAAACAACTTCATTCCTATTGGCAGGAAAATAGGTGACAGGAAACAGCTGTGGCAGGCTGGGAAATACGAGGCTTGTGGTTGCGCCAGGCTGACAAAATTTACTACTTTCCTATTGGCTCTCGTTGTCAAACTTCAATTGTTTTTCCAGGTGCCCCAGGACGAACCGATCAGCCAAACCTCCCCCGCCATGCACAGATTTTCCACCATACACGTACCGTTCCGCACCTTACGCAGAAATTACACTGACTGACGAAATTTCAGTTGCGGACCGGCTAAATATGGTGCCACGCCGACCACCTCCTAGAATCTTCGACCCAGCCCCCGCCCCATTCTGCTGGTACAGTAGATTCAGCATGCCCAACAAAATCCCACACAGCAATACGCTTCCTTATCAATCTCGTTTGTATTCTACAATGCAAACCTGAATGCAAATTGTAACCGGTCGTTGAGAATGACTGTACACCCTGGTTTGGGCTGGATGCGCTACACGCGAACACAATCTCAGCCAACACATAATGTTGTCCACGCACCGCTCAAGCCACATAGTCGGTGGGTCATTTATTGGCAAATAGAAAGTCAGCAAACCTCCATCCCTAACAGCTCAAGGGAATTCTGGGAATTTCGCGAGCCTGATCATTTGCTCGCGAAGTTCTTGTTAAAACCCGAAGCCTGAATTACAATTGCGAGTCAACTCTAGGTTTGGGATGAAGGGGGGCCAAGCAAACTGAGGTTCGGGGCAACCTCGAAAGCTCCTTGCTCAGCGAAAACAAAGTGCGACGCATTGTTTTCGCCAACAGGCAAACAACTCGACAAGGGGTGTGCACACCAAGCAGCCGCCAGTGAGGCAAAAACTCCTCGACATACCCATCCACAACTAGACCACACTATACTAGTTAGAAATCTAGGACTACCACACAAAGCGACAAGGAACTACAAATGCTATAGGAGAAACGCCCGATTTCACCGTGTATGGCCGCCTCTTTTCCCCTTCCCGTCGCGATTATTCTTTTTTTTACCGCCGCCTTTCCCCTAAACGTCGCGCGCTGTTCCTTTTCCCTCCGGCCGCAAATTCAGTCCGAATCGCGCGTGTGCGACTGCGATGGCGCCCCCATTTAGCGTTCCCATAGCACGCATAATCTTCCCCCTTGCCCGCACTAGGGCCCCCCGTCGCCTTCATTTTATGTTTCCGTCGCGCGCATTTCCCCTTCCCGGTCCCCTGCCCGCATTTCCCCTTCCCGCACGATGCGCATTTCCCCTACCCGTCGCCCTCATCTCCCCTCCCCGTCGCCCTCATGTCCCCTTCCCGTCGCCCTCCTTTCCCCTTCCCGTCGCCCTCCTTTCCCCTTCCCGTCGCCCTACTTTCCCCTTCCCGTCGCCCACGTTTCCCCTTCCCGTCGCCCTCCTTTCCCCATCCCGTCGCCCACGTTTCCCCTTCCCGTCGCCCTCCTTTCCCCTTCCCGTCGCCCTCCTTTCCCCTTCCCGTCGCCCTACTTTCCCCTTCCCGTCGCCCACGTTTCCCCATCCCGTCGCCCTCCTTTCCCCATCCCGTCGCCCTCCTTTCCCCTTCCCGTCGCCCTCCTTTCCCCTTCCCGTCGCCCTACTTTCCCCTTCCCGTCGCCCACGTTTCCCCTTCCCGTCGCCCTCCTTTCCCCATCCCGTCGCCCACGTTTCCCCTTCCCGTCGCCCTCCTTTCCCCTTCCCAACGCCCTCATTTCCCATTCCCCTCGCCCACATTTCCCGTTCCCCTTGCCCTCATTTCCCCTTCCCCTCACCCTCATCTCCCCGTCCCTCATCTCCCCTGTCCTCCTCTCTTCCCCCTGTCCTCCTCTCTTCCCCCTGTCCTCCTCTCTTCCCCCTGTCCTCCTCTCCTCCCACTGTCCTCCTCTCTTCCCCCTGTCCTCCTCTCTTCCCCCTGTCCTCCTCTCTTCCCCCTGTCCTCCCCTCTTCCCCCTGTCCTCCTCTCTTCCCCCTGTCCTCCTCTCTTCCCCCTGTCCTGGTCTCTACCCCCTGTCCTCCTCTCTTCCCCCTGTCCTCCTCTCTTCCCCCTGTCCTGGTCTCTACCCCCTGTCCTCCTCTCTTCCCCCTGTCCTCCTCTCTTCCCCCTGTCCTCCTCTCTTCCCCCTGTCCTCCTCTCTTCCCCCTGTCCTCCTCTCTTCCCCCTGTCCTCCCCTCTTCCCCCTGTCCTCCTCTCTTCCCCCTGTCCTCCTCTCTTCCCCCTGTCCTCCTCTCTTCCCCCTGTCCTCCTCTCTTCCCCCTGTCCTCCTCTCTTCCCCCTGTCCTCCTCTCTTCCCCCTGTCCTCCTCTCTTCCCCCTGTCCTCCTCTCTTCCCCCTGTCCTCCTCTCTTCCCCCTGTCCTCCTCTCTTCCCCCTGTCCTCCTCTCTTCCCCCTGTCCTCCTCTCTTCCCCCTGTCCTCCTCTCTTCCCCCTGTCCTCCTCTCTTCCCCCTGTCCTCCTCTCTTCCCCCTGTCCTCCTCTCTTCCCCCTGTCCTCCTCTCTTCCCCCTGTCCTCCTCTCTTCCCCCTGTCCTCCTCTCTTCCCCCTGTCATCCTCTCACAGCTCACCCCTCCAACAGATCCTCTGTTGCTTCAACATTTCTCGAATGCCCCCCCTCTTTTTCCCCCCTCCTTTTTCCCCGCAGTCCTCCACTCTACCGCCTGTCCTCATTTCTCGACACGTGCTCCTCTCTCTCGTCCCTTCCTCTCCTCTCTCATCCTTCCTCCCCTCTCTCATCCCTTCATCCCCTCTCTCTTCCCTTCCTCCCCTCTCTCATCCCTTCCTCCCCTCTCTCATCCCTTCCTCCCCTCTCTCATCCCTTCCTCCCCTCTCTCATCCAGTCCTTCACACATTCCCTCTCATTGTGAGCTATGCTTTGCAGCATGGAGCAACCAAGTAGGATTTTATTTCATTTGAGGCTACTTTGTGCTCCCATTGTGACATCCAACGGCATATGACAACGTTTCATGCTGCTGTTATGGTAGCCTCTGTTAGTTTTGTTTGTAACCTTGTACAGTATAACAGTATACAAACCTTTTAGACCCATGCATATTTTATATGATTTGTAAATACACGACATAAGCATGCAGTACTATGATACAAGACAAGCACGAGCCATTGCTCTAGTCTTGTGTGTTTCCATTTTGAATCTGCACGCTGTCCTGTCCCTATATGCAATGTGGCTCCTCTGGGCCTTTGAGATGCTGAAAACAGGAGCAAGCGGAGGCGGCACGTCCATGCAGGGCGTCTGGGCCTCTGTCATGCTCGCCTGGGATGGTGCGGGGTGAGGGGATAGGACAGGGCGGGGTGAGGGGATAGGACAGGGCGGGGTGAGGGGATAGGACAGGGCGGGGTGAGGGGATAGGACAGGGCGGGGTGAGGGGATAGGACAGGGCGGGGTGAGGGGATAGGACAGGGCGGGGTGAGGGGATAGGACAGGGCGGGGTGAGGGGATGGATTTGGGAGAACGGGAAGAGATGGAAAGGGAGAGCGAGTTCGCCAGTGTGCAACGGGAGGGAATCGGCCGTGCGCCCCAAACGGTGTGCGGCGGAAGGGAATGCGCGAAGGCGACGGGAAGATCACGAGCGCTAACGGCGGAAGGGAGAGCGTGCACACGATGGAAGGGAGAGCGCGCACACGACGGAAGGGAGAGCGCGCACACGACGGAAGGGAGAGTGCGCACACGACGGAAGGGAGAGCGCGCACACGACGGAAGGGAGAGCGCGCACACGACGGAAGGGAGAGCGCGCACACGACGGAAGGGAGAGCGCGCACACGACCGTAGGGAGAGCGCGTGGGCGACGGAGGGAGTGCGCGTGGGCGACGGAGGGAGTGCGCGTGGGCGACGGAGGGAGTGCGCGTGGGCGACGGAAGTGGATTTACCGAGCGCGACAGAAGGGAGTGAGCTTGACGACGGAGGGGAGTGTGCTGGGCGACGGAAAGGAGTGAGGAGGGGCGAAAGAGGCGTCGCGCGAAGGCGACGGGAGGGGAGGGAGCGTGATCGCACGTCGGGAAGGAAGCGTGAGTGACGGGAAGGAGTGCTCATCCTCTAATGAGGGGTGTGCGCGAAGGCGACGGGAGGGGAGTGCGCGAAGGCAACGGGAGGGGAGTGCGGTATGGCGGTGGAGGGAAGTGAGCGACGGCGGCCTTACCGCGTGGGCGACGGAGGGGAGTGAACGAAGGCGACGGCGATGATATAAATGGACCAAAATCTTCTGTAAGGCGGAATGCTCTACCCTGGACAGAGAACCGGGCGCGGCTAGGAACAACCGCGACATCGATGCGCCTGGCGAAGGGGCAGTGTAACAGCGGACGACGATGGGCATATGTGCGTGAATGGGCATGGCTAGCTACGTGCAGTGAAAACGAGATGTAAGGCGCGCGGCTCAGCAAGGGCGACTGTTACCGTCGGAATGGAAGCATGGTCCCAGAGCGTAATGCGGAACCCTAAACTGACGTGGAAGTCGGCGCGGTGACTCTCTTCTAAGCTATGACTTCCCCAAGTTTGGCCCTGAACTCTGTTTTTTGTCGACCTGAATTACAGATTTTGAGATTGGTGTGCACACCTCAGCCAAGAGTGGTGGTGAGACCCCTGCGATCCTTCCCTACGCACCCTGCGACTTTCCTCACGTTTTGAAGGTGAGACCTGGTAACCACCCTGGTTCGGGAGGGGAGGTGTTAACACTTTCCCTCCCGAACCAGGGTGGTTACCAGTTGTGCACGGGCAAAACGTGATGAAGTCGCATGCAGCTCACGGAAGTGTCGCTCGGTTCCTGCGCAACCACTCTGGCCTTGGTGTGCACACCAAACTGGAAACCTGTAATTCAGGTCGATAAAAACTGCCTAGTCCGATCAGCACCAGCGGCAGCCATAGCTTAGAATAGCTAGGCTCCAACCTCATTCCAGCCCCATGCCTCATAGACCCGCCTTACTCGTTAGGACTAATACTCCATTCCTTAGGTGCCAGAGATATAACTTTCTGTCCGCGTTTCTAAGGTGAATCGCCCTACTTCGTCGCATTCGCTTCTTCTCCCCGTAGTCCACACTCCGTCCCCTTCCGTCCCACACACGCACTCCCCTCCATCGCTCACGCTTCCTCGCGACAACGAGCACGCTCCCTCCCCTCCCGTCTCCTTTGCGCTCGCTCCATTGTCGCACACGCGCGCTCTGCTTTCTCGCGGATTACAATTCCCTCCCGTCGCTCACGCGGGAGCGCCGAGACCGATTACGCACACTCCCTTCCGTCACCCACGCTCACTTCGTTCCCACCGCAGACGCGCACTCCCTTCCGTCGCCCCCGCGCACTCCGTCAGTTACCTCGGCCCACGCGCACTCCCTTCCGTTGCCCACTCTCAAGACCTTCCCGTCGCCCACGCTCACACCCTTCCCATCGCCTACGCGCAATCGTTCAGTCGCCCACTCTCAACCACTTCCCTCGCCCACGCTCGCTCCCTTCCCGTCGCCCACGCTCACTCCCTTTCCATCGCCTTCGCGCAATCCTTACATCGCACACGCTCACCCCCGCTCGTCGCACACGGCCAATTCCCTCTCGTCGCACGCTGCCGCCCGCGCCGCGCTCTCCCTTTCAATCTCCTCCCGCCGTCCACGCGCACTCCCTCCCGGCGCGCGAGACGACTCCCCGTCCGCCGCCCACGCTCACTCCCTCCCGCCGCGACGGTCCCCTCCGTCGCACATGCTCACTCCCCTCCGTCGCCCACGCCCACTCCTTATGGTCGCACTCACTCCTCCCCGTCGCCCACTCATTCCCCTCCGTATCCCTCGCTCACTCCCCTTCCGCCGCCCACGCTCGCTCCCTCCCGTCGCGTTCGGCCCCATCCGTCGCCCACGCTCACTCCACTGCCGTCACACACGCACGCACCCTCCCCTCGACGGAGAGGGGGTGCTCCGCTTCCCTCGCATATGCGTTCATCTCCCCATCCCTCATCTCCCCATCCCTCATCTCCCCATCCCTCATCTCCCCATCCCTCATCTCCCCATCCCTCATCTCCCCGTCCCTCATCTCCCCATCCCTCATCTCCCCGTCCCTCATCTCCCCGTCCCTCATCTCCCCGTCCCTCATCTCCCCGTCCCTCATCTCCCCATCCCTCACCCCCCCATCCCTCATCTCCCCATCCCTCACCTCTCCGGTCTTCCTCTCCCTCTCCCCTCTCCTCTCATTCCTTACCCTTCTCCCTCTCCTCTCCCTCCTCCCTTTCCACTCGCCCCGCCACTCCCGCCGTGCTTCTCCCTCCCCCCATTCCGCCTCGCCCCATTCCGCCCCACCCCATTCCGCCCCATCCCATTCCGACTGACCTCATTCCGCCCCACCCCATTCCGCCTCACCCCATTCCTCCTCTCCCCGTCCCCTCCTCACTTTACCCCCCTCTTCTCCCCTTCCCCACCTCATCCCATCTCCTCCTCTTTCCGTCCACCCCTCCTCACCCCATCTCCTCCTCTTTCCATCCAGGCCTCCTCACCCCATTCCGCCTCACCCCATTCCGCCTCCCGTCCTCTCCCCATCCCCTCCTCTTACTATCCCTCCTCTCCCTGTCTCTCCTCTCCCCATCCCTCCTCTCATCCCTCCTCTTACCATCCCTCCTCTTACCATCCCTCCTCTCCCCATCCCTCCTCTCCCTATCCGTCCTCTCCCCATCCGTCCTCTGTTCGTTCCTTCCTCCCCACATCCCTTCCTGTTTGCTCCGCACTTCACCTCCCCCTCCCCTCCCCCAATCGCTCTGCGCGGTCTCATTGCAGGGACTCCTCGCAGGGAAAGAAGGGGAAAGGGAGGAAAGTTCACCCACGCTACGTCTATCCCCTCACCCCGCCCTGTCCTATCCCCTCCCCTCCCCCTCCCGTCCTCTCCCCATCCCCTCCTCTTCCAAACCCATCCCTCCTCTTTCCATCCATCCTCTCCCCATCCCTCCTCTCCCCATCCGTCCTGTCCCCATCCCCTCCTCTCCCCCTCCGCTCCAGGTGTTTCCTCCCATCATCACTTCCTCCCATCATCACTTCCTCCCATCACCACTTCCTCCCATCATCACTTCCTCCCATCACCACTTCCTCCCATCACCACTTCCTCCCATCACCACTTCCTCCCATCACCACTTCCTCCCATTACCACTTCCTCCCATCATCACTTCCTCCCATCACCACTTCCTCCCATCACCACTTCCTCCCATCACCACTTCCTCCCATCACCACTTCCTCCCATCATCACTTCCTCCCATCACCACTTCCTCCCATCATCACTTCCTCCCATCACCACTTCCTCCCATCACCACTTCCTTCCATCACCACTTCCTCCCATCACCACTTCCTCTTCCTATCCCCTTTCCCTCTCACATCGTCCTATCTCCCCCTGTCCCTTCTCCCCTGCTTCCCTCTTCCCCCTCTTTCCCCGCTTTCCCCTCCCCATCGCTCGTATTCTCTTTCTCTCCCTGGCTATTGCAGTGACTACACTGATGATTTTTCTGGTGCTGCAACTCGCTCAGAGGCCCATCATCCCATGCCATGCTCATAGAGAAAACAGTTCCCTTCATGTTTCTTTCGAGGCTTTGGAAAAGGTACAATCAAAAGTATTGTGCACATGCCTTTCTGTACCCTTCTGACACTCTTAGTGTGCATCAATCTTCGAAGAATATCTTGCACTGCAGAAACAAAATTACATACGGTACGGTATTATGCCTTTGAGATCCATCTCTTCAACAAAAATGATGCAAAGCACACAAGACACAGGTGGTGGTACGATGCAAAGCATAGACTAGCTGCGCCTCAGCTTGCTCCTCTGCTTCACCACTGAAAAATAGGGGAGATTGGAGTAGGCAGAAAGATTCGTGTGAAGAAACATGGGGGAGGTGGAGTGAGGTGCAAGGGAACAACGGCAGGGGAATACACACAAGCGCACATAATGAAAGCATGTATGGGGAGACACTAATGGGTGCACATGCATGGGTATTAGAGGGCGGAAGGTGAGGAGTGAGGGGGAAGGGTAGGGCATGAAAAGGAAGGGAAGGGTTGTGAACGGCTGGGGGAGGGAAGGGCGGAGCAGGGAGGAAAAGGCAGGGATGGGGAGGGCACGTGGGAACAGGGCAGAGGGTGCAGGAGAGTGAGAGTGCGAGAGGACGGAGGGAGAGAGTGCAGGAGGAGGGAGAGTGGGGGAAGGAGGGTGGGAGGAAAAGGCAGGGATGGGGTTTCCTAGGTGGGAACAGGGCAGAGGGTGGGGGAAGGAGAGTGAGAGTGCGAGAGGATGGAGGAAGCAGGGAAGGGGATGGGGGGAAGCAGGGAAGGGGATGGGGGGAAGCAGGGAAGGCGATGGGGGGAAGCAGGGAAGGGGATGGGGGGAAGCAGGGAAGGGGATGGGGGGAAGCAGGGAAGGGGATGGGGGGAAGCACGGAAGGGGACGGGGGGAAGCACGGAAGGGGATGGGGGCAAGCACGGAAGGGGATGGGGGGAAGCACGGAAGGGGATGGGGGGAAGCAGGGAAGGGGATGGGGGGAAGCAGGGAAGGGGATGGGGGGAAGCACGGAAGGGGATGGGGGGAAGCACGGAAGGGGATGGAGGGAAGCACGGAAGGGGATGGGGGGAAGCAGGGAAGAGGACGTGGGGAGCGAGGGAGATGCCGGGGAGAGAGCTGGGGGGAGGACGGTGGGGAGCAGGGCGATTGATGGGGGGAAAAGGGAGAGATGTATGCAGTGTGGGGGTGAAAGGCGATTATTCGGGAATGGGAAGGGTGCATGTGCAGGTGGGAAAGGGGGCGTGACAAGTGTGCGAGATGAGAAGGGAGAAGGGAGGGATGGCGAGGACAAGGAGTGGATGGGAGGGCGACGGGGAAAGAGAGGGCGACGGGGGGAGAGAGAGACGGGGATTGCGAGGGGACGAGCGGGAAGGAGGGCGACGAGCGACAGAGAGGCGACGAGACGAAGGGGGGCAACGGGGGGAAGGGAGCGCGACGAGGGAAAAGAAGGGCGGCGGGCGGACGGGAAGGCAACGGGAGGAAGGGAGGGCGACGAGACGAAGGGAGGGCGACGAGACGAAGGGAGGGCGACGGGCGGAAGGAAGCGCGACGAGGGGAAGGAAGGGCGGCGGGCGGAAGGGAGGGCGACGGGTGGAAGGGAGGGTGACGGGCGGAAGGGAGGGTGATGGGCGGTGACGGGCGGAAGCGAGGGCGACGGGCGGGGAAGCGGCGAGGGCGACAGGCGAGGCGAGGGTAGTAGGCGGGGGAAGCGAGAGCGACGGGCGAGGGAACCGACCTCGACGGGCGGCGAGGCGGCGAGGGCGACGGGCGGGGTGAGGGCAGTGGGCGGAGAAAGCAAGGGCGACGGGCGAGGGTCGCGAGGTAGGCAAAGCGCTCTCTCATCTCCTCACGCCCATTTTCTCCGTGCTTCGATTGCGTATACAAGCTGCACCTACTAATTCCGGTTGTCTAAATGGCGCTCACTCTAAAACCCTAGCTGGTGTGCGATGGTCGGATACTAATAGCGAGTGAATGAGTATGTTTGCTTGTTCTGTCGCACCAGTTTTCTTATGCTGTTCTTTCCCTCTGGGGTTGGTATGCGGGTTGCCTGCGAACTGTTTGCCTCACGGGAGAGTCGCATCAGGTTTCGCTAACCTGCCACCTTTCGCAATTCCTCCGCACCTCATTTTGCCCGAACCCCGGACCTACCAAACCAAGCGTTGACTCAGTTTTTGTAATTCAGGCTTCGGGTTTTAAAGCCGCGGTGCAGATATCTTAGGAACAGTGACAAACAGTTTTTTGTCTTTTTCCTTCCTGGTCGCCAATTGGCTAGCGAGAGAGTAGATAATGTTGCGATGAAGAGAAAAAGGAAACAACTGAGGCGAACGTCGCGAACCTCGAAAGTGAGGGGGAAGGGGAAGGGGTGGGGGGAGGGAAGGGGGAAACACACACGACAACGCGAAAATCGGAACCCATGAATACGCCGTCATCTCTACATTGCATAACGAAAGAGTTTGTATTTCAAGTACCACACAAATATAATATTCTGCGACTCAAAGGCACATTCTAGGATTTCAGAAATATCAAAGTTTGGGGTGGTTGTTTCCTTTCTTTTTTTTTGGGGTGCAACGAATGTACACATGGCAGGCAAACATGAGTGTCTTTAAATCCAACATGGCATCTCCAAGATGAGCTAAACTTCACACCCCTCTGATCCATTATTGATGCAGCTGTCCACCGATAGCAGGGGGGGAGGGGGGTAGGGAAGGACACCAGCCGTAGAAGTGAAAAATGTTCGATGGGGAAATTGAATGGAGGGTTGGCAGAAACAGTGGGGTGCGCGAAGGTTCAAAGTGGTGGGGTGGGTGAAGGGAAGTAGTAGGGTGGGTGAAGGGATGGCCGGGAGAGGGGTGAATGGTGGGATGGGATAGGGGGAAAGGGAAGGGATGGGAGAAAGGGAAAGGAAGGGTTTAGGAATCGGGGGATGCCTTGAAAGGACAAGGGTAGGGTAAAGGGTGGATGGTGGGGGAAGGAGGGACGGACACCGATGGAAGGAGGGACGGGGACGGGGGGAAGGTTTGAACGATAACGGGGGAAATGAGGGACGGCGGGAGTGGGGGAGAGGAGGATTGGTGGTGGAGAGACGGTGGGAGCGAGCCACTTGCTACCGTCGCGCCCAATCCTGCCTCCTGGGAAGGGCAAGAGGCTAAGGTATCGACGGACAAGGGGATTTCGGGAATGGGGAGGCGTGAAACCGAAGGTGTGGCATAGGAGGATGTGCCATGGGGGATGGTGGCAGGGGGGGATGCCCTGGAACAAACAATCTCTCACGCTTGAACTAGGACAGGAATGGGATAGGACAGGGGGAAGGAGAAAGCGACAGGGGGAATGGGATAGGACAGGGGAGGGACAGGAGAGGAGGGAAAGAGATGGCCATCAGAAGGGTGAATGGTGGGATGGGATAGTGGGAACGGGAAGGGATGTGAGAGAGGAAAAGGAAGGGTTCAGGAAAGGGGGAAATGAGAAGGAAAAGCAGCGACGGTAGTGGGGGAAAAGGGACGAATGGGGGCAAGGGGACGGATGAGAGCAGGGGGGAGCAGTGGGTTGGGAGAGGGGAAAGGAGGGAGGGAGAAGAAGGGGAGGGAAGGATAGGGGGACAGGGCAGAAAGAACAGGGGGGAGGATTAAGCATCAGGAGGAACGAAAACGATGAAAGGGAGGGAAGGACTAAGGGGAAAGGGAGAGAATGACAGGGGGAAAGGGTGGGAAGGACATGGAGGAAAGGAGGGAAGGACAGGGGGGAAGGGATAGAAGGAGTGGGGGAAAGGGAAAGAAGGACAGGGGCCTATACCATCGATCGCTGCTCTTCCCACCCTTTCCCCCTGTCCTCCTCTCCCATTCCGGCCCTGTCTGCTCGCTACCCTTGCCTTCGCCGCATCGCTACCAATATCGCTTGCTAAAGCCGCTTGCGAGGTTTGGACGCGAGATGCTTCGCCACCGTCGGAGCAGATGCTGAACCACCGTCGGAACAGATGCTTCGCCCCGCTGCTCGCTAACGACACCCTGCTGCACGCTAACGTCGCCCCGCTGCTCGCTACTGTCGTTATCGCTGCTCACTATCGTCATTGCGCTGCTGTCGCCATGCTGTTCGCTACCATCGCAACCCTGCTCGCTGCCGTCGCAACCCTTCTCGCTGCCATCGCAACCCTGCTCGCTACCGTCGCCGCTCTGCTCGCTATCGTCGCCCCGCTGCTGGCTACCGTCGCACCCAATCCTGCCTGTCGCCATCGTCGCTGCTTGCCACCGCCGATTCGTGAGAAACAGAGGGACGGGAGAGGGAAACCTGAACGACGACAGCGGAGGAAATCTAGCGCAATGCGCTACGGGTACGACTGCCGTGGTGTTTTTTGAGGTACGAAATAGCGCAGATATTCGAGCGCACACTAAAAGGCGAAGAAGAGAGATAGATATGAGGCGAATGGCTCTCAGTAGCCCTACGGGAAGGCACTTCAAGTTAGTAGTAACCTAGCCTAGCGCGAGAGATTGCCGAGTTTGAGTAGTTTTGAGTTCAAGTTTCAAGTTTCAAGTTTGATGCCTGGCCCCCCCTTCATGCTGTTGTGCGGTGCTTTTCCGCAAGCCCTCCCCAGCTTCCCCCCCACTCATCATGCTGCGAGGCACTTTTCCGCACGACCTTCCCCCGCTCTCAGAATGCTCTGCCTGCTCGACTTCCAGTGTATACTGGGTAACGCGCCCTTCAAGCTATAATACTTTGAACTGGCGCAGAGATATCTGCACCGCGGCTTTAAAAAATCGCCAACGATTTTGCGAAACTGACACCCTCCCCAGCGGGATGGGGGTAGTCATGCTCCATGCCTAGCTTACTTATTTCACCCGTTCTAGCCAAACAAACACCCTCGTGGCATTCTCTGTCATAACCCTCAGCAATCTCTGCACACAATCACCATCCTCCTTGAGTGCAACGATGAGTTCCTTTCGGACAGCCCGCAGGACTCGTAAAAAAGAGCTGAGTCCTGAAGTCTTCAGCCCAATACTGCTGGCTTCATACAGTAAGGCTGACGGATCTACTACTGACCGTATCAAGAATGATGACCCTCAGAACAGCGAGGTAATGAACTCAATGTGGGACGTTTTGGACAATCCACGCTCTTCGACCTCTCAGACTCATTCCTTGATTGCTCTACAGGCAAATTCAAAGCTTCTGGAATATGAGAAGCTTCTCCAGGACAAAACTGAGCAGGTTGCTAAACTGAAGAACGCAGCCGCCGAAACGTCTGCTAATGCAGCTCTTTCCTACGGCATTTGGTTCTTGGTAGATACACGCGCACTAACTACGACCAACCTTTACAGGTTGAAAATCTCACGAAGGAACTTGAGGAGCAGAAGAAGACTCATGCCTTGGAAGCTCATCGGCTAGATTCAAAGCTTCTGAAATCTGAGAAGCTTCTCCAGGAAAAAACTGGCGAGCTGAATATGGTGAAGGCGGAATTCGCTGAACTGAAAAACGCAGCCACCGAAACGTCAGCAGCCAACGAGCAGATGCAGAATCAGGTGTCTGCAGAATCAGAGCAGCATTCATTTCTTGGTTAATGCACGCGCACTAACTAATGCGCACGAACCCTTGCAGATTGGCAAGCTCAAGAAGGAACTGAAGAAGAAAGATAAGACTATCTACTCTCAACAGGTAAGTCGCTTTTATGACAACTTCGATACGTTTATTTATGTATCACCGAATGTTTTTTTATTGTGTGACTGTCTCAATCCAGGAAGTGATCAATCAACTGACTGGGGAGGTTATTGTGATGAAAGACACGGAGAGGGTAATTGTAGCACATGGGGGGGTCGATGCTTAGTTGTTATATGATATGTCTTCATAGCTACCTTCAAACTTTAGTAGGATATGAATAATTCGTCAAAAATAAACGTAACAACTACCTGACCAGCTCTGTGTGAGGGAGCAGCATGAAAGGGGGAATGGCCAGTGGGTGGACAGAGAATCAAGTTTCAAACACATGAGAATGTATCAAATCAATTACCATGCAGTTACCACGTAGTATCCATGCGTGTGCTTACATGAACCACGCAGTTACAAGATGGTATTCATGCGCAGTTAACATACTCATGCAGTTACCTGATGGTAAAAATGGGTGCAATTACCCTAGATGCGCAGTTACCAGATGGTAACACATGCGGTAAAAGTGGAAGTTCCCCCACCGCTGTGCTGCCCCGTGCTGGTGCCGCTTCACATAGAAGCCCCGCGCCCACCGCTGCCAGTGGTGAGTAAAGGGGGAGAGGGAGAGGAGGTGAGGGCGATGGTGGAGAGGAGCAGCAATGCAACAGGAGTTGCCAGAAGAGCAGATGTGTGTGCTGCTGCGCTGCCCCGTGCTGGTGCCGCTTCACGTAGAAGCCAGGCGCCCACTCCTGGTGGGGTTAAGGTTCGCGGTAAGGAGGGGAGCGGGGAAAGAAGGCTGGAAAGGAGGCAGGTGAGGTGATGGGAAGAGCAGCGTTACACGGGGCAGGACGGCAGCAATCACAGAAGCGCAGGTTGGCAATCACAAAACATACCTGCTGGCTGGGCGGCAGGGGGTAGAGGTCCCCAAAGATGGTGGCGCGTGCGTTGGCAAGGCCGCTCCACCCAGGGATCTGCACGACCACGATGCAGCACGGGTCCGACTGGAGGTTGCACGCGTGCATGCCTAGAGGAGAGAGCATGAAGACAGGGTCTGGGGGAGGAGCAAAAGATGGAGAGGGAGGGGAAGAGAGGGAGGGCGTTGGCAAGGCCGCTCCAACCATCCACTCATGGCCGTTAGACTCTGTAGGGGACCCAAAGGGGTACCCCTTGCGGCCACCCCTTCACTCACAGTCCCCCTTCGCCCTCCCACACCCCTTACCCCCACTCCCACTGTCCCTCCACCCCACTCACGGCTGTCAGCATCAGTGGTTAAAAACCACGAGGGACCCCAAGGGGTACCCCTTGCGGCGGTGGTGCGAGCGGGGCATGATGGAGCAGAGTTGCGCTGCGCGTACTGCGCCTGCTCCACCAGACTAAGCACCGCCACTGCTGGGGCCGGTAGGCCATGGGAGGAGAGGGGAAGGGATTGGGTGCGGGGAGAAGGGGGAAAAAAGAGGGGGGGAATGGGGAGGGGGCAGCATTGGCATGATGGAGCAGAGCTGCGGTGCGTGCACTGCGCCCGCTCCACCAGGCTGCGCACTGCTTGCTACCACAGCGCTGGGCCGGCAGCCCGTGGGCGCTGATGCGCTCTCCCCTCCCCCTGAGACAGGTGAGCGGACGAGACCTGAACGCGTGGCGGACACTGAAGGAGGGGGAAGGCGGGAAAGGGTGAGAGAGTGGAAGCGTGAAGAGGGTGAAATGTGCAGGGAAGAGAGAAAGGGTGAGAGGGGGGAAGGGTGCGAGAGGGGAAGGGTGCGAGAGTGCGGGGAACGAACTCTGGCTTGTGGGGAGGGAAGAAGGGAGGAGGGGAGGGGAGGAAGGGCAACGGTACCTCACTCACCCACCCTCACTGCACCACTGCTAATCACCCACCTCTTTGCACCATTGCCACTCACACAGCCCCTGTCACACAAACACCAATGATCATGCAGCAGCACTGCCCCCCACCACGCACCCACACTCAAAACCCAAAATGACCAGTGTGCACACTGACATGCACGCGCAAGTGATCGTACCCATCCATTCAAACTCCCCCAAGGCACACTGTCAGCCTGGGCAGCACACACAAGGCAACGGGAAGGAGAAGGTTGGAGAACACGGGCGATGTGAAGGTGCCGACCGACACGGCTGGCAGCAGCTCCCCTGCCTTGTGCAGCGGCAGCAGCCCGCCCACGAGTGCCGCCACGACCAGCCTATGAACACGAAGAAGCGTAGGGAGAGAGCGAGGGGAAGGGCGCACGTGGGGTGGAAGGGGGAGGGGAGATGGAGGATGGGAGAGTAGAGGAAACGAGCAGGATCATGGGAGGAGGAGTGACAGGGATGCAAGGAAGCAAGGGAGTCACAGGGAAGTATTGGAGGGGAAAAGGCCATAAATGCATGTAAGGAAAAGGCAGAGGCCAGTGATTGAGCAGATATGTGTTTGGGCATTGCATGCGCACGTGCATGTAGGCGTGCTTGTTGAGCAACTCCACGATGGCCCTACCGCGCGCCAGGATGCACGGCGCGCATCCAAGGCGCACAGCACGCTATCAAGTTGCCCCCGTCGCCGTTGCTCGCTTGCGCCGCCACCTGGGAGAACAAGCATGGGAGAGGAAAAGGTGGACGCTACAAGGTCAGACAGTACGCAGAAAGACTTATGGAATATCTCTATATATAAATATTAAACTGCTGCCAAACCTTGCTAATCCTGCCTTCGAACCATCTGTGGCCCATCTTCCCTTCGCCCCCACTCTCAACCCCGTCCCACCCACCCACCCACAAACACAAAATAACCTCCTTCACCCTCTTCTCCCCACACCCAAGAACACATGCCCCCCTTCTTCCGTTCCCGCAACCCACCCCTCCAAGAGCAAGCATGGTGAAGCTCAGGTGGTGAAGCGGGAAGGTGTGGGGACGAGGGCAAGCATGCACCCACGTGCGACGCGGCGAAGGGCAGCGCCGCGACCTTCCCCCCTCCCCACTGCGCCCTCCCCTCCCCACCTTCCCCCCTCCCCACTGCGCCCTCCCCTCCCCACCTCCCCTTCACTGCACTGCGCCCTCCGCCCACCACCTGCCCCCTCCCCACCGTGCCCTTCAACCCTTCCTCGTCCACCTCACCTGGCAACGGCGCGCGTTCACCTGGAGTTGCCATGCTTGCTTCGTATAGTTGTGTTTCGGCACAAGTGTATCGCCTCCAGTCGCCCTCTCTGTCACAGTGGGAAGCTCAGGTGGTGAAGCTCAGGTGGTGAAGCTCGGGTGGTGAAGCTCGGGTGGTGAAGCTCAGGTGGTGAAGCTCAGGTGGTGAAGCTCAGGTGGTGAAGCTCAGGTGGTGAAGCTCAGGTGGTGAAGCTCGGGTGGTGAAGCTCAGGTGGTGAAGCTCAGGTGGTGAAGCTCAGGTGGTGAAGCTCAGGTGGTGAAGCTCAGGTGGTGAAGCTCAGGTGGTGAAGCTCAGGTGGTGAAGCTGGTTGCTGTGGCGCTGTGAGGGTGCCCCCTCTGCCTGCCATGCTTCCCTCGCATGCTCGTCCAACGCTCACCCTCCCTGCTGCTGCTGCTCTAGCTTTTCAATTATGTGCCACGTCAGCACCGCTCCCATTCGCCCCCACATTCTTTAGCCGCCCATCCGCGCCCCTGCTAGCACCCCTTGTCCTCCCCCTCCGCCTTTCCCCTGCCCCTCGGCTGCCCCCCCATTCCCCCTCGCCCCCGCCAGCTCCCCCCCCTCTCTCTCCACGCATTGCTGCCCATTCTGCCACTCGCCGCCTCCCCGCGTGGGGGTGGGTGTGAATCAGTGGGTGCAAAAGGGTGGGTGGGAATAGGTGGGAATGGGTGGGTGGAAATAGGTGGGAATGGGTGGGTGGAAATAGGTGGAAATGGGTGGGTGGAAATAGGTGGGAATGCGTGGGTGGGTGGGTGGGAATAGGTGGGAATGGGTGGGTGGAAATAGGTGGGAATGGGTGGGTGGAAATAGGTGGGAATGGGTGGGTGGAAATAGGTGGAAATGGGTGGGTGGAAATAGGTGGGAATGCGTGGGTGGGTGGGTAAGAATAGGTGGGAATGGGTGGGTGGAAATAGGTGGGAATGGGTGGGTGGAAATAGGTGGGAATGGGTGGGTGGAAATAGGTGGGAATGGGTGGGTGGGAATAGGTGGGAATGGGTGGGTGGAAATAGGTGGGAATGGGTGGGTGGAAATAGGTGGGAATGGGTGGGTGGGTGCGAAGGGGCTTCCATGCAGATAGGTGTGTGATTTGCGGGAACCGATGCCACAACACAAGAGCGGGACGGTGTCAATTGCGCACATGATGACATGAGTTGGGTTGAATTGGGTTGAGATGGGGTTGCAGTGCAGGGAAAGCAAGAGCGAATACAGGCGAGGCGAGAGACAAGAGCATTACATCACATGCCACAGGGCCTGCTGCAGCTGTGCCTTGAGGCTGCCGATCTCATTCATCCCGCCCTGTGACCCTGTCTTCAGCGCCTGCACGCACACACTTACACCTCGCACATCGTAAGGGAGGGGAGGAGATAGGAGGGGGAGAGGAGGGGAAGAAAGGAAAGAGGCATTCGCTTGCATGGAAAAGATGCTCGTCCCTGCTGCTGCTGTGCTCGCCATCACTGCTCACAGGGAGAAGCTGAGGGAGAGGGGGGGGAAGGGGGGGAGGGGTGAAGGGAAGGAAAGGAGAGCGGAGGAGAAAGGAGGGAGAGCTTGGAGCATCAGAACCGTAAAGCATGGTGTAAACGCGTACAGAACGGAGCAAGGATAGTAAAGCGTACAGGTGGTACTGATGCACGTGAAACGGAATACGGCTAGTAACGCGTACAGCGGGTACTGGTGCACGTGGAAGGCTAGTAACGCGTACAGCGGGTACTGGTGCACGTGGAAGGCGCGCTGGCCGATGGTGACGACGCGGTCGCTCGCCATGCCCGCCACTTGCGCCCACTCCGGCTTGCTCCTCGTGCGACAGCAGCGACGCTCCTGCGTCGTCGCAGCCCTCGTTGCCCATCGCGCGCGTCGTTAAAGCAGGTGACGGCGAGGCGCGCGAAAAGAATCGGCGCGGAGAAAACAGCGCGCGGAAAACAGCGCGGAACGGCGCGAAGGTAACAGCGGCGACGCACGGAGGAGGGCGAGGATGCGGCTGCTCCCCTGCTGCTGCCTGCTGCTCTCCACTGCTCTCTCCTGCTGTCTGCTGCTATGTGCCGCTAAGCGTTTCCAGTGCGCAGCGGAGATTTAGGGGACTAAGACGGCTGGAACAAGCACCGTTGGAACCAAGGTCGTGCGGAGGATGACCGTTGGACGCCAAGAGAGACTTGAAAATGAGGGATCGGGGGATGAGGGATGGGGAGATGAGGGATGGGGGGACGAGGCATGGGGAGATGAGGGATGGGGAGATGAGGGATTGGGAGAAGCGGGATGGGGAGGTGAGGCATGGGGAGGTGAGGGATGGGGCGGAGAGGGATTGGGAGGAGAGGGTTGGGGGGATGAGGGATGGGGAGATGAGGGATGGGGGGACGAGGCATGGGGAGATGAGGGATGGGGAGATGAGGGATGGGGAGATGAGGGATGGGGAGATGAGGGATGGGGCGGAGAGGGATTGGGAGGTGAGGGATAAGGAGAGGAGGGATGGGGAGAAGAGGGATGGGGAGAATGGGGATGGGTAGAGGAGGGATGGGGTGTAGAGGGATTGGGAGGTGAGGGTTAAGGAGATTGAAAATGGGGAGGGGAGGCATGGGGAGAAGAGGGATGGTAAGATGAGGGATGGGGACATGAGGGACGGGGAGATGAGGGATGGGGAGATGTGGGATGGGGCGGAGAGGGATGGGGGGATGAGGGATGGGGAGATGAGGGATGGGGGGACGAGGCATGGGGAGATGAGGGATGGGGAGATGAGGGATGGGGAGATGAGGGATGGTAAGATGAGGGATGGGGACATGAGGGACGGGGAGATGAGGGATGGGGAGATGTGGGATGGGGCGGAGAGGGATGGGGGGATGAGGGATGGGGAGATGAGGGATGGGGGGACGAGGCATGGGGAGATGAGGGATGGGGAGATGAGGGATGGGGAGGTGAGGCATAGGGAGGTGAGGGATGGGGCGGAGAGGGATTGGGAGGTGAGGGATAAGGAGAGGAGGGATGGGGAGGTGAGGCGTGGGGAGGTGAGGGATGGGGAGGTGAGGGATGGTAAGGTGAGGGATGGGGATGCGAGGCATGGGGAGATGAGGGATGGGGAGAAGAAGGATGGGGAGATGAGGGATGGGGAGATGAGGGATGGGGAGATAAGGCATGGGGAGAGGAGGGATGGGGAGATGAGGGATGGGGAGATGAGGGATGGGGAGATGAGGAATGGGGGGACGAGGCATGGGGAGGTGAGGGATGGGGAGATGAGGGATGGGGAGAAGAGGGATGGGGAGATGAGGCATGGGGAGATGAGGGATGGGGAGAAGAGGGATGGGGAGGTGAAGGATGGGGATAAGAGGGATGAGGAGGAGAGGGATGGGTGTACACGACGGAAGGGGAGTTAGCGTGGGCGACGGGAGGGGAGTTCGCGTGGGCGACGGAAGGGGAAACGCGCATGGGCGACGGAAGGGGGGATTGCGTGGGCGACGGGAGGGGAGTTCGCATGGGCGACGGAAGGGGAAACGCGCATGGGCGACGGAAGGGGAAACGCGCATCTCGACGGAAAGGGGAAACGCGCATGGGCGACGGAAGGGGGGCTTGCATGGGCGACGGAAGGGGAAACGCGCGTGGGCGATGGATGGGGAGTTAGCGTGGGCGACGGGAGGGGAGTTCGCATGGGCGACGGAAGGGGAAACGCGCGTGGGCGATGGATGGGGAGTTAGCGTGGGCGACGGGAGGGGAGTTCGCATGGGCGACGGAAAGGGGAAACGCGCATGGGCGACGGAAGGGGGGCTTGCATGGGCGACGGAAGGGGAAACGCGCGTGGGCGATGGATGGGGAGTTAGCGTGGGCGACGGGAGGGGAGTTCGCATGGGCGACGGAAGGGGAAACGCGCGTGGGCGATGGATGGGGAGTTAGCGTGGGCGACGGGAGGGGAGTTCGCATGGGCGACGGAAGGGGAAACGCGCATGGCCGACGGAAGGGGAAACGCGCATGGGCGACGGAAGGGGGGATTGCATGGGCGACGGAAGGGGAAACGCGCGTGGGCGATGGATGGGGAGTTCCCCCACGCGACGTGAGGGGAGTGAGCGTGGCGGCGGTAGGGGAGCTAGCGAAGGTGACGGGAGGGGAGTGAGCGTGGCGGCGGTAGGGGAGTGAGCGAAGGCGACGGGAGGGGAGTGAGCGTGGGTGACAAGAGGGGAGTACGCGTGGGCGACGGAAAGGGAAATGCGGACGAGTCGCAGGGGAAATGCGAGTGACGGGAAGGGAATATGTGCTCTGAGGGACTTGAAAATGCCTGCGATACGGGAAATGCTAAATGCGGGCTTCGGAAATCGTAACCGCGCGCTACTGATACCTAAAATCACCCACTCCGGTCACTATCAATGCCCTCCCTGCCGCGTCGCCTCCAAGGTGGGGAGTAATCTAATCTCAATGTCATGGATGGAGATATGCGGGGGACCTCATACGTCCTAAGGCATTTGCGCTTACTGGTGGGTACTCGGGTCGTTCCTCTCTCTTGATTATCTTCTTTGGCACGAGGGACGTTGCCTGTCTTGGTCGCTGTGCGTTGTACTAGTAGGAGAATAATTAGTGTAGCCGCTAATCAGGTGGTCAAGCGTGGGATGTTTGTCTAGTTCTGCTTGGGATGTTTATCTCAGGTTGTGATAACTTGTCTCAAATTTCATGGGAGCTCAGTAATATGCTTGGTTTGCCTGTGGATGAAGTGTGCTGTGTGTTGTGGTTTGACCATCGTGTGGTGCATTTTCAGTCGCCTGCAGTGGTCGTGGAGGACAGGTTGGGTTTGGCAGCAGGGGTAGCAACACTGTAGCTCGACAATTTGCACGTTCCCAACCACCCCCAAACCTGTATAGTGCGAAGGTGCTGTTTGGCGACAAGAGGCAGGGTTACTGGATATCAAGCATATTACACTTGGATGGGTGTTGTGAAATATGAGACGCGGGCTTTAAGGTGCAAAGCGACGCTCAGACATAGCGGACGCTTACACTCGATGCTCCAACCCCCTATCAGTTTGTTGAGCAGTACTGCGTAAACTGCGTAACGCCCGTACCACGATAGACAAGCCCTTGGTTGATAACGCTGAGTGATTCAAGCTCCGAAATGCGAGGAATGGATGAACGGCTTCGATTGTACCAATTGAGCTCGCCCAGGCGGACCGCGCAGCTGCTGCAACACCCGCGCATCTGCGGGCAATGGCACGCGAACTCGCCATGGCATCACTGCGCCGTCCGTTGCGAGAAAACAGCAGCATCGAGAGTCGTGAGCGTACATCCTGAGCGTACATCTTGGGTAACATTTGTAACACCGAGAGTGGCTTCCCCTCCTCTACCAATGAGGTTGCCCCCAACGTTTCTCCGCAGCACATCAGTCAGTGCGGTTCAGTGATTGTTTTCGAGGTAGAAAGCGGTATGTTAAGCTAACCACCAACCACCAGCCAAAAGCGCTGAGCGAACCAGATCACCTTTCCCAGAGCACACTTCCATTCCCTCCCCAAAATCCTCAATTCGTATCTGAAGGCACATTCGAGGTGCCCCGTTTTCAGCAGGTCCCCATGGCGCACATCACTCCGTACAGTCGTACTCGTACCAGTCAACAGCTCCATTCCACTGCCCTATCTCCCGACTTCACCCTCTGACTGACACTTACCTGCTGTCGCACCGGATTTCGTCGCGAGTAGGCCCCACCATGCGATACCAGCCGTGCGAGCGGCATTCTGCCAGTCGCCGGGAATCACATCGCAATCAGCACCATGCAGCGACGCCTGCCTGTGCTCATGCTGCTGCTGTCCCTGGCGCTTTCTAGGCAGTTCTGGGCGCCAATTCTAGGCTTCAACGCTCTCCGCCCGCGCCGGCGGCCGATGAATCGGCGGTATTATGGGCCCACTCGCTTCGCGTTTGAGTTGTTGCCTTTGATTCGACTCAAAAGCCTCGCCTTTGAATCGTTGGTTGCACCAACTCGCTCCCTCACTTGGCCCACTCGCTCTCCGCCCGCGCCGGCGGCGGATGAAACGGCGGTACTATTGTGCGTAACTCGGCTAGTCGCGGTGTACTAGTAACGCGGTTCCGCCTCTCACGCGTGCCCCACTCGCCTAATCCAGACCGTCGCATCGTGGCGAGGGTGAGCGGCGCGCGGTGATCGTCGGGACGAGGCACGCATGACGGCAAGTGACGGCGAGGAGGAGGAAGAAAGTGCGGATGTAAAGTGCAGCGCATCAACGGAGGTGCGGCACACGGAGGTCCGATGCGGAGCACGGCAGTGGAACGGGGTCAAAACTCGAGAGGCATGCGCGCGAGGAGAGGCGACTCGGGTGGGAGGAGTTATAGCAGCAAAAGCGGAATGAAGTGCATCAAGTAACGAGTGATTTTTGCGAGGTGAGATGGCGAGTGACAATGGCGAGTGACAATGGCGTGTGACAATGGCGAGTGACAATGGCGAGTGACAATAGGCTCAGGAAGTTTGCTCGAATGCGGCTCAATGTGGTGCTTTGCGTTCTAGAGTAATAAAGACAAAGATAGGGCAGTTAGGTGGGGTGTTGGGCTAAGATGATATTCTGGGACCCGATCGCCTTGTGCGAGCGAGTGGCTTGTAAGGGGGGGCTCATTTCTCGTCCACCCGTTTGAGTCTCCCCAGCTTCGCAACTCCGCGCGGGCCTTTCTTCCCCCGCAGGCGGAGGGCGTGGCGCGCAGCTGCTGCAGCGGGCGCGGGCGAGGCGGGCATCGCCGCTGGCGACCGGTGCGGGCGATGGCGCAGTGGGGGGGGTGAGTGGCGATGGCGAGGGCGGTGAATGGCGATGGTGCGGGGAGGGGGGCGGGTGAGTGGCAGTGATGCGGGGAACGCGGGAGAGTGGCAGTGGGAGGCGGGGTGCGGGTGAGTGGCAGTGGTGCGGGGAGGGCACTGAGTGAGTTAGCGTTCCCCTTCCTCCCCTCCCCTCCGCCCTTCTTCCCTCCCATGCCTGTCCGTTTGCATTGTCAGATTTGTTTCCCCGCGCCCTTCTCCCCTCGCACCCTTCCCCCCTCGCACCCTTTCTCCTTTCCCCGCATCTGTTGCCCTCTCTCATCCTTCCCCCCTCTCACGTTCCCCTCTCACGCCCTTTCCCGCTTCCCCCCCGTGTCCCTCCCCAGTGCGCGCCACTCGCTGAGGTCTCGTCCGCTCGCCAGTCGCAGGCCACGGGTGGCGGCCGCGGCGGTGGCAGGGAGGAAGCAGCTGGCCTGGCGGAGCCGCCGCAGTACGCCCACCTCTGCTCCACCTCTGCTCCACCTCTGCTCCACCTCTGCTCCACCTCTGCTCCACCTCTGCTCCACCTCTGCTCCACCTCTGCTCCACCTCTGCTCCACCTCTGCTCCACCTCTGCTCCACCTCTGCTCCGCCATGCCCCGCTCGCTCGCTGTGAGAAACCTGGCGGATGCGTGGGTGGGCACGCGGAGGAAAGAGAGCTCAGCAAGGGCTACCGCTCGGGTTCGCTCCTTGACTTGACTCTACCACAGACGCTGATGGCCGTGAGTGGAGGGGGGGTGAGGGAGGGTAAAAGGAGGGTGGGGTTGTGGGAGGGGAAAGGGGACAGCGAGTGAAGGGTTGTCCGCAAGGGCCACCCCTTAGACCCACTCGTAGGCTTACCACTGACGCTGATGGCCGTGAGTGGACATGAGTTTGGGGGTAAGGGGGAAATGGGGAGAGGGTGGAGGAGAGATGGGTGAGCGAGGTTGGACGTGGGATGGGAGTGAGTGTTCACGGGGAAAGAGAGAGGAAGAAAAGGCAGCCTGCCTCCATGCATGGGATGTGTATGGTGTCTTGGTGTCTTTGTCGCTGCCATCACCCCCTTCCCCGCCCCCCCCCTGTCCTTCGTCCGAGCCCGTGTTTCAGCTCCCCCGCTTGGTTGGGCATGCACTCACTCAACCTGCCGTCCGACCCCCGCGCTGCACCGTGGTCGTGCAGGTGCCACCTTCCCCCGGGAGGTTTGGGGTTGTGGCGCCGGTGGCGGTGGCAATCGCGGTGTTTGTGTGCGGCACAGCTCCCGTGTGGGAGGGCGTGGGCGTTGTGCCCGTCCGCTCCTCGCTGCCGCAGCTGCTCCACATCGCCTCTTGCGACACAGCTGTGCATGCACGCACACACATTCACACACTCACACATTCACACACCCACACATCCACACACCCACGCCACGCACACACGGATGCATGCACCACATGCACTGCGTTGCTCTCAGAGGCGCACAACCTGCTCTTTATCCTCGACTCTCTCACTCACTCCCCCGACCCCTCACAGGAAGTGCACGCACCTGCGCGCACGCACCAACACTCGTCCACTCTCACGCCCCCCTCAGACCAGCAGCATCTCTGCTTGCTCGTGCTGCCCAGGCAGGACCAGGAGGACAGCTTACGGCAGCAGACGCTGCAGCGGATGCATAGGATAGTGACGACTCGGCAGGCCGCCAGGGGTCTCCTGGCCATGGGCACTCTGCTTGCCTGCGCGCCCTCAGCTCGCTCTGGGCCACACGCCCCCGCGACCAGTGATGCTCCTTCTGGGCTGGCCGCCCTTGAGTAACTTGACTTACCGATACTCTGACGACCAGCAGCGGGTCAGTTTAGTGCTGCATGAAAGATGGTGATTTGGATTGGCGGTAGTTTGTTTATAAGCCAATAAAATACTCAATTGCAGCAGTCTGACGCATGTCTTCTGAAAAGTGCTGCTCCTGTTTCATACTTCCTCCCACCCAAGGGGCTTCAGCTCCTTTTCCACTCACCCACCCAAGGGGTTTCAGCCTGCTTCTCTTTCACTCACCCACCCACACCTTCTATCGGGCTTGGGAGAATCACCGAGTTTCAGGTGTGGCTCGCAACTAGGAATTCGCAAAACAACAACTTGGATATTAACAAGCTCATTATAATCCATGTCATGCCATAAGTGTACCTCTACTCGCTTCAAGTTTTACATCAAACATCGCACTCCATTATGGAACACCATACAGCTCATCTACTCCTCCTCCTTCTCCCCCTCCTCCCCCTCTTCCTCCTCCTCCTACTCCTCCTCGTCCTCCTCGTCCTCCTCGTCCTCCTCGTCCTCCTCCTCGTCCTCCTCGTCCTCCTCGTCCTCCTCGTCCTCCTCGTCCTCCTCCTCCTCCCCCTCCCCCTCCCCCTCCCCCTCCTCCCCCTCCCCCTCCCCCTCTCCCTCCCCCTCCCCCTCCCCCTCCCCCTCCCCCTCCCCCTCCCCCTCCCCCTCCCCCCCCTCCCCCACCTCCTCCTCCTCCTCCTCCTCGTCGCGCGCAATCAGGCCTGCAATGACCGCCTCCATGTTCTGCTCTGTCACATTTGACAGAGCATTCACAACCTCCACCCACCCTCGATGGGCGGGTTTACTGCCCAACATGGCGGCCGCCTTGAACTGAATCGGTGTGATGAAGGAGTAAGGCGTTGGCAGTTTCCTCTTTAATAGCACATGCCCGACCTCCGAAAGCCTTCCCGCCAAGCTGTACTCACGAACTACACCACCCACTTCGGGTCGATACCCGCGACAACGGATTCGAATCCTGTATTTTGCCGGGGTGAACGAACATCCAGGAATGTTACACGCACCCTTCACCCCATCTATGTGTTCACCCTCCACACGTCCGTTCGGATTGAACCGAACCCTCCACCTCCTTCCATTCTTACCAATGATGACTCTGCTGACGATAGCATCCCCCCCTCCCCCTCCCTCACCCCTTCCACCCCTCCCACCCTCTCCCCCTTCCCCTTCCCCTTCCCCTCCCACTCCCCCTCCCACTCCCCCTCCAACTCCCCCACCCCCTCCCCCTCCTTCCCCACCAACTTCTGCCCCTTCGAGTGCCTGCAGAGAGGAGAGAGAGAGAGAGGAGAGAGAGAGAGAGAGAGAGAGAGAGAGAGAGAGAGAGAGAGAGAGAGAGAGAGAGAGAGAGAGAGAAGAGACGGTGAAGACGGTGAGAGAGAGCGTGGCGCCTTCTCGTATTTCTACCATGACTGACACTTGGCACGAAGGATTGGCACGACATGGCAGCTTGCGACGGGCGGTAATGGCTCTTGAAGCCACACCGGTATGCACACCATCTCCAGCTGTGCTGGAGGCACTGCGCTCCAAGCACCCGCCTGCGCCAGCCTCTCAACCTGACTGGACATTCCCCGCTCCCGATACCCACCTGTCTGCACCATACGAGATCTTCTCCAAAGTGTTGGGGCGCTGTGAGATGGCAGTTGGGGCAGACGCCTCTGTGGGGAAACACATGCACGCACTTGTCAACACTATCCTCACCGGGAAACTGCCGCCGGGAGTAGCGGACCTCCTTACCGCTTCAAGCCTGATAGCACTCACCAAACCGGATGGAGGGACGCGGGCCGAGCAGCAGCGTTGATCGGTGATTCACGGCACCAAGCCTCCACCCCCGCTTTGGGCCACACAGCCGTCGTCTTACAAAGCCCAGGCGCGGGTGACTGTCTCCTGACCATTTCCTTCAATGCCGACCTCACCTTCAGCCTGGGGCAGTTCGTTACCACCCTGGCCTTCAGGATGGGCTGTCGGTCAACGTTCTTGTCAAATGCAGCTGCAGGGGCAGAGAACCGATCTCTGATCCCACCCGCCCGCCACCCGTTACCCCCTCTCGGCCTACCTCTGGCTGAGCACTCCTCTGCGCCAGCTGAGCTGTCATCGCCGCTAGCTGCGCACGCATTTCCTCCAGTTGATCATCTCTCGCAGCAAGCTGAGCGGAGATGTCAACCACCTGGGCGCTCTTCGCATCCAACTGAGAGCGCATCGCATCCAGCTGCGCACGCATTTCCTCCAACTGAGCTCTCCCCCGGGCATCCCTGCTCATCTCCTGCACAGAAACCTGCAGGAACACAAAAGAAGTGGTGTGGGAATTCAGAACTTAGGACCTAGTTGGGACAACCATACATTCAAGCATGTGGGATAAAGAAAGAAAGGAAGAGAGACAGGGATTTAGGCATGTGAGAGCACTCGAAACCACGAGCATCTTACGTAATGAGCACAAAAAAACATAACAGGGCAACAGACAGCAGCACTGCTGGATGGAAGTCAAGCGGAAAATCGGGATATTCAGATCTGGGCAGTGGCATGAATCGTTTGACAAGGCCAAGCAAGCACTGGACCTTCCTCCCTACCCCCACAGGGATGGTAAGCGTGAAGAGAATCCCTCCTGTTGACATTCCTAGAAGCGTGTAAAAGCAAGCCGGCCCAGACTCACACCGACCTAGAGACCCTCTGGCGTCAGGCCAGCCTACCTGTGGCGCTGGGAGGACCGGCCTTCATTGACCCGGCGGTAGCAGCCGCACCGGCGTATGTGGCCAGCGTTACCCAGACCTCTCAGCTGCCCTGTGCGCTGCAGCTGCCGCCCCCCCATCCCCTCTCTCAACAACGACATGCCCAAAAAGGCCCCTTCACTACCAGAGATCCCACTGCACCAGCACATGCAAGAATGGGAAGAGCTGCTGCCAGGGGACGCGAGAGCCCTGCTAGCAACAAAAAGAAGCGAACCCGCTGAGACACGACTGCAACACCGACTCTCCACGTACCTCAACCAGGATCAAGCAGCAGCGTTGATCGGTGATTCACGGCACCAAGCCTCCACCCCCGCTTTGGGCCACAGCCGTCGTCTTACAAAGCCCAGGCGCGGGTGACTGTCTCCTGACCATTTCCTTCAATGCCGACCTCACCTTCAGCCTGGGGCAGTTCGTTACCACCCTGGCCTTCAGGATGGGCTGTCGGTCAACGTTCTTGTCAAATGCAGCTGCAGGGGCAGAGAACCGATCTCTGATCCCACCCGCCCGCCACCCGTTACCCCCTCTCGGCCTACCTCTGGCTGAGCACTCCTCTGCGCCAGCTGAGCTGTCATCGCCGCTAGCTGCGCACGCATTTCCTCCAGTTGATCATCTCTCGCAGCAAGCTGAGCGGAGAAGTCAACCACCTGGGCGCTCTTCGCATCCAACTGAGAGCGCATCGCTTCCAGCTGCGCACGCATTTCCTCCAACTGAGCTCTCCCCCGGGCATCCCTGCTCATCTCCTGCACAGAAACCTGCAGGAACACAAAAGAAGTGGTGTGGGAATTCAGAAGTTAGGACCTAGTTGGGACAACCATACATTCAAGCATGTGGGATAAAGAAAGAAAGGAAGAGAGACAGGGATTTAGGCATGTGAGCGCACTCGAAACCACGCGCATCTTACGGAATGAGCACAAAAAACATAACATACCTTTTCGATTATCTTCCAGGCGCGCCTGAACCCTTCATCAGCACCCACGAGACGCCATTTGAGTTCGGCTGTCTCGGCGTCGTTGGCCGCGAGCAGCGCCTCCACCTCGCTGCTGCTATCGCCGGCCATGTTCTCATAGTCTGTTAGGTGGCAGAGGGATCACCGTGGAAAGATATCAGAAAGAGCTCGTTTCAGGCCACTCCCATCCCCATGCCACCCCACCCCTCTGCCATTGCCCTCCCCCTACCACTCCTATCCCCACCCACGCCACCAACCTGTTCCCTGCCACTCCTTCCCCTCGTCATGAAACTCCCCTCGCCTGTCACCCTCCTCCCTATGCTACTCCCAACCGCCCCCCCTCCTCCCCCCCTTCCCCCTTCAACACACCTTCCTTGGCTACTTCCACATCCTTTTCGCACTTAATTAGATCGTCAACTTCATTCAACTCCTTCCCTTTCATCGCAAGGTCTTCAAGTATTTGCTCCCAATTGAACTCTGAAAACACGGCAGACAGAGAGGAAAGAATAGATAAAGGTGATATTGTAAATGCAGAGTGGAGAAGGGGAAAGTAACGGTTCGCCATGCCAAAAGGCAGGGGGGCTTAAGGACACGGCATGAGCCGCCTCTGCGCAGCAGCAGAAGCAACAATGTGCTTGAGTGTGGAGCGTGGTGAGGATACCATGTGACTGTGGAGAGCTAGTAGCACGCCTTTTTCGGCTGCCGTCGGTGCTGCTGCTAGCTCCAGCATCGTTGCTAGCTGCAGGGCAGGGAGATGAGGAGAGGACATGGTCAAAAGGGATTGAGAAGATAAATAAAGTGTACTGGCATTTGGGTACCGACCGACCCGACCCGTCCCGTCCCGTCTAGGGCGACCCAGGACAGCCATAACCAGACATGGTATGACGCTGGTATGGTGCTCAAAGGGCTGTGACTAGATCAAACGGTGAGATGGGGGCTGGTATGGCGCTCCAAGGGTTGTGACGGATGCCTTACCTCCTGGATCGACGCCCCGAGGCGATTGCAGCGAGCGATCAACCTCATCGTCAGCGGTGTGTTGATTATCAGTCATTGGCTGAGAGGGGGAGGCGAGGCGTTGCTGTGCACCTGTGGGCAGGAGCGGGGACAAAGGAGCAGCAGGGGATTTTTCAAGAGTCAAAATCGTATCTGCATTCAATGATACCCTCCATCGCTGCAACCAACCCACCCACCTCAGAAGCGCTTTTCTATCGCTGCCACCCACCCACCCACCTCAGAAGCGCATTCCCATCGCTGCCATGCCACCCACCTCAAGAGAGATGAGCCCACTGGGAATAAAGCAGACGCGTCGTTGCGTGATCTGCAGATGAGTTGTGACTGCCAACAGGTCGGCGAGTTGATGGCCGCAGCTGCTAGCCAGCTAACGGAAACGATCACGGCGGATCCAGGTCGTTGCGGATACCCTGAGATAACTCCGCAGCGGATCCAGGTCGTTGCGGATACCCTGAGTTGATTCCGCAGCGGATCCAGGTCGTTGCGGATACCCTGAGTTGATTCCGCAGCGGATCCAAGTCGTTGCGGATACCCTGAGATCACTCCGCAGCGGATCCAGGTCGTTGCGGATACCCTGAGTTGATTCCGCAGCGGATCCAGGTCGTTGCGGATACCCTGAGATAACTCGGCAGAGATTGAGACGCACAACTTGCTGCGGTCGTGTTCGTTGCACGGAAAATGAATGCCGCCACGCTGTTTGTGTAAGCCTAAGTCGGGAAGTTGGTACTTCTGAGAAGGAATCTCGAGGCTTGAAGTTGTGGGAGTGATGACCACGACCCATTGTGGGAAGAGATAGTATTGGTGTGGTGTGACGTGGCTTGCATTCCCCAAGAATGCCAAGTATCCTCTCGCGGCGCGTGCGTTGCCTGCCAATTTCAAGGGGAAACTAATAATACGTTTGGCGTTGGTTTTGGTGGTCTGCTCATGGTGGATTCGAGGGAATCTATACTCGATACAAAACAAAGTTCGATTTGTGCACTACTTTCCGGTTTCGGATGTTAATCATTATTTTGACTGCACGAACAACACCCACCTGGATTCGAACGGGACATTCAAAGAGGAGCTGAATCTGAGATCACTGCATATGATCTGACAGCCTCGTTTTTCTTCACACGACACCCGTTTGAGCATGCGACGTCGTCCAGCAGACAGATGATCAAGCGACGCATCGCTTATGTGAACAGTTCTCGCTTCCCACTATCGTAATTCAGTTTGCGAACATCAGCATTCGTGCGGGATGTGATGTCCGTTCGGTTTGGCACAAATTTGACGTGCGACGTGACGAATAAATCTTGACGAGATTCAGCGTTGCATGTAACCAACGCAGAGGAAGGCTTGCCCTTATCAATGCAGTGCGTCTCGCGTTTTCCGTCGACCTCTTGCCGGGACTGGCGCCGCTGGACGACGCTAGCCCTCTCGCCGCTCTGTCCGTGCTTCATTCAAGGTTTCGCTTTCGCTCCCATGGCGTCAGTGCTGCGCGCGCGCGTGTTCTCGTGCGCTCTCCGTCCGTGCGCGACTGCGCGCAATGCTGGCGCGAAGGGCGCGATGAATGGGGAAGTCGACGCTGTTGTTCCAGTCGCTGGCGCGAGAGAGGGGATGCGAAAGTATTGTTGTGTGAGGACTCGCGCGACGGCGTGAGGATCAAGAGACGAGACCCGATCTCCTTCCCGCACTGCCGGGCCGGCCCGCTCTCTCGCTCTCCTTCCGCCCTTATCGTTCTCTCTCTCGGCGGAGGTGCGCGCGTTTTTTGAGGCGCCTCAAAAGACGGCGATGGTGGTGGGCGGCGCTACCCTGCGCCGCCACAAACGAGGCGCGAGCGGCATGCTTGCGCGCCGCCTGGTTCAGGGTTTAGGGTTTAGGGTTTAGGGTTTAGGGTTTAGGGTTTAGGGTTTAGGGTTTAGGGTTTAGGGGACCACTGCACCAGCACATGCAAGAATGGGAAGAGCTGCTGCCAGGGGACGCGAGAGCCCTGCTAGCAACAAAAAGAAGCGAACCCGCTGAGACACGACTGCAACACCGACTCTCCACGTACCTCAACCAGGATCAAGCAGCAGCGTTGATCGGTGATTCACGGCACCAAGCCTCCACCCCCGCTTTGGGCCACAGCCGTCGTCTTACAAAGCCCAGGCGCGGGTGACTGTCTCCTGACCATTTCCTTCAATGCCGACCTCACCTTCAGCCTGGGGCAGTTCGTTACCACCCTGGCCTTCAGGATGGGCTGTCGGTCAACGTTCTTGTCAAATGCAGCTGCAGGGGCAGAGAACCGATCTCTGATCCCACCCGCCCGCCACCCGTTACCCCCTCTCGGCCTACCTCTGGCTGAGCACTCCTCTGCGCCAGCTGAGCTGTCATCGCCGCTAGCTGCGCACGCATTTCCTCCAGTTGATCATCTCTCGCAGCAAGCTGAGCGGAGAAGTCAACCACCTGGGCGCTCTTCGCATCCAACTGAGAGCGCATCGCTTCCAGCTGCGCACGCATTTCCTCCAACTGAGCTCTCCCCCGGGCATCCCTGCTCATCTCCTGCACAGAAACCTGCAGGAACACAAAAGAAGTGGTGTGGGAATTCTTAACTTAGGACCTAGTTGGGACAACCATACATTCAAGCATGTGGGATAAAGAAAGAAAGGAAGAGAGACAGGGATTTAGGCATGTGAGCGCACTCGAAACCACGCGCATCTTACGGAATGAGCACAAAAAACATAACATACCTTTTCGATTATCTTCCAGGCGCGCCTGAACCCTTCATCAGCACCCACGAGACGCCATTTGAGTTCGGCTGTCTCGGCGTCGTTGGCCGCGAGCAGCGCCTCCACCTCGCTGCTGCTATCGCCGGCCATGTTCTCATAGTCTGTTAGGTGGCAGAGGGATCACCGTGGAAAGATATCAGAAAGAGCTCGTTTCAGGCCACTCCCATCCCCATGCCACCCCACCCCTCTGCCATTGCCCTCCCCCTACCACTCCTATCCCCACCCACGCCACCAACCTGTTCCCTGCCACTCCTTCCCCTCGTCATGAAACTCCCCTCGCCTGTCACCCTCCTCCCTATGCTACTCCCAACCGCCCCCCCTCCTCCCCCCCTTCCCCCTTCAACACACCTTCCTTGGCTACTTCCACATCCTTTTCGCACTTAATTAGATCGTCAACTTCATTCAACTCCTTCCCTTTCATCGCAAGGTCTTCAAGTATTTGCACCCAATTGAACTCTGAAAACACGGCAGACAGAGAGGAAAGAATAGATAAAGGTGATATTGTAAATGCAGAGTGGAGAAGGGGAAAGTAACGGTTCGCCATGCCAAAAGGCAGGGGGGCTTAAGGACACGGCATGAGCCGCCTCTGCGCAGCAGCAGAAGCAACAATGTGCTTGAGTGTGGAGCGTGGTGAGGATACCATGTGACTGTGGAGAGCTAGTAGCACGCCTTTTTCGGCTGCCGTCGGTGCTGCTGCTAGCTCCAGCATCGTTGCTAGCTGCAGGGCAGGGAGATGAGGAGAGGACATGGTCAAAAGGGATTGAGAAGATAAATAAAGTGTACTGGCATTTGGGTACCGACCGACCCGACCCGTCCCGTCCCGTCTAGGGCGACCCAGGACAGCCATAACCAGACATGGTATGACGCTGGTATGGTGCTCAAAGGGCTGTGACTAGATCAAACGGTGAGATGGGGGCTGGTATGGCGCTCCAAGGGTTGTGACGGATGCCTTACCTCCTGGATCGACGCCCCGAGGCGATTGCAGCGAGCGATCAACCTCATCGTCAGCGGTGTGTTGATTATCAGTCATTGGCTGAGAGGGGGAGGCGAGGCGTTGCTGTGCACCTGTGGGCAGGAGCGGGGACAAAGGAGCAGCAGGGGATTTTTCAAGAGTCAAAATCGTATCTGCATTCAATGATACCCTCCATCGCTGCAACCAACCCACCCACCTCAGAAGCGCTTTTCTATCGCTGCCACCCACCCACCCACCTCAGAAGCGCATTCCCATCGCTGCCATGCCACCCACCTCAAGAGAGATGAGCCCACTGGGAATAAAGCAGACGCGTCGTTGCGTGATCTGCAGATGAGTTGTGACTGCCAACAGGTCGGCGAGTTGATGGCCGCAGCTGCTAG